ATCCTTAATGTAAAAATATTTTAAGTTAAATACAAAATGCCTCTGCATATATTAATAATGTCTTCACACATGTTGCATATTTCTTTTATATATGATGTCAACATATATTAAAACTACATTTTAATTGACTTCTTGAACAATGTATGCTACATATTGATTAGATTAGAATATGTTAAAAGATTATTGGAATGCCACATCACAGAATGCTACCTTAATATGGTGCTTTGTCTTTCTAAGTTGTACCTAAGTTCAATATCATATTGATAAATAAATAAATACTGTAGGACACACACAAATTTCTAATTATAGCAAAATAGAGCTGCTCACAGCAGAATGTTTATCCAGGCAGAATGTAGGGTCCATACACAACCCTTGTAAATAGAAACAAAATTTAATGGCACAGATTAAGAAAATTCTTTTATTTTCTTTTATGTCACAAAGTGGCAAACAAGCTGGCGGTTCACCTGATGTTAAGTGATAACCGCCGCCCATGGACATTTGCAACACCTGTAACGTTGCAGTAGCATTGCCACCTTTAAATAATGTGGGCCCCGGCTACCTCACTCACCAGATGAAATGCAGAAGTTTAACACTTCTACTTTACGCTGGTCTTCTGTGAGGTTGTGCTAATTACCCGGATGGACCTGCCTATTCATGCAACAGTGAATACCTTTGCGTTGTCCTACCACAATTAATTCATTATTAATATGCATACAAGCAGTTCTTTTTCAGTTTTTCGACAGTTAACCACTTTTGTGCTTATGAATAAAATGAATAGATCATTTTATGTATATTAATTATTAAATATTCATAGATAATAATATATTATATGAAATATTCATTTATGGTAAAATTAATGTACTTAATGTATTTAATGGGCCTAATCCAGCAGGGGACTAAAACAGGCTGAAATGATGATGATGATGATAAATGTACAAAGTACAGGTAGAAATGCAATAAAACACCAATACTGCTTTTTAAACAACCATCTTGGTAAAAAATTAAAAATATTTCTGGGCTATTTATTATTTATTTACATTTGGTTAAATAAATTTTAAAGATTTACTTCATTCATTTTATTCAATTGTTATTTCTTTTATAAAATTGTATTGAAAGCATTTTAAAGTTAAAAAAGATGTTAATGCATGGATTGAAAAAAACAACATTGAAGTAACTTACAACGGGTAAGACGTAAAAGTATGCTAAGGCGAAAAAAACAAGTGATAACAATGCAAGTGAATTAGCTTCCCCGTGGCAACGTCGCGCCAAGGACGGGCCGATTAGCGCCCGGTGATATAACGCCTATTGACGCTCGTCAAACGAACACTTCGACAATAATTCATCATATATTATGGCCTAAATTTAAATCTTTCACCTGGGAGGCGTATAGAAACGTAATATTTAAGCAAAACGTATGTTCATTTTCGTGGGCGAAATCTCGAGAAGATTATTATTGTTTATCTCGTGTGAGAGGCTCTTAAGATAAAGTTTGTTCAATAAAAGAAAAAGACTTTTTAAACTTAATTTACCCTGGCCGTTAAAATGGGGACGCATGAGAAAAATCAATATCTTCACCACAACAAGGCGGTGTTACTGCCCTATATTTCCAATTGGAAATCAATATGAAAACAATTTCAATTATTATTATACATACATACATATAGTATTACACAAAATAATTATAAAGAACGTACTTAATGCCAACTGCCGGTGTACTTACCCATTTCGTTCGCCTGTTTGCTCCGCTGATGAAATAATCCTCCCGCTAAATATATCTCTTTTCCTTCATCACAAATTACACCTTACCGCGCACAAGCACTATTTTTTTCGAAAAGAACCACGGTTGTACTCATAAATATCGTACAAATAACAATTTAATATGTATTTCGTCACGAAACGCTATACCGCCTTGCCGCAGCACCAGCTGTCAGAACAGAACTCTGAAAGCGCGCGTGCGTTCCTAAGTACGCGACGTTCAAATGCGTTCATTTGTTATCTATCTTCATAGCGACTCGTTCCAATCGCCCACTTATCATTGTCGGATCATGCTCTTGACTATTTGGTATCTAATTACAACCCGCATATTTAATTACATTTGCAAGGACTTTTAAAATTAATAAACATTATATTAATTTTAAAAGTATCCTTTAGGGATATTTAAATGTCATTATAAACAAAATTGAAAACTCATTATTCTTTAAAATCTGCCAATATCTCAGTCTCAATTAGGTATCAACTATCCAGATAACATTAAAAAATCTTACCATAATTGCCTATTATTAGTTATATTTATAAATTTTAGCGAAAACCAACAAAAACGAGATTTTTAGTTTTTGAAGTTTTTAATATGTAACTTCAAAACGAAAAAAAGATAAATGTGAACATTTTATTTCTTATGTGCTAATATATCAGGTATCAGGTGTTGTATAATTTGTATTGGTGACTATTTATTGGTTTGGATTTGGGAAAATAAAACCAAGTAATTATCGAACGCTTCATAAAATAAGTGCTTTATTGATTTTACTTGTAGACAATGCAAGTCCGTAATTTAAATTAAATTGTACGTGTTTTTTTAAAACAAAAATAATAAACCTAGCTTGAATGCCAACCCAGAACTTATTTACAAGTTAATTTTTAATATATTAGGAAACAAATTAGTTTATTTTCAAAATTAAAACCTACTTGGCAATTTATGTGGACACTAGAATGATGCCGTGACTTTCATCTGGCGCACAACATGCTATTGAACAAAGTTCTAGAAAACGAGGGTATGTTCCCTAAATATACAGTTATTAATCATCTGCGAATTTTCCGAGACGTTCCCTTTCGACACAAATAAGACACGTAGACTAGAGAAAACATACGCGGAATTTTTATATCTTGGCAGTAGTTTACAAGCGAAATACAAGTTATTGAAACAAAAACATTAATATAATTATAATCCAAAAGGGCATACAATATTGACACTGGGAAACTGCAACTCGCCAAGGCCAGCATGGATCGTACTCGCCGAGGGCCGCCTACGTATATCGCAATCGAAACCACCTATATACATTTACAACCAAATTACAATAAATATATAAGAACCTTATACTCTCTGTACAGTGTCGTAAAATATTTTTTCCTCATTTTGATAATCTTCGCATTATCTTAAAATTTAACGTAGAACGAATTTCTAGTCTACACCAATATCGGTACCATTGCCTATTTCAATAATATAACAAGTACAATACCCACAGAACCTTAACAACAAGCGTTGAATTATATTTTTGAAAGATCACTTTCGGCAGTTATAAACAACTCCCCGCCTAGTATATTTGCTGAACAACTATAAAATAGAAAGATTCCAGATGTAAATACTTCATATTGTTAAATTTACGAAGTGAACGTGCATCATTAAAAGTAATAGGAGCGGCAAGGGACTTGGTACAACCCTCATTATTTTCTTAACAATAATTAAGTCATTCAGCCATTTTATAAAATACAAAAGATCCCGCGATTCGGAATCAATATTAATGCGGATGATTTAATTAAAATTAACAGGTTCTTTCTGAAAAAAGAAATTAAACCTGTTTTTTTTTATTACAACGAAAATGTATGAATCAATTGATTCATACATTTTCACTAATTCAGCACTAAAAGGTCTCAGAACAGTCCATTGCCGCTTTGTTACACATCTGTGTCAATAATAATTGAGTTGCAAACTTTGTTATAAGACGTTTTTATCTACTTAATAAAGATGGGCCATGATTAGCAATGTTTCAAAACACAATTTTGTGTTCATACCCTAATTTATTATAGAGAAAAATTCTATTTAGTTATTTGAATTAAATAAGTTAGCAAAATGCTAAATATGATGTCACAGAATTAGTACAAGTTATCATCTAACACTATTAAATTACGAAAATCATAAACCATTGGTACTATTGCCAAACAATAGTAGATAATGAATGAGCAGGTTCTCATCCGAGGGAAATGTTGCAAAAACAAAGAAAACTGACTTGGAGTGTGGCCAATGAAATAATTTGAAATTGAGGTAAGCTGATTTTATATGGTAAAAGGAAAATTATTTAATATTTACTTTATTTTAATGAAAAAAAAATATAATTCAAATAATTATATTTTCTTTATTAAAATAAAGCACTGTGGAAGATATCCATAATTTGAAAAAAAAAATTTAGACTATATAAAACAGCTAAGAATATTAAGATAGAACCTGCAAATTCATTGTATATTATGTGTAAATTACAAAGTAATGGGTACTTAAATAAGTTGATTGCAGACAGTAGATAATTTCAACTTAGAATTTTAATAGTAACAAATAAATAATGCCATTAGCAACCATTTTGTTACAAAATTGCTTAAACAAAGCAAAGTTTAGCGATAAATACATGTAAATTCCTAATATCTAAGATCTTTGTATGAGCTTCATTTCATTTAACTAATTGACTTCCCAAAAAATATGTTGTGCCAACTATTGCTTCAATCTATGCTTTAATATTTGAATCAACAAAAAACATTTGGTTAGGAAAATTAAGTGAAAATAAAACTAAGTTTGTACTAGAATTTTCTAGTATATCGAAAAGATAATAAATACATTATGATAAATACATCAAGTAACTAACATTTTAAGGAAATAACAAATGAATTAAAAAAATATGTGGTTTAAATGTCATATAGAAATTATAGCGTTAACAACTGTTACAAAAATAATTTAGCAAATCTTAAGGCGTTTTAACATTTTATAAATTATATATGAACATGTAGTAATAATATACAATTTTAACTTTTTTTTTTTGGATCAATTTTATCGCTTACAGCATTTAAATGGTCTCAATTACATAAGCATTTCCCATAGTTGACTTAGAATAATTATAAATTTAGAAATGAGCGACCTAGCAGCCAGCCGTTTTGTAACGATCGACGAAACGAAAAACCTATTGAGATGGTGGTGGTTCCAGTGTATGAGGTTGGTGAGATGAGATGTCGGTGCGGGCTCACTCGTCGTCGCTGCCGGGGTCGCTGGAGAAGTCGGCGTGCAGCCGCGGCGGGAAGGGGCCGCGGCTCTGCTGCCTGCAAGGCGGAGGCGAACGTTCAGGGTCGATTCTGTGTCGTGTTAAAGGCGTGCAATGGCAGCGAGCAGCGGGGGCGGTACTGACGCCAGGCGGCGGTAGTGGTTGAGCCACTCCTCGAGCATCTGCGCCTGCAGCAGCGGGCGCGGGTGCAGCCGCTGGCGCGCCACCAGCGCGCCGCCCTCGCCCGCCGCGCTGGCGCACACGTAGCGCCGCACCAGCGCCTCCGCCGTCGCCGTCTGCGGCGTTCATTTGTGGAAATTAGCTATAACACCTAATTTGTTTAAGGTAACGCACCACGCAGGTGCCGAATAAATAATGTGAATTCTCTGATTGGTCAACCATTATGTCAACAGGTCAGAAAGCAGGAATTTATTCCCACAGGAACGTATAAAATTAGCGGCGTTTCGGGGCATTACCGCAGTCAACGAGCACCAATATTTGCCAGTGGAACAAGTAACCAGAAGAAGTCGGCAAGAAAGAAGAAACTCTGCAGCCTGGAAGAGGGCGAGCTTGCAGTTATAGAAGATCGTTTATTCATAAGAAAATATTGAACAGAACGTCTGAATAAACACATTCTTTCTGTCTTCACGACATTCTTGTTTCGTTACCAATCCAGCACATTGAAATGTGCATTGCACACAAACATGTTAAATTTACTAATCTGTAAGCATATTCGTAGTCTTGGTAAGTTTTAATACAAATTACTGATAATTTATTCATAGTGGTAATTAAAAAATAAATAAATGAAACAGCTCGTTTCGCGTACCTCGTCGCACGTGAGGAAGTGGACGGGCAGCAGCTTGCCGTCGGCGTCGGTCAGCGGCAGGAAGGTGTACTCCTCGCCTTCCTCCTCCTGCTGCTCCCTGAAACGGAGCAGCGGTTGCGCATGAGCCGACGGCCGGTATGCGCGAGAAGCGTCGGCATCGGGCGTCGGGCGTCGAGCGGACCTGCAGATGTAGGCGTGGCGCTGCGGGTAGGGCTCGATGGGCACCAGCGCGGAGAAGTGGCCGCGCGTGTAGCCCAGGCACAGCGGCGACTTGGAGCAGAAGTCGGGCTCCCAGAGCAGCGGCAGGTAGAGGCCGCGGAAGCGCGCGTAGCCGAGCGGCTCGCCGCGGAAGGAGCGCACCAGGTCGACGCCGTAGACGAGCAGCGGGCGGCGCAGCAGGTGCGCCAGCGCGAACACGTGCAGCTGGCGCAGCGGCGCGCCGGGCCTTGCGGCCGCCTGCGCCAGGCGCGCCCACTCGGCGCGCAGCTGCGCCTCGTCGGGCGCGTAGTGCAGCGCCGCCGCCTGCGCGCGCTCGCTCGCCGCCCAGCGCTCGAAGAAGCCGCGCTGCGCGTGCTGCAGCGACGCGGCCAGCGCCTGGCGCAGCGCGTTGCCGCGGTCCGCCACGCCGTACGCCGCCTGGCACACCGCGTCCGGCAGGCAGTCGCCCGCCGACCGGTTCCACAGCGCGTGCAGCCGCGACCCTGCGCCCCTTTCCTCATTACTCTTTACTCTTTACTCTTTACTCTCATCGCACAAAAGACAAAACAAAATCGCAATGCACCGACCTAAGTTGACGGTCAGCTCATGGCTCCAGTTGATGAGGGGAGGGTCGGCTTCCAGGGTCTGCTGCGCATCACGGTCCAGAAGCTCCGAGAAAAGCTGCTCTTGGATAGCGGCCGGCAGCTCTTCGATTTCTACACCCACACACACCCCATTCAAATTGTCATTGTCATTGTATATTTTATTATACGGTGCATAAATAAGTTCATAATAACAACGAAAATTCTGCATAATAAATGTATAATCAGAAATAAGGAAAATTTTTCAATTAATACACAACTTTTAAAACGCAAACATATAATTTATCCTAAAAAGATTATATTGATAAAGATAAAATTGAAACAATGGTAACGGATTTTCTATCTATTTAAAACAATCACATATTTATCCATTGAGCACAACAGTTACAATTTGAAAAAGGGTCAAAAAATCTGCTTGAAGTATTTAAATATTTAACAGGGATTTTAATGTGGGTTATTTTTTTATTAGGCGACTAAAAAGACCTAGATTTTCTATGAAAAATTAAGAAAGTGATGTAGCTACAGTTGCTAATTGTAATTCTGTTACTTCTCAAAATTCCAATATATAATGGGATAAAAATGCTAAAGAAGACTGCCGATTAGTCGTTTAAAGGCTGTATCCAGTCAAGTCAGTTAGATTTAAACTAATAACCATTGTCAATACACATAATTGAAGTTAAAGGTATAACGATAATGCTCCACTCGTACCCACGAGTTAGGTTCTGATTGAATTATACTACGGGTGGTGGTCCGGTCGTTTTGTCCTTTTTTTTAAAACATTGCCCTTACTGTAGGATACCATTACCCTTATTAGTAAGGATGTTTTACATACGTAATTTTCACACGCACACGCACCAACACCCAGATCCGTAAATAACTAATATATAGTTGTCCTGTATGGGAATCATACCAACGACCCCCAGTGCCGAAACCAACACTTCGGCAACTGTGCCACGGGGTCAAGCCCTTACCTGCTGGCAAGGAGAAGGTGCAGAACTCGTTGAGGTAGCGGCAGGGGAAGTTGCCCTTCTTGGTGCGCACGCAGCCGGCCACGTGGCGTCGGATCGCCGTCGCCAGGTCGGGCGCTGTTCACAACGGCTATAGCACCCTCTCTTTCGCTCCCCACTTCCAATAACAATCCGTCTCACTCTATCAGCGCGCGTGAGACGCACTGTAGTCGGTTGTAAACACTCGATTTTGTACTCGGTGAAACGTTACTATTGTGCGATCTGTACTCCAACGCGCCTTCGTTAAAAATTAACAGGGACGGACTGCTTTTGTGTATATGCGATGTATGCAAAAACCAATGCCTCACTTATGTGTCCCGTAGTCTTCGGCAGGTTTCGCCATTACTAAATCAACTGATTCTGCCTATCTCGTAAGTATTGAAGGACCGAATAATTTACATTACTATATGAAAGATTGTTGTATTCCTAACATATTGATTTAGTTTGTCCAAATGGTTTTAACATAAATTAAACGCAGTCACCAAACAACATGCGGCCAAGTCCAACAAGATGTATTAGCGGAATTTGACGGACAGAGACCGTTCCCGTTAGTCAGAGTATTTTTGTCAAACCGCTCTAATTGTCATAGACTAGTAGGAGACCGAGAGGGGAGAAATAGAATCTCCTAGAGTAACCACTTTAGGACATTCCTCAAGGGTCTAGTCTCTCACCCTTGCTCTTTATACTAACTTAGACAGAATAGTCATTAGACTAACTTAGACAGAATTATCTGGAATATTGGCTGCAATTTTCATAACAAAAAGTCACGTACGGAGACGTGAACAAGTGTTTTACCTATGTAAGACGGCGACCGCTTGAGGCCGGGCCCACCGCCGGATATTCGAGACAGCAGCGTGGATAATATGTCTTGCCTTTGGAATCTGTAACATTAATCGTGCGAAATGGTCACATAAAGGTAAAGTAAGTAAGAGACCGGAGTAGCACCCCAGGCCAGGGGAAGGAAGGGAAGACAGAAGGAAGGGGAGCGGCGATCGTCACCTGATGGCGAGGTGCACGAGCGTGTGTCCCACGTCGAAGGCCGAGGCGCGGTTGAGCAGCTGCACCTCGTGCGCCGTGAGCGCCCGCGCCGGCGACCCGCCCTGGGCCAGGTACGCCTCCACGCAGCGCGCCGACCCCTCCACCACCCCTGCGCAGAGCGAACGGTCAGCCCCTCGTCCACCCCCTCGCCCGCACGCCCGCACGCCCCTCGCCCGCACGCCCCCTCGCCCGCACGCCCCCTCGCCCCCCGCGCTCACCGAGGCACGCCTGCAGCCACAGCCAGTCGGGGTTGTTGCGCCGCTTCGAGCGCCGCGCGCCCTCGCCCTCTTGCGGCGCCGCGCTCTGGCTGTTGCAGATCTCGTTTATACCTGCGGACGGCGGTTGCCAATCGCCGATACATCTCCATATCAAATCATATTATATTTCGTATAACTATTTCGCCTTTGTACATATTTTTTGTCATTGTGTGTACAATTAAGTAAAAAGACAAGTAAACAAACATACTATTTCTAGTTTTATCAATTACCGTTCTCCTTACATGAAGTCTATTATTTGATGTTGTGTTTACATTTCATTTAAATGCATATGTACAACATTTAAATTATTTTTTAAGTGCATCGCACCAGAGTTTAGTTGATAACTCATTTTAATAATTTAAAAAAAACACACCCAATATCGAGATTTCATCAGGAACTCATATGCCTTACAAAGTTACAGCAGCCTAAAGGGTACAAAAAGCACTCTTATGCTTATATAAAAAATTCACATGAAATCATTCGACGACCCAATTGGCGTAATGGATAGTGACCCTGTCTCTTGCGCTAGAGGGTATGGGTTCGATCCCCACTACTGGAAAAATATTGTGTGATGAACTTAATATTTTTCTAGTGTCTGGGTAATTATGTATCTATAATAGGGACTAGATATCGTTTTGTAAAAATATGTCCCGATATATTTATGATTAATAAATTCACCAAACTCTTAGGGGCCGTCCATTAATCACTTGAGGCTCGAAAGAAGGACGAGGGGGTTGGCAAAAATCTCGAAATATCACAGGGGAGGGGGGTCTGAGGTATGATGTAATATCACGCGTATTTATTTTTTCGTCAAACGAGCGACCTCTAAACTGAAAAGCGGCGTGACCTTGACTTACCGTTACATTTTTATCATGGTCCTTAATTTCAGAATAAAAAGTATTAAAGTATACAGTAAAAGTATAAAAGTATTAAAGTATACTAGCTGTCCAGGCAAACGTTGTTATGCCATATAAATTATTTGTAGGGTAGAAAAAAAATTTTGGGGTGGAACACCCTTAACATTTAGGGGGATGAAAAATAGATATTGTCCGCTTCTCCACCCTGGCCGATATGCACACAAAATTTAACGAAAATCGGTGGCGCCGTTTTGGAGGAGTTCAATTACAAACACCGTGACACGAGAATTTGATATATTAGAATTATAGTATTTAAAGATAATATTCTAAAAATTTTAAGATTATTTGGAGGTACTAAAAATATTTTGGGCGTTAACACGTTATTTTGGGTGGGGTAGGGTAGTCTTAAACCTCATCTCGTATCACCAAGGGGGGGAGGGGGGTTAAAAATGCTAAAAAAACATCATGTGATTAATGGATGGCCCCGTACAAAGATTTTTCATATACCAGGCGATCAATAAATTAAATTTACTTTTAACTACCATCTCTTTGTGATCATAAACATACGAAACTCACCTGTGGGCTGCGAATGTGGCTGGTTGTGCTGGTTGTGTTGGTTGTGGTGGGGGGCGGTGCCGCACATGGCGCACTTCAGGGAGCGCGGCCAGTTCTCGAACGTGCACGTCTGTTAATATATTCTATAATTACCCTTCACCAACAATCTCAGTACCCGCCATGTATTAAAACAGTAAAATTCTGATTATATATATATGGTATACATTGAACCATCTAGTAGAGCCACATCAAGCCCCTTTGGACAGGGAAGCACCATACAGTAGCACAAAATTGATTGAAAATTTTGTGTTTCACATAATGTATATAATAGCAGGAGATCCATCCCAAGGATGTTGCACACGCCAAAGCCATCCGTTTGCCTTTATAAATTTAATTAACAAAAAACTTACTGAGCATGCCCACTTATTGACAGTAGAAGCGCTGGGCTGGCCTTGGGGTGAGGATATTCTTAATGGTTTCAACCGTTCTGCTACTGCCTCCGCCCCTATAAAGTAAAAAAACAAGATTGCTTTAAATTTGAATAGGCTTTTTACATGAACATTGGATTTATTTACACTCGCACTAAGGTATGACAAAAATAAAGAATTCGTTTATTGTTTTTTTTGTTAAAATGATATGATATCCACAACAGACGGAAGTATTACATACACAAATTTTACATTAAACACAACATAGGACATGCAAGTTTAGAAAGATTTTCGAGAATCAAACTCATAGCCCCTGGCACCAAAGTCGATAGCTGGAAGCTTGAATGAAATAAGGTTATAAGCCTCTTCTGTTTATTTATCGAGACTGTGTCAAAATGAACAATGCCTCACTTTTCCCCACACTAATGAATGAAAGTGAAAAAGTCTAAGAATAAAAGAATGATAATGCTGAAGAAACATGTTCGTAAAGAAGCTTGCTTATTGTGACACAATCACAAGTTAAGAAATAGTAAGATTAGAAATAAAAAAATTAGGGAATAAACCAAGTCCACAGTGTGAGAGGTTTTTGAGTTATGAATATTCTGCCTCAAATATATAATGATCTCAAAACAAACTCACCACAAGCATCTTGAGTTGGGAGGGCACTAGCACCGTCCTGAAGCTTAAATATGTCCTCACCAAGTGACGGTTTAGGGGAGCGACACATTGTACACTAGAGCATAAGAAAAAAAGACACAATTCATCAAAATGGCTAAGTAACTGTTGTAAATTAGGTATTTTACACTTAATCTTTTTATTAAAGGCAACATTAAATCACGAAACAACTTATGCTGTTGCATGAGTGCGCAGGCTCATCTGGAGAGAGAAGTGCTCGCGTTTTGTAGATGCCCATAGGTATTCACTGAATCACCTGCTCGCTTTAAAACTTTTCACATTAAAAACATAGAAAAAAAAATATATACATACAATAATTACCTTCCTTGAAAGGGGAAAGTTCTCATATGTACACATGTCACAGGTCCATTTACCCTCGGCGTGTGACACAGAACTTGCCGTCATCTGATGAGAAACAATTATTCTAATGCTATTTTATTGTTACGGTGATTTTATTTTTCAAAGTAGAATATGATGAACAAATATTATAATATTTAGGTAATTAAATTTATAACTAAATAATCCCTTAATTGGTCCTAGTAATAAGTTTTGAAACATAAATTAGTACTGACATTTATTACTTTTTTAACGCAAATAGTTGTTAATTGAATGCATGAAAACATTGTTTGACATGTTTGTTATAAAACAATTTGCCAATAAATTTTATAAATTAATGTTATTTTGAAATGAGTCAAAAAGATAACTTACCTGACCAATCTGCAGCTGTGAGACATTTGTTGAAACATCTTGTTGCCTTTGTATGCACTCAGCTCCTTGCAAATCTGTCTCTTGCGACTCGGCAACGGATGCAGTCTTCTTGCTGCTATCATTTTGTGCCTCCTCGCTCATTGTACCATCAACAAAATCATATGAATTTGTGTTCTCGCTACTGAGGCTATTGACAACTGCTATGAAGTTGGCATTGTAGATGCCTTTAATACTATTTCTATTTGTACAGTTGGAGTTGTTTGTTTTCAGTAGTTAGAGCTCTTATGTCCGTATAAAATGTTGTTTACCCTAAAACAAATCATATTATTTTTTTTCCTAAAATTGGTATTACCTCATTTTATTTAATAATGCGTCACATTTATTAATTACTTACACGATTTAATATGCGGTGAAATACAAAATAGTGTTAAGCGGTTTTCACACGATAATTTCTTATTGGGTACTTTGACAGAAAATCCTGTTGGACATCAAAACGTAATATTGTCAGACGTTCAAATGTTGAAGTAAGACTTGGCATCTACTTTTGGCGTCGTTACACAACTTAAAATTGCACAGAGGTGTCGATGGCCAAACTAAGGTCAAGAACGAGAAATCAACATACAATTCACTCACTCACAACGATGCGATGATTACGGAAATAGAGCACCTTGCAGAGATCCGTCGCCAAGTTATTGGCTTTGGTTTTTTTTGTGGTTTTGGCTGCAAGATAATATATAAGTTTGGGAAATAAATCAGGTTGATAGGACAAAAAGTAAAAGAAATAAGGAGTTTTATGCAATTATGTTTATACGGTATTTTGACAAATAAAATTTGTGTCAATTTGGTGTCAGTATAAGACGAGATTGTTCCTCGTATAGTATTTTAGCAACCAGAGAAAGATTTGCAAAATATCATTAACCTGCGGTTGGTCACTGTAATACATGTAACCAATAAACAGTCTATCAATATCTATTCTAACCAATCACTGTAATTCTAAAGTCACTAGTCAATTTAGATTAAATATGAGCCCAGCAACGCTCCGTTTATCAGAAATAGTGACTAATTATAAAAAAATATAGCATATTATATATTTTAAGCATAATAATAATAATAAATTAAAATAATAAAATACGGATTCATATACAGTTAATTACAAAAATATCTAAGAGATTTTTTGAGCAATTCTAATATTATTTCTTTTCATGTCGATTTAGAAATTTAAAAGTAGTTGTTGTTTGATGTTTTTTGAGCGTATTAATAAAATAAGTAATTAATTTAATTTACAGCACAAAAAATGGATCAGGTCCAAAATATGCGAGAAACTGATCAAAATTTGACTTTTAATTTGACGTTACAGGAAATGAAAACTACATTAATTCACCGGGGTGTTTTCGGTGAACGTGTTTTACGCAGCTATAAATTTTTGCCTGGGAAAGCAATAGCAAACTAAATAAACTAATGCTTTGGTATTGAAAATTGAATCAGTCATTTAATATCTAAATGAATTATAGCCCTGCATCTAAATGTTCTCAGAGATCATCAACGTCGTCCAGTAGAAGTGTATACCAAATAAATGAAATAACTAGGCTTCAAAAAATAATTAAAACCCTTGAACGTAATAATGAGACGTTAAAAAACTCTTTGGAAAATAGAGATAAAGCAGTTGCAATTCTGGAACGGGAAAAAGAAAAGCTTTACGATGAACTGAAATGTACACAACGAACAAACAGAAATTTGTATCAACAATTAACTGATGAAAGGTAATTGTGTACCTTGTTATATCTAATTTATTAGCTATCCTTCCCAAGAAGTTGATCTCGTCGTTCTTTCTGAGTATAGCAAAAGAATTAAGCAATTTAACGGCAACTGTCATATCACCCGACGATCGCAGAAGCAACATTTGCGGGTTAGCGCTCAAATAACAGTGATCAATAATTTATCCGATTTAATTTTGAGTTAAGGGAGCCTATACCTATCTTAAACGCTGGCATTGCTCTAACAGCTCCTGTGATGTTATCAAGGCTCGTCGGCAGCGGTGAGCGCTCACCATAAAGTGCACCGCTTGCTCGTTATCCTTTTTTATAGTGTTGACCTGTCCCCATTTAGGATATGTTCAAGGATTAACGCACCCGAAGTGAAAAGTGAAAACGTCCCAATTGGGACGTCTTGTCTTAGGTACCGAGTACGACATTGTACGAATTCAAGGGATCTTATATCATATACATAATGGAATATCTTTGTTATTTTAGTATATTTCAATTACTTTCCTATTATTTTAAGTTGTCTAGAGTAGAAAACAAGGAATGAGACCGCAAATAAATTTAATACGGGGACGAGAAATATGGATGCACCTCCGCACAAAGATAATGTCAAGCGTGCCGTGATTGGTTTCCGAGTGAGATTTGATTTTCACACTTACGCTAAAGTGACAAAAAAATGTCGTCCTCTATTTTCTTATTCTTTTAAATATGCTATCCTTTAGTATACCGTTCGACATTTGTGAGAAAGTTTATGATGAACGAAACGTGTAATGATGGGTGATTTTCTAAGCACAATTACCTAATATTCAGAAAGAGATTCATATTTGCGCTTTTTCTTCAGCTGCCGCTGATGTTTAAATGTCTTGTTTACATGAAATATATGAAAGTGCCGATTTTCAGAGAAATACATTTCAAAGAAAAGGAATATTTGATTGAAGATATCAAAAGGTTATCTATTAGACGTGATAGCAATTTAACGTTAGCGGACCATGTAAGTCATGATCAAAATAGGTTTTTCGGTATATATAGCATTTTCCAATCACAGTAGAAATAGAGTAATTTATTGCATTTTACCCTTAAGGGACCAAAATTACTGTCTTCGTTGGAGCAAGAAATTCAAGAAAAAGATAAAATAATTTACAATATATGTAACAAGTACTTAAAAATTAAATCAAGTAAATCGTCATTGCAAAGAAAATTCCTCATGATACAAAAACAAAGTCAAAAGGTACCTATTTATTTATAGATGTAATGCGAATATCGTACCCATACGATAGTGCACAAATGCGAATATCGTACCCATACGATATTCGCATTTGTGCACTAAAGAAAAGAAACATTTCTGAAGCAAATAAAAGATAAAAATGACGGTACGATTCTTCTATTTGTTCTATCCGGGGATAGAGATAATCACACTCTATTATTATTTTATCACTATTTTTTTTATTTAACGTCTCTCATTTCAATTTTCCTTTATTCCATAATTATCACATTTCTTATTTTTAAGGCGTATGTCGATTAAATATTTTAAAACTTACATAAATAGATAAGACCTTCCTTATTTAGAAGAATATTAAATATAACTACGTTTTATATTATTTAGATGTTACTGGAATCTTTCATTCTGTAAGGTAACATTTTAAGGTAAGTATTAGGTGTGTGTTTGTTTAATGCTATCGAAAGTTTCAAAAAACCCACTCGTAGCAAATTTTGATTACTATTTAGTTCTACAGCGTGAAACTAGAAGACCGCCATGAAGTCGAATTAATATGATTTTAAATTTTGATACGAAGATTTGGTTACCACCAGTTTGCTTATTTCCCACAATTATAATAAATAAGATATCCGCAATAGAACAAAGATAACCTATATACCTCCGAAGTTTAGTAAGCTGAAGTGGCGATGAGCTGGCCATATAGGTCGTAAAACCGATAAACAATGGAGAAGAAAGGTTCTCGAGTACAATCTCGGCAGCCTTGTACTGGCCATCGCTGTATTGGACGACCCCTCACTAGACGTAGTGACACCCTGTGCAAATGTGTAGGAAGTCAAAGTTTAGAGGTGGCTCAGGATCGTATTTCGTGGCAGCCTGTGGGAGAGGTCTATGATAAGCATAGGATTCTAACAGGATAGAATGATGATGGTAATGAAAGAAAATGCTTTTTAAATCTAGTTCCAAATTCCTTTGCGATTAGTTTAACCTCAAATTCGCAATCAATCGATGGGGTGGATAATCATTAACAAATTACAAGGCATTGCTTTATTCCTTCTAAATTTACAGATGTGTGAAAACATTATATTAATATTACAAGAAAATAGACAGGCATTGGATACTCTGCTTAATACACTACTCAGGATGCCGCATATGTCAAGATCTAGTAAAAAGTTCATTAAGCTATTAAAAATCAATTCAAGGCTGCATTATGAAAATACGCAATTGAAAGTCCGGATGACTTGTGGGAATGAAGTTCATTTGAAAAAAGGCTTGAGCGTGCCTAATATAGGACCTTCCAAGAATTTAATTTATGAAGATAAGGATAGATTTTCAAATAAATCCGCGCTTCATCATTCTTTTCAAACCAACCAATTGTTAAGTCATTCTGAAGGTTTTAGCAAATTTCCAACTGTACGCACCTTGTCTGCAAATTTCTTAAAGGAATTTTATAGGTCTAAATCCGATACCAATTTGGTTCGCTTAAAATAGAATTCTAATTGATATACATATTATTAATATAATAAAACATGAACTCTATGCGTATTTTTGGATTTCCTTTTATAAAAATGGATTTGCAACGGCCATATTAACGGCTTATATTTTTCATACGCCTGGCGCACCCCGTAACCCTGACTCAAACTGGGTGCATAGAGCATCACAGCCTCTTGACGCAGCAGCGGAAGATTCGATTATCAAGGAAGTCTCGTATTAGGCATACAAGATTTTGGTATTTTGTATAACTGATGTTAATAGCCTAAGGACTGAAAGTCCTTAGACTATTAAAGCTTCAGCGAACGCAGAACCGGTGGCCTAGCCAGAACCCACGGCCATTAATTTTGACATGTCGCCCACAGGCCATCGAGGTTCGGTGCGGACTGTGACTACGATTGCCGTTGACTGTGTTTGTTTAGTCGGTGGCTGGGGACGGTGAGAACCGCCCTGGAACGCGGGTGTACCTAGTGTACGCGTTGTGTTGGTTTCGCCCTGCTCGAAGGCGAGGACGAACTATGGGTGTTTTGTTGGTGCACTAACTGAGTGTGTAGTGTTATTTGGCGGGACCCTCGATGGTGGGTCCGATGCAGCATACAAGAGTAACGAGTACTCTGTACACGTATAACTTGTATATGCACCCGACTTTTTCGAAAGCCTTCGCCACGTTGAGGAAGAGTGCTCCGGTGTTAATTTCATTAGCATTTGTTTACTATATGCTCCGTGATGCGCTGCACCGGTAAGAAGTTGGGTGAGTGGCGGATTTCGAGTTTGATGAACCCTAGAACCTCAACTTCTTTCCATTAATTTGAATAGTTTTGGAGGGACGAAAGGGTGGGATCCCAGCGTTCGTTTCGCGAGGCTGCTATACGTGTTTTCATCTCATACTCTACTTATAGAAATAAGTGACATATAGATTGTCGTTCTTATACAGTGGCGTTTATATACTGCGTTTATGTACTTATAGAGAGGCGTTCTTGCGTCTCAAGAAGTCTATAACATCGTCTAATAGAGCTTAGCGATGGTAACCCGCCACTAGCACCTGTCTCGAGCATTGCTCGATATAGTTGACGTCTACTCTAAACCGACCCCGTATCCTGTTTAGAGTTTATTACGTTGGGAATTGAGTCAAAGTGGGACGGGAAAGATTTATTAAGCTTGGCTTGTACTTTATGGCACTTTTTATGTGAAAAGGTGACTAATGAGCTGGCGTTAAACCTAGGGTTAAATAATATCCACCGCCCAGTGACATTTGCCACACCCGAAGAGATGCAGATGCGTTGCTACCGCTTAGTAAAGTAGAGCCCGACTACCTCACTCATATGACGAAACACAGAAATGTAAAACTCCTACTTCATGCTAGTCTTCTGTGAGGTCGTGGTACTTACCCTGACGGGCCTGCCCATTCATGCAACAGCGAAGAATGTTCCGTGGCCCTACCACAAAATAAAAACTAATTGCAGTTCTAGGTTTAGGAGAGACTATTGCTAAGGCCTCGAAGTAAAACTGGTTCAAAAGGTTTTAATATGTCTTATATCATATAAGTATATTTCTTACACAATATATATAGGATATATAAGGTACCACTCGGCTCTAAGTTAATAATTCTACATGTTAAACGTTCATAAAATGATTATAACAGACTTTTCCACGTACTTTTTTGTAGCAACGTAACACAGATGTATATCGCACAGCCACGGACATTTCACATTTATACGATCAGTAATTATGCTTACTATTATGGAACGTCGTGACAATGAATAGGGAAAAAACAAGTCAATCCGATAAAAGTAATAAAAGATGTTATCAAAATATCTAATAGTCTAATAGTATCTAAAAATCTATAGGTAATAAAATATCATCCCACCAAGCAAAACAAGAACACAATTTATGATATATAGGTATTTTGTATTATTACATATATTGTATTATTTATTCCATTAAAGATTCCTAATGACGCTTCTATAAAAAACGTAGACAGAGTAGTGTAATGCTTCTAAGGTACCGATTAAATTCGGTGTTCTGCGTTTACCAAGGGCCGCTAGTTGGGCGACGAAAAAATCTGCTTTGAATGTCTTTTAAAGTTCTGTACACATATAAATTTAATTAATAATAAAAAGTCTATTGAAATCAGTAATTTTAATTAATACAAAAAAGATCTCTTATGAATTGTAATATTTTGATGATTCTCTTTCTAAGGACTTAATGAATAATAAGAGTAAGAAAATGAAATTTATGTTCCATCCATTTAGATTTGAACCGATCTCAACCGAACGAAATATCGATATGGTAATATTTAAAACATCACTATGCAATTTATTTTTATTCATTTATTAAACGGCAACGGGCAACTCTACAAGTGGCAACACAAGCCTCCAGATTTGTGTGTGCCGGCATCGCACGTGAACGTGTCGCAAAATCTCGTTAAATTAGTGGAATCACCATGTCGGACGAATACTTTTACGGTAAGCTTCAATCTTTATTGTGCTGTGCTTTTACTTTCGAAATTATTTATTGATAAAACGCCATACTTTATTTGTATTGTTAACATGAGTTTTGGCGTTTCCTTTGACACCCGGCTACTTCGCCATTTTATTTTTCAATAATTTAGCAAGCGTTCTTTTCTAGGCGCTTACTACCAACTCTTCCAAATAGCACAATTTAAAATCTCTTTCTATTAATTTCCTAATCTATACCAAATGTTGTTAATTCGTTATATTTCTTGCCGCCATTTTCAAGCATTTCTGTATAAGAAACATCAAATTATTTTCATGTATATTGATGGCGATTCTAGAAATAGAAATATTATCCATAGGTTAACTATCCTTGTATTGATTTTATGGGCGCGGAAAGTTATGAGTCGTGTGTGAATTCTTATGTGAAGGCGGGTAATTTGAAAGTATGGCGTCCAAGCGTCCCATTGAGGAATTTGAGCAACCTTAGCGAAATTAGTGCAGAATTTTATAAAACTACATGGCCTAGGAATTCTAATTCTTCAGTTACATTTATAATGAACTAACTACCGAGTTTAATTAGCTTTTAATACAAATATTGCGTTATTTGTGTGAATTGAGGATAATTAATGTGAGAGCGATATTTAAACATATAATTGGTTTGCAGGTGTAACTCTCTCATCATCACATCAATCAGAGACATGGGACCCAGAAGCTAAGGCGGAATATCCGCGTAGTAATAAGCTGCTAATCCGTCAAGCATTACTTGGACCAGATGCAAAACCCGATGAGCTTAATGTGGTGCAGGTAAATCATCATTGTAGACTTAATCATTAGCCATTTCGGTTTGTCTATTGAAGAATGTACATTAAAATTTTTGTAATGAACTTAAGTCATTTTTCTTTCACAAGGTGTTGACACCTTGGCAGTTTTATACCCATGCTATGATATATATAATATCCATAAAGACAAGAATAAAGAGGAAAGTTCATTAGCTTCTATTTTTTTAACTTTACGGCTTGCAAATGTAATATAGCCAAGTATTTGCATGTTACTTTCTTTTTTAATTGTTTAAATTAATATATACTATATAATATTGGTATACTGAGGTAAACCTAGACTTATTTTATAGTTTGGGTTTGCATATAGTTGTTTCCTTAATGAATTTATTAAAACTATTTAATCAGTATTTTAATTTTCAATGTTTTTAGGTGGAAACTATGTGTCTGCAAGATTCAATAAAAATTCCTGTGGCAATTCTAAAAGTGGGAGAGACAAGGCATGCACGTTTGGATATTGAGTTTCCCGATGCACCAGTCACTTTTACACTTATTCAGGTAATGTTAAAAATATGAATTTACCAACAAAATATTATTATTATTAGGTACTGCTCAATTTTGGTGTATAGAAGTATATACATTTTTATGTTTATGGTATTATCTGAATAATAGCTAAGGGCTGAGTTTTAGCTAGCAATATACTTAGCATTTTGACATGATGATAAAACAAACCATTTGCATTTGACAGGTGTGCAATGTCGTTTTGATATTACACTGCCTGATAATGATTGCTCGAGGCATTTGTCTGACTTTTTAATGTTTTATAGTAAAGTCTCATTTTAATATAAACAGCACATTAAAATAGAATCATTTGTTTTTAGGGTTCAGGGCCAGTACATTTAATTGGCCAGCATTTACTTGGTGCACTTGTGGAAGAATTTGAAGATATGGAGGAGATGGAAGAAGAGATGCTGGATGAAGAAGAGGGAGATGATTCGCAGTTCAAGGTTTGTTCAGAATGAAACCTATTAACTTATTGCTTTTTTTAAAAACATTGCCCTTTAGGATATCACTATCCTGTGTTGTAGGGATGTTTTACAAACATAAATTACATGTGGACACACACCCAGATGCGAAACAACTATCTGTGGGTCACACAAATAGTTGTACCGTGTGACACGACCCCGACGCCGAAGCCAATACATTGGCAACTGTGTCATGGAGTCATCAACCTTAATTTGAATTGTTTCAATATATTATACAGTAGAGAAATGTTTGTGATGTAATGTATATTTAAGTTTGGTATTATTAACCTTTTTTGATCACAGTGATTACTAAGTAGATTACTAAATTTGCAGGAAGATGAGAATAAAAGGAAAGGAGCAGGCAAGCGCAAGACGAATGAGGTACTGAAAACCTTCAACTAATTTCAAATATGATGGGTTCCATACATGCTCACCAGAGGGAAAAGGGCTTGTGGCCCAATTCTGCAAAATTATGACAGTAGCACAGGGAGTTCCCTATGTTCTTAATAATTATGATTGACACCTGTCATTGTTTGGTGAAACTGGGCCCGATTGCTGAAGTGTCTAAAGTACAGCATTGATACATGTGCCAAGTAATGAGTTCTTGCTTGCGCAACATTGGCTGTTGGTTTTCTGTACTCATTCTTTTCTCCCTTTACCTTCTGATAGCTTGGAATTTATGTAGTAAATCTGTATAAGATTGTTAAATTAATTTATATCATTTGAGTTGAGCTGTACTTTTCAAATTCTGTTTTCACAGGATGAAGATGATGATGAGGGTGAGCCTAAGGGTAAGAAGTCGAAAATGTCCAACAATGCCAAAGGCAAGGCTACATCGCCCAAGAAGAATGCCAAGAAGTGAACCGCCTGTGTGCCTCAGCACCGCCCTTTGCCAACACTCTCCAGTCACTTAGACCAATTTCTATTTAAGACTGATGTCAAAACTATCATAGGTAATCCTTACCTAATGTAATTTACAGTGAAATCAACTTATTTGAATTAACTTTGCAAACAGACAGAACAGGAATAACAGGAGATTGTGGTAGTTCTGGGCGGACATCAAGGCGCATCTCTTAGTTTTAACAGCATAGAGTGGTAATTCGGACTAGGTTTAGCATTGTATCGACTCGAGTGTGATTGAGCGAGTGGGTGGGTGTGTGCGTATTATTATGTTCATGATAGTTACTTAGGGTTGCTACAGGTCTAATGGTGGAGTGTTTTCTAACAAATTAGTATACACACTGCAATAGAAATGTAACAACCCATTTGCTGATCGAAGTATCTACAAACTATTGATACAATCCTATGTGGTTACTGATGGTCAAGTGTGATTTCTTCACTATTTTTTCAGTACTAAATTTTTTCCATTCCTTACTGTGGTATAGTGTAATTGATGACAAATTTATGATAAGCCTTTCAATTCACACAGATGTATTTTTAAGTTAAGAGGTAAGCATAATCAGTGTACATTAAGTCATTGGGTCATTTTGAATGGACTAGCTGCCGGAAGACATGTAATTGAATTTGCTAACGATTTCTCATTTCAGAATGAAAACTGATAATCTATTATAGTTTGTTTGTACATATACATTAAAAGCATAAGAACGGTAATAATAAAATGAAACCATTTCTAAACAATTGTTCTGTATTTTATTTTCTTACTGAATATATCCTTTCTAAATCTAACTTTGGTAAGGCAGGTGTGGAGCACTTGTGTACAAAATGAATATTGATTGTCACTTTCTATTGAGAAGTGCTTGCAGAATTTTGTTTCTTTCCCTTTGTATTACATTTGAATCCTCAATAACTTTCACAAGTTTTTCAAATTTGTCTTTGTCATCTTTTTGGTTCATATCCCTTACAACTCTTCTGATTTCTGTCAAAGCGACATTATTTATGTTGCATCTGTGATTGCATTCTTTCTTATGAACTTTCGGTTCATCGTAAATCTGCTCAAAGAATTTGTAATATGGCCATTGATTAGTTTTACCAGTCTCTCGCTTTTTTTCTACTAGTCTAATATAAGTTTGCTTTAGATTTCGGAATTTTTTATCACATTCCTCTGTGCTTAAGCCCAATCTAGGTCCAATCTGTCTCCATAAAGTTTTTTTTTTCATTAATGGATCTTGAAATTTCTCTTTATTTTCTAAATAGAATGTCAATAGTTGCTTAACATAGTCTTCTTCTTGACATTTATAAACTAGCCTGGGATAACCATCATCACTATTATAATTCTTGTTTTCATATATGGATTTGAAATCCTTGTAGTAGCACCATTTTGTAATTGATCTCCCAGATTCAGATCTCATTTTTAACCTTATATAAGTTTGTTTTAAATTTCGGAATTTTCTATCACAATTACTAGGGCTTTCACCAACCACATTTGATATTTCCTTCCATAACTCTTTCTTTTGAAACTTGGGATTCCTAAACTTATAGGCTATTTCAGAATAAGCTTCTATTAAATGTTTAATTTTATTTCTATCCCAAGGCCCCACGTTAGGATTGTAGTTGTAAAATATTCTTTCAAAGTAATTCTGATATGGCCATTTTATTAATTTTCCCGTTTCTCTTGTTCTCTCCACCCAATTAAAATATGTTCTTTTTAAGTTTTTAAACTTGTGATAACAGTTATATTCAGTTGTGTTTAATTGTGAAGCTATTTCTTTCCAAACATCCTTCTGCAAGCAATCAGAACTTCTAAATTTATTTATATTTTCTAAATACAGATTAAGCAATCTTCTTATTTTGCTATCATCCCAAGGTTCTAGCATTGAAGGAGACAAAGATTTGCAATCTTTAAAAACTTCTTCACATATGTTGTAGTGAACCCATTTAATATCTTTACCTAATCTTTTCTTTTTCAATAGTCTGATATAAGTTCTCCTAAGATTCCGATACTTCTTATCACATTCTTCCAAAGGTTTTTTTTTTCTTGATACAAATAGCTTCTCAGGGTCCACTTTGTTTCGGGTGTTTTCCCACAATTGAAGCAATTTCGCTCCACAACATTTTATCATCAGTATATATGTATTATCTATGCATAGCATCTTATCAACATTGACAAATGAAAATGATTGAACAAATCTTATAATAATAATAATACGAAATTACGAATGCAGTAAAAATATCGATATATATTTCGATACTTCTAACCATCGTCGATATTTATAATCTCCATAAATCTATTATATACAGCGTGTCGTTACCATCGCGACAATAAATGAACACACATATAGGGGATAACTTTTTAAAGTTGTATTAAACATTTAAATTCTTTAAAGAATTTTAGAACAGCCTTATCTATAAAAGCGTAACGTAAAGTTCATTTGTAAAGGTCACAAAGCATATGAATGGGTTGAACGAATTTAAAAGAGACAAAACATACTGTTAGAAGGAGCGGCTTGTAATACGACGCTGTGCGCGAGTTGTATAGGTGTTACAAATTTTGTTTCTTTTTTACTTAATTAGTTTGTTTGAAAAATATTTTTTTTTTATTACGGATTTTGTTTAACGTTAATATTTTTTTATGATTATTGGCAAGTAACGATAGACGTGTGTTCATTTATTGTCGCGATGGAAGATACAACTACATACATTAAACGCCAAAAGAGAATAAGGTATGGAATAATAGAAAATTTGAAAATACAAAAACATTGACATGAGCCTCGATCAATTATATTAATAACAAAATAAACCTTATTGCTGATTTTGTACCGTTCATAATCATAAGACTTATCTACATTAAAATACAATAATCGGGGACTTCCCGTAGTATATAACGTGGGTTGAAAATTGTAACTTCAGAAAATAATTTGCTACCAAATATTAATAAAAGTAAATAATACGACACAGTATAATAAAAGCATTCTATATATTAATATTAATTTATATGTACAAATTCTATATATTTACATATTCTATATTAATATTAATTTATATGTACAAATGTATTTCAAAAATAATAAAGATTTCCTTGAAATCTGCCAAAATCTGCCACTTTTTTGAATTGTCAGCCTAATCTGCCACATCTAAAATTAAAGGTGCGAAATCTGCCCAAATGGCAGAAATCTGCCACAAATAGTCACACTGATGTACACCTCCCTCTGCTCGCTTCTTTATGTTTCACTTCTTGAATGCTGGATGTGGCTCATGGGATCGCTCTCAAACCAAAAAGACACTTAAGGACTGATAGGAAAACTGTTTATTTCAACTTAAACATTTTGAACTTATTTTTGGACCAAACGTAGTGATTATGAAATTTATATAAAATACAAGAGTTATGTCAGACAGCTAGACATGTTACTTCTACAAACAATTTTTACGGAATCTATCAAATATGACAAAATTCAGTCTGAACAAATAAAACTAACATTCCAAATTTAAAGTAATTTAAACATAATACATAAATCAAATAGGTCAAGATTTGATAAAACTAGTTATAGGTAATACTCCCATAATATCAGATAACGAAATTGCGAGTAGTTTCGAAAGCTATTTTTCAGACATTGCGGTTAATGTCACACGTGGTTTCTTGTGTGTCACTTTTCTCGGTGGTAGGGCCACGCAGCAGCCTCGGCTGTTGCATGAATGGGCAGGCCCGTCCGGGTAAGTACCACGACCTCACAGAAGACCAGCGTAAAGTGGAAGTATGACAAATACTTTCGCGTTTCGTGTGGTGAGTGAGGTAGCGGGAGCCCAATTTCCAAAAGGTTGTCAACGCATCTGTATCCCTCGGGTGTGGCAGATGTCCATGGGCGGCGGTATTCACTTAACATCAGGTGACCCGTCTGCTCGTTCGGCAACTTTTCACATAAAAAAAAAAAAAAAAAAAAAAAAAACGTACATTAAAATCATCTCCCGCAGACGCAATTAATGTTTTAAGAAATAATGTTACCCCTTGCCTACACACATTTAAATTTAATCACGTAGATACTTATGATATTATAAAAGTTTTGAATTCTATTAATCTTAAAAATACAGAGGATTTATGGGGTATGTCCATAAAATTAATGAGCACAATAATGCCATATATTGCACCACATTTGGCTTCTATTTTTAACAACTGCATAGATTCTGGAATATTTCCAGATCTTATGAAATTTAGTAAGATAATACCTGTCTACAAAAGTGGTGATAAAAATGATCCAGGCAACTATAGACCTATTTCCATATTGCCATCTCGTAGTAAAGTTTTCGAAAAGCTAATATTAAATCATTTTTTAGTTCATTTTAATTTGTAACAAAATCTTTCACGATGAGCAATATGGATTCACTAAAGGCAGATCGACAACAGATGCGGGCGTCGCACTTGTCAAACATATTTATAACGCCTGGGAAAGGTCACAAGATGCAATAGGTGTCTTTTGTGACCTTTCAAAAGCCTTCGACTGCGTAGACCATAAAACTCTCCTTCAAAAGCTAGAATATTATGGCATTCGTGGCATCGCCCTCAATCTCATTGCCTCTTACCTTAGTAATAGAATTCAAAAAGTATCTATAAAAGATGTTAATTCCGCTGGCGTCCCAGATGAAAATGGGAGTCCCACAAGGATCAATCTTGGGCCCATTATTATTTTTAGTATATATTAATGATCTCCCCTTTTATGCCAGTGGGTTGTGTGATGTTGTACTGTTTGCTGACGATACATCGCTTATTTTTAAAGTTGACCGAAACGTATTAAATTATGACGACGTGAATAGTGCACTTTCACATATCCTCCACTGGTTTACTATTAATAATATGGTATTAAATGCCAAAAAAACCAGATGTATTCTTTTACCCTTCCCAGTATAAGAAGGAAAAGTATTAGTTTAATATTAAATAACGTACCCATTAATCCAGTTGAGTCTGCTATATTTCTGGGAATTACAGTAGATTCAAAGCTCCAGTGGAGTCCCCATATATCATCTCTTGCGAATAGGCTGAGCTCCGCGGTTTTTGCGATTAGAAGGGTTAGGCAGCTAACAGACATCGACACTGCCAGACTTGTTTACTTTAGTTATTTTCACAGCATCTTGTCTTACGGCATTTTGTTGTGGGGTAGTGCATCAGATATAAATTCTATATTTATTCTTCAAAAAAGAGCTGTCCGAGCAATCTACAATATCGGAGCCCGGAATTCACTCAGAGATCTTTTCAAAGAGGTTAATATACTCACTGTTGCTTGTCAATACATTTATTGTAATGTTTTGTATATACGTCATAACCTTAATTATTACCTAAAGAATAGTGACAGACATAAAATAAACACTAGAAATAAGGACAAACTTACTACGCCATTGTTTCGTCTACAAAAAGTAAATAAGCCGTTCATGGGGCAAAGTGTGCGCATGTATAATAAAATCCCACAGTCGATATTAAGTCTGCCGCTTGACCAATTTAAATGTAAAATTAAAAATCAACTGATGATTAAAGCATATTATACCATTTTGGAATATCTCGACGACGCCAATGTGTGGAGTTAATACTGTTGATACTCACGTAGGCTAGAATAAGACTATTATACCTGTATATTATATTGTACCCTGATATTTTTGAAAAAGAGCAACTGTTGAGTTTCTTGCCGGTCTCTTCTCAACAGAAACCGCTTTCCGAACCGGTGGTACCTTACGAACCTATACACATAATCTTTGATGTAAAATTTGACGATTCATAAGAGCGCGCAAGCGTCTATTTGAATAAATATATTTTTGATTTTGATTTTGATATCAAAAGAGTATGTTTAATCTGAGATTACCAATCAACATCACTAGCTGCTGCCCACGACTATGTCTGCGTAGAATAGGCTGAAGGCTAAACATTCAGACAGAAAGACAGATATACATAAATTATAGTCTATGTGTATATTTATTCTGATGTATTGTAGAGTTTAAATAACATCCATACAGTAGTATTTGGGTGAAAGAATAACAAACATCCATCCATGCAAACAAACTTTCGCGTTTATAATTTTAATTAGTAAGGATTAGCAAAAATTCTTTTCGCAATGGAAGAAATCGCTTTCTGAGCGATAAGACCGCCTATTGTACTTCCTATTACATTCATTTCTATTTTGCTTTTTAAATATATACTAGCTGCTGCCCGCGACTACGTCTGCGTAGAGGGGTGAAAATTTTGGGTTGTATGTATTTTTGTATGCTGTATCATAAAAACAAAAAATGTTATGTAAAAAAAAAAATTAGGGATGGGCCACCCTTAAAATTTAGGGGGATGAAAAATAGATGTTGTCCGATTCTCCACCCTGGCCGATATGCACACAAAATTTCACGGTCATCGGTCAAGCCGTTTCGGAGTAGTTCAATTACAAACACCGTGACACGAGAACATTATATATTTTTAGATTTTTATTATTGATGTACAATAAATAAATAAATTTTTTGTATTCTATTAATCTATACCTTATTTTCTATTGGCGTTTAATTTGTGTAATTGTGTCTTCTGTGCATGAAGAAGAGGAAATACGTGCGTTCGTACCAACCCGAGAGGAAATAACATTGCTTCCTTTCTGGAGTTCCGCGTTTTACAAAGCTTGCAATTGTAAACTAGTCACAACCACATCAACGCTTGCAGTTGTTACCAAATATTATACCGAAAGATATTTTCAAGTAAAAACAAAATTTTAATTTACTTTTAAAGTATTTCAAAAGCTCTATTAAGTTTATCAATGTCAAATGGGGAAAATATAGAGTAAGAGACCTAGAGGCCGTAATCCTAAAAGCTCGGCAGATCAAATTTCTGAAACCCTATAAATCCCCAAAGCGCCGCACTTCACATGGCGATAGAGCGAAATCGATGGAGACAGCTCGTTGACCAATTGAATATGAGTAACGATCCTCAGCAGTGAAGGAACAACAACGAAGAAAATGTCAAATACCTCATACAAAATGTTGTCTGTTTCATTAACTATACTTTACTGTCTCCAACAATACAATAATATGATGGCATTTTTTGAAGTTGAATTTGGCAGATTTTGGCAAATTTTTTTATTAGTGTCGTGCAGATTCGCTATTTTTGAGATAGTCACCCTGCTCGTAAGTTTGATGGATTTGACAACTGTGTAAAAACGACGCCATTATTATTGTGTTCGCTTCGCCATTATTTAACTGATGGTAATACATTACTGCATGTTTAGTGCTTATTTTGTGTGAAACACTATTAAGACTCACTATTATAATATTCCAATTCGTTTTAAGATTATGTGTTTTGTGAATAATTATTTGAAGCCAAACGTGTGACGTCGGAACTCGGTAAGCATTATGATTTATGAAAGCCGCGCCGGCGGGATTTTGTTATTGCGTCAAAACTGAAGTGATGGTAATGAATTTTAACGATATATATATATATATATATATATATATATAATTATACATATATTAATTATAACTCCTTCATTTTTGAAAGCATATAAGAAAAATAAATAATTATAGTTAACTTGGTGTTTATTAATTTTCTTTACCTTATGGCGGGAAATTCTTAAAATTCCTGTATTTTGTTTACCTCCTGTTTTTTATCCTGCTATGATGGAGTTATTGGCATCATATTGTATAAAAATGCATTCCTTTAGCCTTACTTTTTTGTCTTTGTATTAAAATTGTATAAAAGAATATACTATTCACTTACGTTTATTAAAGTTCAAGGCCAGAGTCCTAGTCTTAACATGTCATGACATAAATTGCAATCAAACCTTACTATTGTGTATTTTGATATATCGAAATCGATTTGTTAACAGTTTGCAATGTTGAATAGGTATGTCAGGTGGTCATCTATTGGTATTGGACCGTGCTGGCCGTGAGGTGAAACAATTTGACCTTTCTTCTGGCTTGGCTACATTGGGAAGTGATCCCTCATGCGATATTCGTATAATGCTGCCAAGTATCCGACCTCATCATGCAACAATTGTTGTGCATGCTAACCAAGTCAGTATTCCTTGTTTCATTTAATTTTTTACAATTGCCTTTGACTGGTTTTCATGCCAGCCTTCTTTTTTAAGTTAAACTTCTATACCAGTTAAGAGCTGCCCTATGTATTTAGTATGATTTGGCTGATGAAATATAAAAAATGATTTAGTGTTGTACATACTTCTTTGCATTCATTTAATTAAGTCTTATTTGATGGGTTCGTTGGTTTCAATAAATAGAAATTCAATGATATTATATTTTCAAATGCATTTTAATACTATAATATTGTCACTGGAATGGTTAAACTACTTAACCGACAAATAAATGTTTGGTATTTAAGTAATACATATTATCACTGGAATGGCAAAATTATTTAACCACCAAATAAATGTTTGGCATTTAATTAATTTTGCCTTTCCATTGATGATTATGCATTATGTATGAGAATCTAATTACGTGTTGTATTTCAGAGGATATGAAATAGAACATATCCTCTGAAAAACCCTGGTCATATTACACACAAAGTCTGCTAATAAAAATTTTTGACACATCATATTGATTCTGCTGGGACCTATACATATATAATTATACATTATGGTTCTCTATTAAATACCGTCAGTCGTTGATTCGCAATGTGGGCTCCGGAGAAACACTGCTGAACGGCGTCAGCATAAGCGTAGCAGCGCTACGACAAGAGGACGTAGTGTCTCTGGGCGGGCGCGAGCTTCGCTGGCGCTACACACACCCTGCGCCACATCACGCCCGCCGCCGTCCGGACTCACCAGGTACACAACGGTCCGATTTAATAAATAACTCTGTGCCACAGTTGCCAAGGTTTGGCGTTGAGTGTCGTCCAACACAGGATAATGTTGTGGTCTATACCACTACTATTACGGGTTTAAACACAAAACTAAAACGCAATGTTTTCAAAGCGAACACTATAATAGATCTTCTAGGTTACAATGGTGGTTGGAACTTACTACTCAACAATCAGATGAAAGGCACATAAAGTATTGCAATGCAAGTGTAATAAAAGTAGAGTAAAACCTAGTTTTGATGTTTACAGCGCTGCAGATGCGCGGTGCGCGGGGGCAGCGTGGGGGGCGCGGCCGCCGCTCCGAAGGGGCACGCACACAAGCGGCACCGCACCACCACCGCGATTCGGCACCAGGTAATTCTTATTAGGACAAGACAATGAGTTAAAAAAAACAAAGTACCCAAATGTGTCTATGTGTATAATCTTGTACCAGCGCTGTTTATCGAAATCCAAACGATAAAATTATTCAAGAAAAAATGTAATGAGATACTATTCAATCATGATATATATTCATTCTCTTTTCATTTATAACAAAGTAATTACTAGATAGCAAGTGGTTATGTAACAGTAGTTGAAAGATGTTGTGTTAGTAAGTCTATTCATGTTCAATTTTCTGGACAGATGTTAAACTTTACTCATGCTTATTGAGGACACTGAAGACTCGCTTTCCTATTATTCACTAGCACTCTGTTGTTTATTGTTTGGACAAATGTATCTGTGACTGTTAAATTGATGTTGCAGCTGCTATAACCACCCGTCAAGTAGCAATTGTGCAACCACAGAGAAGGGATACTTCCGATCATATCGGTAAGTGTTATCTTAATTTTTATTTTTATCTATGATCATTATCCTCTAACTCTGAAGTATTTCCTCTAAACTTTATTTTCAGAATCGGTTTCAACCTCGGCTGTCTCTGTCGTTACTAATGTTCGACGCCGCGGGACTGTCAAAAGCAATGCAGAATTGGACACATCTTTGAACAAGTCAATGGAAGAACAAAATAAATCAAGATCTCCAAAGAATTCTCATATTAATTTACAAAATACCACAAAAGCTACATTGTGGATTGAATCGAGAAAGAGCAGTCCCAGGAAGAGTTTAAAAGAAATTTCAACCCGTTCCTCGATTACACCAAAGAAAGCTTATTCAGCAAAAAAAAGCACTCCACTTAGGATGACTGTGTTGAAGAAAGCTCAAAGTGTGCAAAAAATGAGGGTTACAAAGATTCAAGCACCTTTGACAATTGGTAAGTGGTATACATAAATGATGTAATGTATAGTATAATCATGCTTTGGGATGCAATTTTTTACAAGCATGGACTAAGTAAAAGCATTTAAATTATTAATAAAAATAAATAAGAAAATGATTACAGCAACTCTTATAAAACTGGCTTTTTGTGTATCTCTAGATGACGAATGTGGTGAGTATATTTTCTTATGTAGGCATAGAGTTTACATTGATTTATATTAATGAGCTAGTTTTTATCTTTCAGTGCCATAGTTTCAATTGATTAATTAATATGTAAATGATAATAAGAAACAGTTACATTGTCTCAAGTTATTGAATTTGATCATTAATTACCACAGATCACACAAAGCAAGCGGCGATTATGTTGATGGCCGGCCATACGCCTAGGCAGAAGGGGCGCAGCCCCACGCAGGGTGGTGCCAGGCGGGCCACCTTCGTCGTGGGCAAGCGCAGCCCCCGCCCCAGAGGCCGTCCACCTAAGAACTCCTTGCCGGTCAGGGCGAGTGCGGCGCGAGCCGATTATTTAGAGGGAAATTTCCCTCGAAAGACCATTATAGAATCTTCGGATCGATCTGTTAGTATTTTCGTATGGTTATGGCAGGAAAGAAACGATCGGTGGAGGTTACAGCTTTACTCTTAATTTTAGGCATCGGTGCTGGAGATAACGGACTCCGACACCGGACGATCGGCGATGAGCGAGAGCGATTCGGCGACGCCGCCGCCGCCCGGCCAGAGGAAGTCGGCGCTCAGGGACCCGAGCGCGAGGAAGGGCGCCAGGAGGTCGGAGTCGATCAAGTTCGACCTGAGCAACCTGGGCGGCGGGCGGGCGCAGGCGAGGGCGCGCGCCATGCTGCGCCGCACGCTGGGCGCCGAGGCCGTGGCGTCGCCGGGCGGCGCGGCCCGCCCGCCCCCGCCGTCGCCCCCGCCGCCGGCCCGCTCGCCCCTCGGCGCGTCGCGCGGCGGGCAGCTGCTGCGCAGGGCGCTGCAGGCCGCCAGCCCCCTCGACTCGTACTCGCTCGTGGACCTGGTGTCGGTGGGGTCCGGCAGCTCGCGCTCCCTCTACGGCTCGGCGTCGGAGGCGTCCGAGGCCGGCTCCTCGCGCTTCGCCACGCCGAGCCCGGCCGGGGCGCGCGGCCCGTGCGCCTCCACGCCCGCCCACGGCCCCTTCGCCCGCTCCGATCGTTCAGATCGTTTTCGAGGTGACGTCACGTTCGATATCACTAAGGAAAACGTTTCTTACGACGAAATTTCATCCGCTGTTAGAAGCACTAAAGCTTCTTTCGGCTCCGGGAGATCTAGGAAGACAAGGTCTGCCTCGGCCCAAGTTAGCATTTCGGACAATATAACAATAAATACGACTAGATCTTCTACTACGAGTTTGAATCCTTCACAAATAAGCGAAATTGAAATGGTATCAGCGAGAGGTACTCGGTCAAAGTCTGAAAGTCCGGTTCACGATGGCGCTTCTACGCCCAGGAACCAAAAGAGTCCCGAAGAGGTGGGAACGCCCGTGTTGAGTATCCAAAGTCTTTTAGATTCTACGCAAAACACAACATTACAACAACAATCGAGGAAGAAAGGCGTTTCGAGAATTATAATAAAAAGGAAAACTGTAGGCAGCCGACTGTCCGGACCTAGAAAACGTGGGAGCATAAAATCTAAATCGCTCAGCCATGGTACCAGAGAATCTCCTAGATCAAAAGGGTCAATGAGTTCTCCTAATGAATCTGATATGACAGCAGATGTGTCACAGGACGATGGAGATACAACACCAAAGAGTGGCGTGAAATTGATCCAAGAAGCTGTAAAAAATAAACATTCAACAGCTAAGAAACCTAAGTCAAAACGGTCCATAATAGACAATCTTAACGAGTCCGATATCGTTAAGCAGCTTTTCAATAGCCCCGTCAAGAGGAAACTCTCCCAGAGTATGATTGAGTTTTCTAGAAAACAGCTCTTGGAAGAAGACACGAGTCCGGCAAAGAGACCAACACGAAATACCATCGCTTTGGGCGGTAGAACGCCTGATAATTCGATTTTAGACCAATCACAAGCTTTCACTCCAGAAATTTTCGTCAGCCCTCTAAGTACACCAAGCAGCAGTCCTAATGTTGTTGGCTTGAAACGATTGTTTGCTAAGACCACTCCTGAAAATGATCTTCGCAACGTGAGGGGCATTAAAAAACTGTTACAAACGCCAAGAGTAAGACGCTCTGTTAGAAATGACCTTACCCAAGTGTCTGGCGTGAAGTCAGTGTTTGCGCGGTCGCCTAGAAATCGTTTGAGTGACGTTGGAATTAAAGAGGTATTTGCAGCATCGCCGCAAAACGATCTCAGACGAGTTTCTGGTGTAAAATCACTTTTTCAATCACAAAAGAAAACTAAATCACCAAAGAATGATCTAGGAGACGTCGCCAATGTGAGAAATTTATTTAAGAAGAACAGTCCCCGTAATGACTTAGGTAACGTTTCGGGAGTCAAAAGAATAATGCGAAGAAATTCCCCAAAGAACGATTTGGGAGATGTTAGAGGCTTACGTACGCTGTTCCACTTAGAGAAACAGCGCGAGGATTTGAACAATATAAGTGGCATCGAGGAATTGTTTAGTGAGTCTCATCAAAATTCAAATGTGACTGATGCTAATTCAGATAATTCGTTCAACTTGCTCATCGGTAAGCCAGCTGTGAGGGCCTATCCAAAAGCTAAAAGTTTTTCAACACAATCTGTTCAAAAACCTAAAACACGTAAGACCAAATCCTTCCAAACGTCATTCAGTTTGATAAGTAACAACGTAGAGGATTGGTTGGAAAATGAGTTGAGGAAACGAATGCACAAAGACGATGTAAAGACACCTGCGAAAAAGCAGCTTGATAAATCCACCGAAGAAAATGCCTCTGTTTCCACATCTAAGTCCAACAGATCTAGTAGTATTGCTCTAAGAGAAAAGACTGCATCCAGAAGGAAATCAGAAATATCAAGGTCTGGAGTAAAAGGAAGGAAAACTACGTATGAAAACACTGAAGATATTACAGCAGGTAATGACATATTTGGAGGTAATAAATCCGGTGTTAATGCCTCCAACACCTCCGTTATCAAAACTAAGAATAAAAGCAACCAATCACGTGAACTCCTCAAACTGGCGACCGACACCGTCGAGGGGAATGCGTCAGTGTTAACAACGAGGATTAGAAATAGCACGCTCACTAAAACATCTTCCATCGATGCGGCTGACCGAAAAAAATCTACATCGGAAATCTACGGCGCGCACACGCTGCCGTTAAAGAAGAGGTCACTCGTGGACACGTCCGGGAACAGAAATGGCGAGAGGAACATTCTGCCGATCAAGAAGAGAGCGGTGATGCATTCCACCCCGGTGAAGGGCAAGGTGAATATGACCATGAACGCGTCAGAAATAGGGCGCGTGTCGCCCATAGCGCCCCTCGCCGCGGAGCGCCGCTTCGAGGCAGATGCCACCAGGTGAGTTTTCTTCTAGTGTACGTGGCGGGACCCTCGACTCGGCAAAAAACGTAAATAATAAATAATAATATAAAAAAACCGTCCAAGTGCGATCCGGACTCGCGCCCGAAGGATTTTTTTGCCGTTTTTATAAACCATAAAAACGGCAAAAATTCATGTCTGTTGATAGGAGTCCCACTAATATAGAGAATGTTTTTTATTCTGTTTTTTAGTATATATTGCTATAGCGGCAAAAGAAATACATCATTTGTTCTTTCAACTGTCTAACTATCGCGGTTTACGAGATACAGACTGGTGACAGAAGGACAGACGGACAGGCAGACAAAATGACAGACAGACAGCGGAGTCTTAGTAATAGGGTCCCATTTTACCCTTTGGGTATGGAACGTCTGCGCCAAATCTACCAGGTCATACGTTTTGACTTTTAGCGCCATCTTTTGGATCCTTACTCAATCCAACCTATAAATTTACCTTACACTGCCATCTTAAAATCTTATGGAACTTGCAGATAATTATAACTCTTTGTCGTCTAAGAAATTGCAATAAAATAATATTGCGACTATAAATTGAGATGTAAGCTATTCTATCTTTCAAGTTGGATCAAACTGCACACAATGCGCAAATTTCATTAAAATCGGTTAAGTAGTTTAGGAGTTCATCGCGGACAAACAAGGTGACACGATATTTATGTATATTTTTTTTGTGAAAAAGTGGCACGACCTGGCGGTTCACCTGATGTTAAGTGATAACCGCCGCCCACGGACATTTGCAACACCGGTTGCAGATGTGTAGCCACCTTTTAATAATGTGGGCCCCGGCTACACTCACCAGACGAAACGCAGAAGTGTAACTTATACTTTACGCCGATCTTCTGTGAGGTCGTGGTACTAACCCGGATGGACCTGCCCATTCGTGCAAAAGGGAATACTGTTGCATGGTCCTTCCGCTTAAAAAAAATATTAAGATAGTTGGACATTTTACACTATTATGATGTTAATATCATTAAATCATCATAACATTATACTTTCATTATTTTACAGAAGTACCGAGACATCCAAGAATAGTCCTAAGCGAAAACAGTTACTGGCAGAAAATGTTAAATTAGTTCCAATAGCTGACAAAAGCAAAGAAAAAAGTCCAGCTCCCGTGAGGCCTACACGAGGTCGTAAGACGAAACAAAGTTTAGATGCGAATAACGTTAAGAAGCGCAAATCGTCCATAGTTATCACCAAAAAAACACTTCGCCTTAGCTCAAAGCCCTCATCAAAGATTTCCATGGAAGAACCTCCTGTGGTTGCTAAGACTATGAGGAGAACGAGAGCAAGAAATGTTACTGGTGAAAAGGTGTCAGTACAGGAAAATAAAGGAATCGACATTGAAAGCGCAAAAGTGAAGTCGAAAAGTCAAACTAACTTCGGAAAGTACAAGAAGGCAAGTACTATAAACCAACCTTCCGAAGAGAATGTACCAAAATCAAGGAAAACGCGTGGACAAAAAGTTTCTCCGAAAAAAGTTGAAACTCCAAAAAAAATTACGAGAAGTAAAACATCAAGAATAGGCGTAGTTATAACTAAACCTTCTCCACTTATGAAGCCGAGCACAAAGAAACAAGTAAAATTAAATGAGGCACAAGAGTCTTTGCAGATAAAATTTCCAAGAGCGCGTCACGCTAATAAAGCATTAACAAATAACCAACTTGAAAGCAATCCAAAGAATTCGTTATCAAAAGACCACAACAGTATTGAGAAAAAATCTAAAACTGAGGGCGGAGTAGAAAAGAGAAACACAAGAAATATGAAAAAGGAGCAGAGTACAGCATCTGCACAAAAATCAAGAATTAACGAAAAAGAATTGGATGAGGAAGCAGAAACAAACATAAAACCGAAGAGGGGCCGGAAAACTATTGCTAAAGCTAATACACAAGAGGAGATTGAAGAAAATAACATGCAAACCAGACCCGTTCGAAACACAGGAAGACAGACTGCCATTGAACAAAGTAAGCCAAAATTGAAAAAAGAATCACAAGAGTCTATTAATAAGAAGAAAAACACAAAGACTACAAACAGTGTTCCTTCAGAAGGTACTAGAAGAGGACGCAAAAGGAAAATTACTGTTGAGGAATCTCCAGTTAAAGTAAAGAAGTCTAAAAAGGAAGACATAAGCAAAAAAAGCCAAGGGAAAAAAGTTGAGCAGGAATCTTCAGAACCTAAACAGAAAAATCCTAGAGGAAGACCTAAGAAAAAAATGGATACTTTAGAGAGCAGTCTAAATGAAGAATCAGTAAATCAATCTAAACCGAGAAGAGGTGGAGGAATTGTGGAATCAGAGCCTTCAGAAGTTGGCAAATCTCGGATTGCTGGTAAGAATAGAGGAAGGAACAAAATTAACCATGAGAAAGATGAAGTCAAGATTGTCCGGGGAAGGAAAAAGCAATCCGTAGAAGTAAAAATTACCCAGACCAAAACAGAAATAAAAACGAGGAAGAGGAGAGGGGAAGGGGACACTTTGCCGGAAAGCATTGAGCCCACTGAAAAGAAACTGGAGAAAGGGGATTTGAAAATTACTCGACGACAGAAGGTGAGTCACTGTCACTTAAAAGATATTTTTAATGTAACCATAAGTTTGTGAATTTTAAAAGTATAAAAAGATGAAGAGACTTTTTCTACATGTTTTAATGTTCAATCTTAAGTGCAGAGACTAGCACTATAAAAAACTTTAAAATTTATAAAAAGAAATGGCGACATCTCGTTCGAATTATTGTTGTAAAACGATATTCGAAATTGTTTGTATGCTTGAAAGGATATAACAATAGCTGCGCCAAGCATTGCTTCAAATGCTAAATAACAATGTAGAAGGAAGGCGTTAAGATTTTCGTCTCTGTGGTTATCAGCCGTTTAGCTCAGTGGCTAGAGCGTCAGGCCGCGAATGCCGAAGACGTGGGTTCGATTCCCACAGCGGCGACAATCTTTTCGTAGTTTTTCTACATGTTTTAAAGTATAAAAAGATTTCGAAACATCAAACAATCTCTTATATTTTGACTCCATCTTAATGATTACATTGCTTAAATGCGAAAAAACAATGTAGATAAAATATGTCGAGATAAAATCAGTAAAAATAGATCAATTTGATACAAAAAGTTTTAATTATGTGTGTTGTAATTTTTGCTTACTTAAATACCAAGAGTAATTCACTTTTAAAAAGTTTTAATTCCTCACAGGAAGCCGAACCTGACAAGCCCTTGGTAGGACGAAAGCGGAAAGCTGACACATCTTCCGCCAAAGGTATGTATCATTTTACTGTCAGTGAAATACATATTTTTAAATTGCAATTTTATCATAGATGGTTATGTTTGACCCATTTATGGTAATATTGTATCAATACACAAAGACACAGAAGCCTGTATTTATATCTAATTGATTTTTGATGACTGCGTGGCGCATTTGTTAAGGTATAAGGCTTCGGCGCCGGGGGTTGTGGGTTCGATTCCCACATAGGACAACCATTAATTATATGTGAGACGTACATATAATTGTTTTGGATCTTTGTAAACTTTGGATTTAATTTAAATTTCACGTACAACCTTAGAACACATGATCACTGTAATCCTAGAGTAAGGACAGTACAAAAAAAATGAAGTAGTTTGTATGTTTTTTCCAATTACACTGAAGCATCTGGAGGGGTACAAAGAAATCCACAAAAAAATTGTAAACATTTTGTAAAAGCTACCTTACTAATGTGGAAGAATACATTGAGGACAAGCATTTGCGGAAATTACTCTTGCCCCTGCACTTGCAAGCCAATTTTATACTTAAATAATTTAGTAAAATTACATAACTAAAAAAAAATAAGATAGACGGCAGAGTTTATTGCCAGTTCTACAGGTATAGTTTACTGAACTGGTGCTAGTTTTTTGAAGTTCAATAAGAACTTTAAATAAGCGGCAATGTTCTCCTCATTAAAAAAAATCATATATAGGCGATAGAACCACTTGGGCGAAGTCGCGCAGTAGGTTTTGAATTTAATGTTTTTGACATTTTAAGTTGTACAACCAGTGCAGCCTTCAAAGTCGCGTAAAACCAATGTGGCTAGTCCCAAAGATAAAAGAGGGCGAAGCAGTAAGATTCAAGGTTAGTTTTTAATTAAAAAATATTTCAATTAACATACTCCAGGCAGTATGATATACTTAAGGTAACTCAGTTTATATTGCATGGTGAAAGTTAGCCTAAAAATGTCTTAAGAAAGCAAAAATATATGATGAGCTTCGACGCCATGGGTCGTCTGTTCGATTTCCAAACGAGTCAACTTTTTTATGATCCATAGATAATTATTTCGGATTTGGGTGTTTGTTCACGTGAAAATTATTTATTTAAATCATTCTTACAACACAGAATAATGTTTTATGTTTTCGTCTCTCAACTCCTTCCACACAAAATACGAGTCCAAAAAATTTTTTACGTTATTAGGTATGGGATGAATTAGTAACGTCGTATTGAACATTTACAGAGCCCCAAAAGCCAGCTGCACGCACGCGACGTAGGTAACTCAGCACTGGATGGCAGTTGTAATCCAGTACACATGGTAATGTGATATATTGGGCGTTTTGTATTTTGACGTATAAAATCATTGATAAAACGATTTACAGCTATATTTTATACTGCCACTTGTTGCTTATCATCATGAGTGTAGATTTGAATATGTTACTGTCTAAAGTAGATCTTAGGTGTTTGTCATTTCGTTCCTTTCCTTATAACTGCTCGATTAAGACCACATTTAACATGTAGGATGCCTATTCTTCTTCAAATACAATATTTTTGCACATAAATTTTAAAACAATTCATTACTGCAGCAAAATAAGATTGTTGAGCTGCGTTACACACCTTGGCTAGAAGTGAACCTTTGTTGGAAGAGGCAGGTAAAGATAATGCCTGGTGGCAATAAGTTTTTAAGTGAAAATGATAAATTTAGCAAGTGTTCGCATTCAAATTAAATACATGAAATGTACAAAATATTAACTTCTCTATGCATAGTTATTTAAAGTACAAATCTTTTAGTCTTTAGTTTCTGGAATGGTGGAATAATAAATATTTTTTGAACGTACATGATATAATATATTTAATACTTATGGCTGTACATTTTACCTTTTTATATGGATAAAAAATATGAATATGTAGGACTATATGGTAAAATTTGTTATTGCATATCTGAGATAAATTATGAGACAATAATGAAACAATAGAAAATATGTGCCACATGTTTGTAGGTGTTGATTAAATAGAAAATACATAACTTATATACGAAAAATATAAATATATTTAATCTGATTTGCTTTTTAGATAAAAGGTAAAACATTATTTATTTTTAATATAAATCCTTCAAGTTTAATGTGGATACTTAACATTACAACTAAATTCCGATAAAAGTTATTGTAAAATGGCGCTCTTTTAAATCGGCCATATCATCATAAGCTATTAAGCATATTTAAGTAACCCCATTTGTAGGTTGGTTCATTATATCGAAAACCGTTCATTTATTAAATGTTATGGAACATTCTTGTGCAGTATAAAGGAATTAGTTGAACAAGTTTTTAGTTCTTTATTAAATCCCATAATCAATGTTAAATGGGCTCTTTATACACATCAGTACAATTATGTAGGAATTTGGTAATTTTAGTTATTAAAGTTAATTATGAGTGCTTACAATTAATATATATAAATTTTATATGTTACATTTCTATTTTAATATAAATCACAAATTTGTGATATTTTATGGAAAGACATTTATTTAGGCCAACAAAAACTGAAAGCTGTTATGTAATTACAACACGTTCAGAGAATAGAATATTTCATAATTATTTAAACAATTGATTTTTCAATCAATAAATTTGGTCCTAATTAAAGTTACAGTCTGACTTGTTGAAGCAACAATAACTGCAATTATAATTATGAATGTGATGGTAACAATGTAATAAATAAGCTTTCAGCCTTGTGACATTACAAGAAACATGTGCGCACAATGAAGGCCAAATATAAACCTTACTTAGTTTTTGTTATTAACATAGTGCTGCATTTGTTTGATAATTATTGACATATGGTAAATTTTGGATTACTGAAACATGTTAATCTTTTAGTTAAAATATCGAAGTAATGTTTTAAAGCAGTCTTATAAGTGCTTTATGAAATGTCATTGTAGAGATTTTAATATGTTTTGATAAGCTATTAATTTTTTTTGTGATTACGTTTTTAACAATTTACTAATACTACATTGGATTTTTATCATTGAGATGGAGGGAACAATTAAGGCAATGAATACTGATTAAGAATCTGAGTAGATTTGTCTCAAATGGACATTAGATGTATCTGTAATGATTTTGTGTCAAAATAATGTTGCATCTGAATATTTTAATAAATTTATGTAGAACGTACTAGTTGTTTCATTTTCTGCTAAATAATACAATAGTTTTAAGTTTTGACTTATCACATGTTCAGTGGTGAAGGAAAACACGTGAGGAAACAAATTTTAAAATACACCAAATTCAAAATAAAACAAAACAAAATATTTTGAAGATATGTGAAATCCGCCAATCCGAGTGGGGCCGTGTGGAAGATGATGCACTAATACCCACTGTACGTGATAGCTCAGTGTCCGGGCTCTCGCCTTTAATATACTCGAGCAACCTGAGTTTAATCCCTGTTGCCCTGTCAATTTTAAGTGCTGAATTATCGCGTGCTCAGCGGTGAAGGAAAACATCGTGAGGAAACCTGCATATTTTCGAAATAATAACAAAACAAATATTTCGATGATATGTGAAGTCCGCCAATCCGCAGTGGGGGCGCGTGGTGTACTATGCCCTGACGCCCTCTGTACAGAGGCCTTTGCCCAGCTGTCGGACATGTATAGGCTGATTATTTACTTTTTTAATTTGTAAGGCGTAGGTAGTATGCTGTAAAGGATGCACACTGGTTGGTACCTAAATTGCTAAAAGATTCAAATAGAACGAACATAGATAGATGTCAAGGTGTTCGCGCCGTGAGGTCATAGACCGCTTAGCTCAGTTGCTAAAGCGTCTGGGCGCGAAACCAGAAGACGCAGGTTCGAATCCCGCTGACAGTTTTTGTTCATTTATCTACAACTATTTAAAATTTAACGTATAATAACAATGCTACTGATCCTTCCCATTTTATTGAATAAAACGTAATCTACATCACTCGAAACTGCATCGAATTCTTGTTCCGTTGCTGTGTTTATTCATAGTAAATATGGTAACGTGCTTCCGACCACAAATGTGAAGAGGGAGTTTAAAAAGAAAATAACAGTTGTATGTGATTAAATATATTCGAATAAAAGGTGAGTATGTTCATGGCGCGGAGGGGCTCGGGCGGGTGCGGGCTCTCAGCGGGCCCGAGACGCGGAACACGCTCGGCACCAGCGCCTGCAACAAACGCTATGGGGAATCGCCTCCTCACATCAGCGTCGGCGACCCCGTCGGCCTCAGAGGGCGCGGGTTCGATTCCCACTAGTGGAAAAATATTGTGTCATGAACATAGTGTTCTTCCAGTGTCGGGGTGTTTATATGTGAGTAATTTGAATTTATTCGCAAAAAAAGTATGTTTCTGAGTATCCTAGTACGTTGCTTAGTTCGGGACGAGATGTTATAGTTTTATTTACAAGGGACGGCTACAGAGTTCAGGGAGACTTAACACGTCCGGTTAACTCAAGGACAAAACGAGCGGCGCGAAGTGGAAGTATTAGACTTTGACCTTTCGTGTGGTGGGTAAAGGTAGGGTTGCGTGGAGAGACGGAGAGAGGCGCGCTAGGGGTGGCACCTGCAGCGCGGCGAAGAGCGAGGGCGAGGAGGGCGGCAGCACGGCGTGCAGCGTGCGCAGCTCGGCGCCGCCGCCGCCCGCCGCCTCCAGCACGAAGCCCTTCACGCACTTGAGCACCAGCTCGGCGCGGCGCACGCACCACGCGGCCGTCATCTCCTGCCCGTGGCGGGACGTTTCTTTATCACGCGCACACAAATATCGATCGATTCCCACACCGCACAACTATTTGTGTGGCCCACAGAGGCTGTCGTTTGTCCTCGTGCACTTTATGTTTCTAAAACGTCCTTACACAGAATAATGTTTTTTTTTTAATCTAAAAAAAAATCTATATTTTTCATTTCTAATATGATATTTAAAAACAGTATCAAAAACGATATCTTTTCACATTCGAATCCGACGCAGGGTTTCGACGGTGTCAAATATTTGATACTTGACATAATGTTTTTTTTGTGCAACGGGATAACTAGGGCCTAAAGGGAAAATATCGGTATATCGATATCGATATTTATTATTTTATATATAACCAATCCGATATTGATATTTTTATAAATATCGTTATATTTATTCACTTTTCACATCTTAAGGCTATGGTAGCGCAATTACCAAGCTATTAGCTTCAGGCGCCGGGGGTCGTGAGTTCGGTTCCTTTCGTTAGTTTAAATTATGCATAAAAATACATCAAATCAATAAAAAAACATAACACATGTATAATTTACGGTCGAATTTCGACTAATGGGCGACCACTAGTATCTAATTAATATAATTAGTCCTAACGGGACGTCTATAAATCTAATGTGTAATAAATACAAACAATCCTAATGGACCTTTTATCTACGAATACGGCAGATATTGCTAACAGGGCAATACCGTAAGCCCGTGATGAAGCGCACGCACCTCGGTGATTTCGTGCCTGAGGAGCAGCGGAATGGATATGGAGGTGACGTCGTTGCAGCAGGCCGCCTTCAGGATATTCCGCAGACCGAGGATCGCCGGGTGGCGGGAGGTTATGTCACCTGCGAATTGATTTTATTATAGTTCGTTCGCGTTAAAAATGGAGTGAGTCATTATTGTCCAGCTAGCCGTGGCTATTAACTAATTAGGAACTATTTGATCGGTCACGGGGCGTGCGTGTAACAGTTCCTAATTAGAAAGTTCATAGTGACTAGGGATGTCGAAAAAATATATCGATATATAAAATTATCAATATTGACCCCCATATATCGAAGAGAAAATATCTTTCTAGGCTCTGTTATCGAAAAAAAAAAATGTATGCCAAGCATTCAACATTTCAATGTACGGACTCTGTCCCGGATTCGAATTTGAAAAAAATATCGTTTTTGATACGATTTCAATATTCGATACATTGTATTGGATCAAAATATATCATCGATATATGTAATAAGAAATATCGACATGTCGATATTTTTCCGGCATCCCCCGTACCCGGCGCGAAGCGAAAGTGCACCCGAACGGCGGTGGTAGACCTCGAGCCGCTCACCCGACTTGAGCGAGTCGTCGACGACGAGGTGGAAGACGACGTGGGCGTCGAGGTTGCCGTGGCGCGTGAGCAGCACGTCGCCGGGGCGGAGGGGGCGGAGGGACAACTGTTCGGAGGCGCGCCGCAGCTGGCGCGCCGCGTCCAGGAAGTGGTGGTCGGCCGAGGCGGCGGCCAGCGCCACGAGCGGCGAGCGCGCCGCCCGCGCCTCGCGCGCCTCCGCCAGCACCACCACGCCCGTCAGCTCGCCCGAGTACAGCGCCAGCGCCGGCTGCAGCCGCGCCGCCGCCCCGCTAAGGGCGAAACGGGACCACGCCGATAGTTGGACGGTTGAAATTACTGTTGCCGCTATGACAAACGCTATAACGGTTTTTTTGTGCCGGCGTGGGAAACGTCCACGCGCACCCGCCCTCGCGGGAGCACGGACGGGCTATACCGGACTCGCACGAACTAAAACCCCGACGACATTACATATCGGCAGGGCTATTCTTAATGCTTCATAACACTTTAGCGAACCTCCCAGCGCTGGCTGCCTCAGAAGCCCCTTCTCGGACTCCCCTCTAATTCAGCGAGCCTTCCTACTAACTCCCTCGAGTTCGCAAACCAGAGGCCATGGTAGCCAGGAGACGCCGATCCACTCTTCCCTCTCTCTCCCACCCTCCCGCTATAAGGCCGACGACTGATGACACCGCACACCCAAGCGGTGTAAAGAGTACTACCAAACCATCGTTCTCTTATTATATCGTGTGCTATAGTAAAGGGCACTGGTCACACCGGGAATCCCGTTGAGCCCCACATACCTACGGTGACATTTTACGGTGGTAGGGCCACGCAGCAGCCTCGGCTGTTGCACGAAAGGGCAGGCTCGTCCGGCTCGTCCACGACCTCACAAAAGACCGGCGTGAAGTGGAAGTATAATACTTTCGCGTTTCGTCTGGTGTCAGTTCCAATTTTCAAAAGGTTGTCAACGCATCTGCAACCCTCGCGTGTAGCAGATGTCCATGGGCGGCGGTATTCACTGAACATCAGGTGAACCGTCTGCTCGTTTGGCAACTTGTCACATAAAAAAAAAATAACCAAGAAGTTCGTCCTCGCGTACAAGCATAGCAAACAACGAACTCATGAGATCAGTGATCATAGCAGACTAATGCGTACGAGAACTGAAAAGTTCGTTGCCTAATTTCAGTCATGGGAATAGCTGCTGAATTATGAAATTTTCCCGTAATGCGGATTATTATAGGGAAAGTTATATCATTAATATCGCAGTTGTTGCTGTGTTTGGCGAAATTCTGGTCCGTTCGGGTAAGTACCGCGAACTCACAGAAGACCTGAAGACATGAAGTGGAAACGTTACATTTCTGCGTTTCGTCTGATGAGTAAGGTAACCGGGGCCAACTTTAAGTTATTAAAAAGTGTCCATGGCGTATAAGGGAGAACTGCCGTCCAATGACGCCAGGTAAACCGCCAGCTCGCATGCCACTGTCCAACACAAACTAGCGAACCTCCACGGCTTCGCACGGGTGCAATGTATTATACATATAACCCTTCCTCTTTAATCACTTTATCTAGTAAAAAAAACCGCATCAAGATCCGTTTCGCTATTTTAAAGATCTAAGCATGCATAGGGACGGACAGACAGCGCGAGGACTTTGTTTTATACTATGTAGTGAAGACGCAGAAAAAGCAGAGAAGGCAAAGAGGGGCCACTGACTTGTCGTGGTTGACGGCGCAGAGGTCCAGCATGTCGGCGGCCACGAGCCGTATGTTGTGGGTCTGCTTGAGCTGGCTGCCCAGGTGGATGGTGAAGCTCTCCTCTAGCCGGGGCTTGGGCGCGCCCAGCGGCGGCTGGTCCACGGGGAACGTGGCCAGCGGGGAGTTGCTGCTGATGAAAGCCCTCGCTTCGTTCATTTGAGCCTTGCAATTTTAGCGTAGCGATATTGTAGGAATATCTAATTACATTTTAAGCTACCTTAATGGATGTCTTCGTAGTGCTGGTGCCAAGGGGTTGTGGCTTCGATTGACACACAAGACAACTATTTGTGTGAACCATATTATTGGGTTATATGTTTACATGCAACTTGTAATAAATCAGGTATACAACATTAACTTTTTTGGTAAAAAATGAGACAATATTATGTACACTATTTTTAACCTAATGAAATGTATTGGCTTATATTTATCTTCATTATTTACATTCTTATTTAAAATTATCAAAATTTATTATTATAAAGGTAGTAAATGTTCATCACCATAACATGTAATTAACAAACCTCACATTTTTATAGCTATGGTTTTGCAGACAGCTGAATTCATCCATGTTTTACTAAAATGATTAGTCTTGAAAATCACACAACACCAAACTACTACACATCTTCTTATATATAAAAATGGATTGCTGTTCGTTAGTCTCGCTAAAAATCGAAAACGGCTGGACCGATTTGGCTGAATTTGGTTTTGAAATATTCGTGGCAGTCCAGGGAAGGTTTAAACGATGAGAAACTGTCAAACACTTACCAAATTCCCTAGTAATAATTTATATGGCAAAACAATGTTTGCCGAGTCAGCTAGTACACAATAAAAGAGAGTATTATAAAACTTGTATATTACCTAGGTGTGCTGAGTTCGGTCTCACCCTGGTACTGTTCCAGGGTGGTCATCAGCCACGCCCTGTGGGTGGCCCTTTGTGTGTGCTTTAATGCGTCCAACTGTGAATCCCAGCGTCCAGCCGCTAAGCTCTGTTCCTCAAAATGTTTTGCTGCCAGTTCATTGATCTCCTCCTCAGTTGTGCCTGCATTGAGCAAGCGCATCTTGTCCTCCATTTCTTCCGTTTGCCTGAACATCAATATACACAGATAGATTAAACAAAGAAAATAACTTATATATAAATGTGAAATAAATGACATATTTATACTTATCATATATTGGAAACTTAAAAGGTTATTTAAGTATGTGAAATATTAATATTTTTAAGTGTGTGAATGGTGAGGTTTCAATTGGATTTTTTACTAGTAACTTGTATGTTAGAAATATCAATCAATCAATCAAAAATCTTTATTGAAATAGACGCTTGTGCGTTCTAAGAATTGTCAAATTTTACATAAAACATTATACATAGAGGTTCGTAAGGTACCGCCGGTTCGGAAAGCAGTTTCTGTTGAGAAGAGACCGGCAAGAAACTCAACAATTGCTCTTTTTCAAAGATATCAGTTTACAATATAAAATACTGGTATAATTATCTTATTCTACCCTATGTGAGTATCAACAGTATTAACTCCACACATTGGCGTCGTCGAGATATTCCGCAAGAGCATGCTGCATGCAATAGCCATAAGTTGACTTTTGATTTTACGTTTAAATTGATCAAGCGGCAGACTTAATATCGACTGTGGGATTTTATTATACATGCCTACACCTTGCCCCATGAACGACCTATTTACTTTTTGTAGTCGAAACAATGGCGTAGTAAGTTTGTCCTTATTTCTAGTGTTTAATTTAGGTCTGTCACTATTCTTTAGGTAAAAATTAAGGTTATTAAAATATGTAGAAAATTTTACATATTTTAATGTTCAATCTTAAGTGCAAAGATTAGCACTATAAACAATTTAAATTTCTAATTAAGGTTATGACGAATATACAAAACATTACAATAATTGTATTGAGAAGCAACAGTGAGTGATACATATCATAATAGAAAGTTCAAGATATCAGAGATGAGACTTTAGCCCACCTTGTATGCTTGTTTGTTGTCTTTGCGGTGTTGCTCACTATCATTTGATTTTTCATTATTAATATATTCACAATTTTTTTGTCCATAATGAGACGATTGGTGGTAAATATGAGGGATTGACACAAAAAAATTTATACAAATAATTAACTCACTTTTCAGTTAACTTCTTAATGTCTTCATCACGGTTCTTCAACATGTTCATGACTGTTTTGGCATATGAGTTCTCAACCTGTAGAATGGTGTCTAAGGCGGGTGAATGTACTAACTTGTGGTATGCTGCGGCAAACACCTGCAAGTATATTATATATTTAATTATCACTAACAATACACCTGTAATAAACTGTTTATAACTAAATAAAAATAATGTTCAATACATTTCTTCATCAAATTTAACAATTGTTGGGTAAATGCAAAATAAGATATTTTTTATGTTTCTTAAGACTATTGTCTTTCTCCATTATATAAAAATGTTTTTGTTCCCTGCGTACCTCTTCATCTGAAGTTCCTTTTTGTTCCGCAAACTCCAAAACATTTTCCTTAAATAGTTTCTCCCAGTTTTTAACAACGGCATCCACATTAATTTCACTATTTTTAAATTGATTTAAAAGTTTTTCATCCCTCTTGTTATGAAAGTCTTTTGTCTCTTCGGATATGAAGTAGGCTAGTTTCTCATTAAGTTCTGGAATATATTTATTTTAATTTGTCATGAACAATTGACAATGTTTAATTAAAATGATAAAAAACAAATACCTAAATAGGCTGACAAATTACCTGTTTTCTCAACACTTAACTATGTATAAGTCTTCATAATAATATATACATCGTCATTTGAAACCAGTGAACAAAAACAAAAGAAACAATAAACTGATAAAATAAGGAACTTTTATATTGTGTATCTACATATTGTTAGATGATTATGTTATGAATAATTTATTCTAATATAATATTACCGTCTTCCAAATACACCGGTATATGAAACATATTAATAACACGCTGCACCAGCTCTCGAGCGGATCCATCATAGGGAATTTCAACAGGAACTTCTAATTTGAAAAATATTTCTTCATTAGTACAAGTCGGGAAAGAATATTTAAATGTTTTCGTCAAACTATCCTTAGATTCCCCGGTCATTGTTGTAAACAACTACTCCCAAGACCCAATCCCACGCCCACTTCCTTTGAAGAAACAGGAAAGGTTCAACACAATCGCGGACATAGATAAGACATATATACTGATCGCGGAATAACAAAAACAAATTTGATTTGACAAATGACACTGACAAGTGACAACAAACGGCTGTTTAAAGATGTTTGAAGTTCTGGTCTACGCAAAACCTGTTGCGAGTATTTCATTGAAATAATGTATGAAAAGTTATGGATATATTTATCATTATAATTATATATACAAATACTTTTTGTTTTTCAATACTTTCACTTGTTTATAGGAGTGAGGCGTATTTATCGTAACAGGTAAATATAACAGGTATCTCCTGATAACAGATTGTACCTGTTACGAAGAAACTTAAGTAACAGTTCCTGTTCCATACAAATTGCTCCTTAACACACTTTTTTTTCTTGCATCGGTCTTATAGCTTTATTGAAAGAGAAGTTCGGACGTTACCATAGAGTAACATACTGTAACAGCTGTTAATATGGTAACAGTTTGTTACGGAGATCAATATTGAAACTATTTATTGACACCAATCACGATTTAATGATAACACAAACGGACAGAGTTCCGCCTTTGTAACATATAAATCGTAAGAGTGTTCCTCGAAATGGCATTTCGGGGTATTTAAAATCTTCTTGACAGTTGGATGTGACGTCAGAATAATCAACAGTGGCGCTAGAATAATGTTTCCGGCACTCTCTTGGTAATAATTTGTAATAGTGGCGTAACATGTCACAACATAGTGAGAAATAACAGGTTGTTATTTTGTAACAGGTATTTGTGTTACTTTTACTTTAACGGAACAGGAACAGGCGTAACAGGTTTAACCTAGTATAGCTCACTCCTAAGAATGCATATATTTGTATGATTATATCATGATTTAATAGAATTATTAATGTTTTTTACTGTCAAAGATAAACGGTAACCTTAGAATATAACTACTACCCTTACTGGCAGTGACAGAAAAAATATGTTAATCCAACAAGTATTATTGAAGTGAAACTGCTAATGCGACTTCAATCAAGCCATGGAGGGGGCATGAAATCACTGTTGCGTTAAACGTTCAACGCTCCTTGGGAGGGGGTATAGAAAGAGACAGAGCAAGAGTGAATGCGTAGCACTCGAAGTTTCACTTCTTCCGCGCGGAGGGACTCCACGCACTATTTCTCATGTTTCCACTGGTGGCGTTAGACCCCACACCCTCGAGTGCGAAAACAAATTTGCTATCTACTATGCCAATTATTTGTTGTAATATTGTGAAAATTTTTTTGGGGAGTTTGAAAAACTGTCCCATGTCTTACGTAGTCTAAGGACGACATTGATCCTTGAAGCTTTACGTCCGACCACTAGCACTACTAGCACGTATTCTGATGCATAAATGTGCCGGCTCATTCATCATAATTATCATAGAAGAATGCGTCACAGAATTTTTTTGAATTTCTCTTGGCAATTATTTAGTCACGGGTCACTCGTTTAAAGTCTGGCAACATTACTGGTATACTTTATTTTCATCCTACTCTTATAAAAAGAATGGTTCATGATTATTGTCATCATCATCATGATCAGCCGGAAGATGTCCACTATTGACTATAGGCCTCACGCTAAGAACGCCACAACGAACGACACTATGGCGATTTCCCGCGACTCTTACGATGTCGTCGATTCACCTAGTGGGAGGCCTGCCAACGCTGTCTTTCCGTTCGAATGATAAAATGGTTGCCGAAATGGAAGTGCTTTTTGTAAAAGAATGTTAATGAATCGACGAGTATACGAAATTTTTACATGTATATAGTCTGATTGTATAGTTTCTTGGAACTTAATAGTGGTTATGGTACTTAGTTTAAAGAAAACATTTCATAATGTGACCAAGTATTACGGTCCACTACTAATAGTATCAATCATTTATACTAATAATTGTTCAGGTGTTTTATAATAGAACTATATACAACCAATCAATTGAACGTTGTCACTTATTAATAATTGCCATTAAGGCTGTTGACTTCAGTATACGGTAGTCATGACACTACTCGATTAGGAGGTCAATAATTGGTCCAGAAGTATTATTGATAACTAATAATTAAAGATTCCTGTGATTTAGTGTGACTTATTTTTTTGATTTTGTTGCATGTGCGTGTGTAAGCAATTAAAAATATTTTCACTTATTAATATGTGTAATTGTCTAAATTTTTGCTGTAAGATGTAGATTGTGTTCTTGATCCCTTTAGTCTTAAGTTACAAGGGGATATGACGACACCATGTTGTAATAGTAGTACTATATTTTCATTATATATAATAAAAAAATGGAAACAATAAATTACATACATAGTGATAAAATTAAAATAAAAACATCTTTCGGTTCGCTTTACATTTAATCCGTTCTTTCCGAACCGACTGGAGCGGGTGTGACTGCTGGCATCGCGCGTTGGTCTTTACACGCTCGTTGTGCGATGTTCACTGCGCGTTTGTGTCGTCTACGCGGCCTCTCCGCCCTCCTCGTCCTCGGCGCTGGCGGTCAGCATGGTGATCAGCTTCTGGGTGTCGATGAAGCCTTTGTCGTCGATCTCCATCTGGTCGTACGCCTCGTCGACCTCGTCGGCGGAGAACTTGTCGCCCCAGGTCATGAGCGCGTGCCTCAGCCTCTCCGAGTCGATCTTGCCCTCGTCGTCGAAGGTCTTGAAGGCGTTGATGACCACGTCGTCGTCGTCGGAGCCGCCGGACATGCGGTTCGCGAACAGGGTCAGGAGCTGCGTGAAGTTGATGGGCCCAGAGGCCTCATTGACCATGTCGTCGAGCTCCTTCTCGCTGGCCAGCCTGCCCAGCGAGTCGAACGTGGCGCGGAGGTCGTTCTTGCCGATGATGCCGTCCTTGTCGTGATCCATCAGCTGGAAGGCCTGCGGGGCAATGGAGGGCGTTTAAAATACGCTCCGTGTTTGTAAACATTCGCTACGTTGGATTGTGGCGAGGCGAGGATTGATGTTTACCAAATAAATACAAATGAAACTACCGGATGGTTGCGTTTGCGTGACGCCATCAGCGAGGATTACTGTTCTTAAATCTACACATATATTAATCCCCAGATAAAACATACTTAACTTGTAGGAAGTATAATTTTTCTTAAAATACTAGCTGCAAAATAAATGTATTTTCTATTTTATTTTCTAGCTATGCCTGCGACTTCGTCCGCGTGGAATTTAAAATAAATAAAAAGTATAAAATAAAAATAGACTACGTTACTCCTTATTAGATCAGCAACTTGCATTGAATGTCCCGATAACAACAGACAGACAGACAAAATTGTAAAAAATGTTATTGTGGTATATATGTACCGTGTATACGTTCATATGGATTTAGTTAACACCGGTAATTTTAATATTACAAACAAACACTCCAATTTTATATATCTATATAGAAGAATATAACTGTACTCTACTGTAACCAAAAAGAATATAGTCTGTTAGGGATTTCTTTAACAGGTTGAAATGATGATTAAGATAATGATGATGATGGAGGGGAACTATTAGGGGGACAGTTACAAGGATATCGGTAGTACCTCTTTGAACTCGGCGACCTGCTTCTGGGAGAACATAGAGAAGACATTGGAGCCGGTGCGCTTGGCCTTGCGGCTTCCGCGCGACGACTGGCGCTCGCCGGCGGCGGGCGCGGCCGGCGCGGGCGCCTCCTCAGCGGGCGCTTCCTCCTTCGGCGCCTTCTTCTTCTTTACCTTCTTGTCCTTATCCGCCTGCGGGACAGTGCGATTACTTTAGTGTCAAAGGTATACTTTGTCGATGAGACAAAGGGTGACCTCGGTAACGCCCTGACCTGCTTTTCAACAGAGACTTATTTTAGGATGTCTTCGAGATTAATTAAGACTATTCAGTTTTCGATCCAAGTGTTTATCGAATTGGTATTTTAGTCGTGATATGAACGTATGTATTGTTTGTAGGTGTATAAGTTTCTGTATATGCATGTTGATCTTTAATTTAGCTTCCGTATGTTTGTGTCCACAAAAATTTTAAACTAGCTAATGAATTGACTTGATATTTTTTTACACAATAGCTATAGAAAAGAATAATGTGTTCATAATTGTACTTCTTATTCCGAATTTTCAATAAAATCGTTCCGTTCAGCTAGTTTTGAAATAAAATTTTGATTGATAACGTTTCATGTACTGAAAGTTCGACCACTTGTTTTTAAGATTTCTTTCTGGTCTGCTTATTGAATTTTTGAGAAATTAAAGGAATAGGGTAGTAAAGATTTGTTTGTTTTGAATCACTTTTTTCATAATTTCTGTTTATTACTGTAGCGAATGTCTTTTACTTTATTTTGACTTTCAACGACAAAATGTTTTTGTTTAAATAAAATGTAATTGAACTCAATTTGGAATTGGGATTTGAAAAATTATTTGTGTAACTGTAATTTAGATATTATTGGTTTAGCATTTAACCTAATTGAATTCCCGTTAGGACTTTCGGTCAGTCTTATAGCTTTCTAAATATTTTTATTATATGTTGGTAATTGATTAATATGATAAAGTTAGCTTAATAATCCAGTAATTATCTAATTACTGGGCGTGCTCCCGTGTGAACAAATTTCAGCGCGGGCGCCCCGTTTTGGCGTTAGCCGAAACGCCTTTATATTTAGATACTCATATCAGCTTCCTCCCCGGCGCTCGTTACGTAAATCGAAACGGAAATAGAATTGGTTGCCCTCGATTTATTTCGCCTGGATGAGCAGTTTCTCATTTATTTGGCCGTTTGTTATTAGCTTTCTAATTACATTACGATTTATTATCTGTTTACTTATTTTCATCATTTGGTAAAACCGTTTCAGATTTGATCGAGTGGTAAGTGTTATATTTGTTTTCTGAAATTAATGTAGTTTGGAATTTTTTATTCCTTGTTTATTCTGATTTGATCCGTTTAGCCATTATAAAAACTGTCCGTTACGAAATCTTGTGATTGGCTATAAGAGTAAATTCGCGGATTGAGTTCACGTTGCATCGCGATGCTATTTTAATTCAATTTTAAACTCAATGCACAATTATTATTATCCATTAAGATATTAAAAACATGTACGTAATCGTCCTCACTAAATCTAAGATATCTTCCACCGTCCTCCGTCCATTCCGATTACTATCAGGATCTCCACTTTGGCTAACATCAGCTTAACACTTGTCACGTCACTTGGGTCACTTGTGTGCACTTGTGTTCACTTGTATCCACTTACCATTGTGTTGTTTGTTGGATCGACGAAAGAGAGACTGTACCGCTCGGCAGTCTCACCCTGACTCCGAGATTTCGTTCCCGCTCCGACGTCCAGACTTCTGCCCCCCTCTCCCGCGCGCCCCCACCGACCAGGAGATGTTCCAACGATTCCATATATAGTTCGATCGGCGCGATAGCCGCCGTCCGAGTCGGCATCAGAACCGCGTGGCCCGCGGGCCGGTTCAGCCGCCGCTCCATTTAAAAATAATCTGCTCACCTGGCCATGGACAGCGACTGTTGTCAGGGATTTCTGTAGTGTGGAATTCAAATCATCAAGTCATTGTTTATCTCCATTCCGCTGATGTCAAAATATAGACGTCCAAGTTTTCTGTATTTCATTGTTTAATTTTATGTTGCATTCTTATCTCAGCTCATCTCATTAAGCCTGAATTTCATCAATTTTCAGTAAATATCTGGGAGATTAAATTCTGCTTGAGCCCTGCAATGTATTGTTTAAATAATATATGAGGTAAAACTGAATCGGAAAGGGATGAGAGTCGTGTGACTAGTAGAGTGATGGTATAAATGTGGTTGGAGGGTGTAAGGCTAGAGGAAGAATAGTATGCGTTGTGTGCGTTCTGTTCGCAAGGTATTTGTGGTACAATTTGAGTCAACAATTTGTAATATGCTAAAATACTTCACAGCATACTGTTATAGATCAATATCTAATTACTGCTACAGAGAAATATTTTGTTGTTCCCGGTCTTATACATATACTAGCGACCCGGCTTCGCGCGGGTGCAATGTATTATACATATAAAACTTCCTCTTCAATCACTCTATCTAGTAAAAAACCGCATCAAGATCCGTAGCGTAGTTTTAAAGATCTAAGCATATATAGGGACAGACAGACAGCGGGACGACTTTGTTTTATACTATGTAGTGAGATGCGAAATTGCTTGCGAATACGAAAAGGATGGATATGTATACTTTCGACGCTGCTTTTTTTCTTGTTATACCGTATTGGTTATTTTCCATTCAGAGAGAGTCCCCCCGAGGTCAAAGATTTGTTCTATGTTGAAAAGAGTTGCTGGATCATAATCAAAATACGAAATATTAAAAAAAAAGGGAAATTCGTGTGGCCTACATTTGTTTCCTTGTATACCTGTATTTTGTAGAGCAATTTTATAGTTACGTTTATATTGTTATGATATAAAAAGGATTCAACCTTGCAGTTGCTATGCTCCTAAGCCCTTGCTCGGGAACCGGAGGTCATGGGTTCAATTCCTACACGGGATAAATATCCGGGCAGATTGGGAACAAACACTCAGAATTATTCCACATCGGAGTGTTTGTTCCTATGACGGGTCGACGTGAGGTAGCCGGCAGGTCGTAATAATCTACCCAATACCACTAACATGATTTATTGACGATGTTTTGCTAACTCTGGATTATTGCGTGGGATAAAAACACGAAAATGATGACAACATTATGAAAAAGTTTTTTTTATAGTTTGATTCTGTGGAAATAAATAAGAGGCTTTACTGTGCAAGTTCAGCTAGTAGTTGGTGTGGCGAAAGATACGAGTAAAATTTGTACGTTCCCTTTTCGCGTTTCGGAATGTATGCGTAACTATAGAAGTTAGTTTGGTCTCGGTCTCCGCCCGCGCAGTTTTCACGCTTTGGGCTATTTCGGGTGTGTGAGTCACGTTAGACTGAAATACGCCTTTGTAATCGACACCCGCCGGTCCCGCCTTCGATTCCCTTCGAGTTATTAAATTGTTAATACGAAATAAAAATTACTCTTACGAAACCGTTGTCAATATCGAAACTGTTTACGTTCAAAAGACAGCATTTTGTTTAGATGACCTTATTGAAGTGAAACTCAATTGGTTTAAGTAGTTTTGTAGGCGGTTTAATTATTTAGTTTTTACGGTATGTTTCTGGATTCGTTTAATAAAACAAGGTTAAAGACATATTTCTTCTTTTACGAAGTATACGCGCTCACAACTAACACGTTTTCGAATTCGTTGGAACTTTATTTGAGAAAACAATCGACAATTTTGGGAAATAAGAAAGAAGTGGCAATGTTCGAAATGTTTTGAGTACGCGTTACTATTTTTACATTGAAGAACTTTAATTATGATTTTTTAATGTAATTTTGCGATATAGTGGTAGCCATGTGTTATTACGGGAAGCAGTACGCTGAGTTTTTGGACATTTGCAACAGCCGTAGGGTTGAAGATACAGTCTTCCCCTACTAATAGTCGCATTTCGATAAAAATGAGGGCAAATTATTACATTTCAGGTTATATTTATTGCTTATTATGTGTTTAAACGTATCAAATATAATAAGTACATTTCTGCGATGAACTACTTGAATTGAAATTTTGATTGCTTCCATACATTTATAGGTCAGGCATGTTTATGAACGAGTCCGTGACTGGATAATGTATTAATCGGGCTCTAGTTTTGAATATAGTAGTAGTTATTTATGCTCTGTAGCATTATTAAGATCTGTGGGCAAGTGGCTCAAATAAAAGACTGAAGATACTTTGTCCTCCATGAATATGTTAGCACCTTGCACCATTGCTACACCATCTATCTTTAGTTGCTATTTCAAAGAAAGTTGGCAGATGTTATGGGACGTTTCGGCAAATATTTTAACGGAACGTAATCTAACCCCAGACTAAGCAAAGCTTGTGCTATGGTTACTAGATAACTGATAAACATACTTAAACTTAAAATTGCGGTATACTTAAACTTACTTTTCCTTTGTAAATAAATACATAAAATATATAAAATTCTCGTGTCACGGTGTTTGTAATTGAACTCCTCCGAAACGACTCGTGAAATTTTGTGTGCATATCGGCCAGAAAAACAATATGTTCACCACCTAATATTTTTCCAGTAGGGGGATTGAACCCATAACATCTGACGTCTGGTTACTATCGATGACGCCAATCGGGTCGTTTAATTAATAAAGCATTCTCTTCCGACAAGTTTGTTTTCTTTTAACAAGATACAATCTTCTAATGGCAGGCATTTTAATTGGACATCAAAACTGATCATAGCTTTATTAAAATAGCACAACACAGTCTCTCAAACAAAATAGCAAGAATGCTTTTTATGTTTTTGTGTGGCCTCTTAGTAGTGAGAGTATCTTTACTACGATAAATGTTGAGTCAAACTAAAGGTTGACGAGTGGTACTGGTTTGCAATAGAGCTTGAAGGAGCATTTGGTTTGTGTACTTCAGGCAACCCTTACCATTTTAGGAGGGTTTAGAACGTAAAGGTTTTATCAATGTCACGAACTAACTTATTTTTTGTTAGAGTGTGAAACGTTCCTAAAGGCAATGCAATAAAAGTATGGTGGGAAAATAATTTAAAAGATGGACGGCAGGTCAAAGTTCTAGTGATGCAGTAAAGATTTCGTCAATTGGGCATTTCGTGAAAGGAATAAAATAATAAAAATTCCTGGGACATCCATCGAAGAGTTGTGCATACAAAAAACATTGGCGGAGCTTTAAAAACACTATAGATTTTCGTATCTCAATGCAGGAGTGATCAGGCTTTCAGTGATCTGCCACCACTTACCATCATCTGGACCACATCACCATTTACCACCAGAGGAATAAAACTCAAGCATTTGCCAGTTTCAGTTTCACTTAATTCAAAGTTTATGTTTTCAAAAAGCCGTTTCTATGAATAAAATACGTAATTTTTTACAAACAGAGACAAACGCTTGCAAACAAATTTAGATAATTTTTTTTATTTGAGAAAGTGGCAAACGAGCTGAAGGTTCACCTGATGTTAAGTGATGACCGCCGCCCATGGACTTTTGCAACACCCGTAGGGTTGCAGATGCGTTGCCACCTTTTAATAAAGTGGGCCGCGGCTACCTCACTCACCAGAAGAAACGCAGATGTGTCGTGTTTCTTCTTCACGCCGGTCTTTTGCGAGGTCGTGATACTATCCCGGACGTATCCTAGTTAAAGGTACGACTTTGACAATTTATTTTAATTTATGATAAAATTGAAAATAAAAAGGAATAGTATTATTTATGAATCATAATAATAAAAATTAATGGTCTTGAAAATATTTGGGTCCCTTTTCGCAATTTACTGTGACATAAAGTAACTTGGTTAGTTATAGACATTAAAGTTATTAAGTAATTTTATCTGGATTTTAAATTCCCGATGTTTCGAATAATTTACAGTGTTCATGGTCACGGGACGTGTAGGTATAGTATAGTATTATTGTAAATACCAAAAAATCATTAACTAACTAAATAATTTTGAAATAACTTATTTAAGGAAGTATAGGACGAACTCTTGCGCTTAGGCAATATCGTTAGTCATGTGTTTCGCTTAAACGACAAAAAGACTGGCAGTTGTAATAGTATAAAGATGAATTAATTGACGGGTATCCGTTATCTCATATCACCAACATGGTTAGTAATTCGTACTTCATTAATATTTTACGGTCGGCTACTACTACGTGACAGGTCTTCCGTCTCTCTCTTTTGATACCCGTCTCAGTCGTTAAGTTGCTGCTTGAACCGCCTTTCACTTAGTTGTGAGACATCAAGTGAAACTCCAGGCAGCATGCTTCTAAGATTTGGTTGCAAAAACGCACTCATATAAGTTCCATAACCATGTAAATTGAGAGCAGGTGACAATGTGTAAAAGTATTTGTGATTTAATGCCAAAGTTGTACAGTGTAGTTCTTTCACTATTAATATTTAGAGGTAAGCTACATTTGGAGTCCCATTTTACTTGTTTATTGTTCGACCTCGGAGCTGTTAGTGAATTTCCAATGCGTTTTTGGTTTTATTGACAACACGGCGACAAATTTTTAGTGACTCTTAATAAAAATTCAATAAACTCTACATTCCATAACTTGTTTATAACCAACAAAAAAAAAAGAAAGACTCGAATCGTTTTTATTTTTCCATTGCCTTATTCAAATGTGCAAAACCGAAAACAAAAGAGAATAATCGATCTGGATTGTAACAAATGATACTGTAAAATGTGATAGCACAATTCTTAAAATATAAAGAAAAAAATTAAAGAGCGAAGAGTGAACGTATTTTACTATTTAACATTGACTTAATATACCTATTTTTAGTATTTTTGAATGCAAGTGAAAAAATATTGGCTATTTTAGAATGTTGTTTATCTACTTCACATTTATCTATTCCACATTATATGCGGTGGGGTTGCGAGTTAGATTATGCCAAATATAGGCTCTTACTTTTCTTTACATTACATTAGATGGAATATCACCATCACAGATTCATCTTTCTTACAATTAATCTTAGTTTTTGTTAAAATAAGAAATCGTATGTTATATATTGATTTCATGTTTTTTCGCGAACTTTATTTAGTACAGTAAGTCCCGCTGGAAAGGGTTCGAAACTTCTGGAATTTAAAAATCTAATTAACCACAATAAAACCCGTAAAATTAGTTTCATTTAAAAACATTTGTAGTTGTAGTTTGTTAAAGTCAAAACATAGTAACAAATTATTATGAAGATGTATTAAAATTGATAATGTAAGCGAAAGTTCTGTTCAATTGTATTAAGATAAACAGAAACAAGTTAAAAAAAAAAACGGGAAATCGATGCAGGTGGCTCAGGATCGTGCTTAATGGCAGTTTGTGAGGGAGGCCATTGTTCAGCAGCGGAATCATATAACAAAACAGGCGGATTTGATGATGATGATGATGAATCAAAAATAAATAAAGTCATGACCCTAAACTGTAATTCAAAACATCATACTCTATTTTCCTTTTGTTCAAGTTCCTTATTGCTCTTGTAAAAAAAGACGTAGATGCTTTACCCAGCGGTAGAATTAAAAAGAAATACGTTTAAAGAATCATGTCTGTGATATATTTCGATGTTTAGGCAGTGCCATAGTCGTAACAGATGGGGACGTTAAATTACGTTATTCTCAGGTTCAAAGCATATTCTCGAATTGAGGGCCTCATCATGTTTACTTTCGTTATTGAGTTCACAGCGTTTCGGACAATCTATGTGTTACGTTTTTTAGTAACCAATTTTCTAAGTGTGACAAGACAATCTCAAAGTTTTCGCGATAAACAAGCGTATAATCAGTGGCCCGTCGCTCGTTTATATCAAAATATTTGAGCAACCAGAGTTAAAATCCTGGTGCCTATTGAAATTTTAAGCAGATATGATTTGATTTACCAAATGCTCATCGGTGTAGGTAGGCATAGTGTGAGAAATTTCATATTATGAAATAATTAAAAATAAAAATTAATAGTATGTGTGGTCTGCAAGTCTGCGAGGGGGTTCTGTGATGGACTAATACAATAATACTCTCTGCAGATGAGGCATTTGCTCGGGAGCGAGAAATACCTGCTGTTATTTCACTTGACTGAAGCACGATAACAAGTAAAAAAGTAAAAGTTAAGTCTATACATGTCCCACTGCTGGGCAAAGGCCACCTCTGTAAAGAGGGTATCAGGGCATAGTCCACCACACGACGCCACTGCGTATTGGCGGACTTCACATATTTTGTAAATATTTTTTTTATTATTTGAAAATATGCAGGTTTCCTCACGATGTTTTCCTTCAGCACTAAGCACGTGATAATTCACCACTTAAAATTAAAAATTTCATTGGTCCCGGCACCAGGGATTGAACTCACAGCTCATAATAACACAGATAATATTAATCTGCCAGCCTTGTTAAAGAACGTTGCGGCTTGTGTTTGCATATTTTTATGAGTATTTGTTATATTTTATATAAATGCATTAAATTTTAAATAAAAAAAACAATCTTCATAAGCGGAAGCTTGTAGTCAGAACAAAACAATAAAAAAACATTCAACACACTTGACGTGTGGTTATAAGGGAGTAAACACAGACGAATTAAGTTTTACTATCGTCAATACTTAGCTATATACGTAACAGTTAGAATTATCATCATCTCGGTTGACTCAGTTGGGAATGTCCCATTTATAGGGTCTAATCAATTCCTATTTTAAAACAGGATTCAAGATTCATTCAATAAGAACGTGTAAAAGCTGTTCGCACAGTGTCGCTAATTATTCGTGGCGTCAACATCGTGTATCGACATGATGTTTTTATGGGAAAATTAATGAATATATTATAATTATATATATATATATATATATTCATTATAACAGACTAAGCTTCATGTAACAGATGGATATCCCATATTATATATGTCGATTTTATAGATCAGTACAGAAAAACCACTAGATAGGGATAAGTTGTTCGTGAAGCAATCACAGTCACCTTTAAAGTTATTTATAAGAGCATCAATCGAGCAAAAAAATTTTATGGTTTTCTTGGCAGCATATTATATAATTTGAGTTTTATAAAGTAAAATACATAATTAGTATCGTATTATGTGAAGTGTTTTTTCAAGTGAAGTTAATTATATCAATAAAATGTCATCAATCTCATGTTTCTGCTACAGCGAAATGTAAATTAATTGTCTCAAATATTTCGATTCCTTTAACAGATGTGAATGCCCTGGTTCTGCGTGCGTACATCTCACAGCATGGCTTGCACGGGGAGATCGAGTTCTCGAACAAAAACGATACCCTCATCAGCATCCGCACCAACCTGAAGCCAACCCTGCAGTATCCGGACGGAGTCTGGAGGTGGACTATACACGAATTCCCGGTGGACTATAGAGATCTCTCCAGTGAAAGGTGTTCTGTAAGTAACTTGGGCAGAGAACTGATAGATTTCACCGAAGAACTGGGTTATTTGATAATACCGGGTAGAGACCACGCCGAGTTCGAAAGTAAGAACAGCCTGACTGGCTCTCTAGGATTGTGGGGGAAGAGTATTGTGTTGGAGACAGCAGAGAGTGACAGGATCGTGTGCGCGTCGATACTGTCGACGGAGAAGCTATACGAGAAAACAGCTCACGCGAGATTCTCATATCCCATTGCGGGATCACTAAACTTCCGATGGTTGTACACCAAAGATTTTGACGAGTCCGATGCGTTTCTAATAGCGGACTTGTATCACACTAAAGCTGCACAGGAGAAGGCAGATTACACTGAGCACAAATGGAAGCTGTTCGTGACCGATATCTTCGATTCGGACAAGGGGGACTACGAGGACAATTGTAACGTGCTCCAAGCTGTGTTCGACCCGGAGAACAGTGGGGACGGCATGAGTGTTGGTGACTTGGACACGAGGCTAGGGCTGGTGAGAGTGGCCACCGATCCAAACGTGAAGAGATTGAGGTGGTTGTACAAGGACGAAGTCTTGAGTATGTTACGGACCGACATGGAGGTGACGAGGAGGAGATTGTACGTAGTGATCTACGACAACAGACATGCCGACAGCTTCCTCGCCTGCGCAAAGTTGAGGACGATGCAACCGAAGAGCGCCAAGTGAGCATTTTTATAATTTACTAGCGACCTGCCCCTGCTTCGCACGGGTGCAATGTAGATATTAGTCATATTAACCTTTCACTTGAATCACTCTATCTATATTGTTGAAAACCGCATTAAAATCCGTTGCTTAGTTTAAAATATCTAAGCGTAAAAGCCCCAGCTTAGAACGTGTAGCATTTCTTCGCTCATTTACCGACTTTCATCATTTATTTTCCGAGATCTTTTATCAATCAAACATCATCATATTTCAGCTAATTTATATAAAATCTTAACGAACTATACATAGTATTAAACCTTCCACATGAACGATTTCGTCCATTGGTGAAAATCGTATGAAAATCCGTTTGGTTGTTTTCGAGTTTATCATTTTCAGATAGACTGACTAACTCTGCAAGTATTGTAGTTATTTTATTGCCGCCCTACTTTCTTGCTTTTGCGTTCTCTATGATATATTGAAAATAGGAAGTGTACCTTGTATCCCTTTTAAATTTACCTTATATTACTTTCAGTTGCCATAAATATTAAAGTGGTTATTTTCTCCTTTTGCAGTAGTAATCATCGCCCATTTTTATACAAGTTTTAATATTTCATCTTAAGAGCAGATATTAGCTTTAAAAAAAATTAAATATCATTAATAAACCATTCCGTACTGGCTTACATGATAATCCTCGCCTCAATCTGTCCCGTGACCATGAATGCTGAAAAGGGTTAGAAATGTCGGGAAATTTTAAAAATAAACGCGATAAATCCTTAGTACTACATTTAATAGCATGTAGATATTTAATGGCAATAATCATCTTAAACTATTTCATTAAGCTGTAAGCTATTTTTCTCCAAATCAAAATTGTATGCATTTAGTAATAATAACTTTTCGTTATGATATAACTGATGCTTAAACTGATGGTATGTTTATACTAGAACCAAATATTGTAAATTTGATTGAGTCTGCGCCATCCTATATATTTATTAACAATGCTGTTCTTGTCTTCATATTAATAGATCTAATCGCTTAAATATTACTATCACGAATAATTGCACGATTGTTTTTTTTTAAATAGTAATGTAGGTAGATTGAAGAACACATACTAATCTTTTAACCGTAATACAGATCGAATAATGAAGAAACCACAGTGTTACACCTTGTAAAAGTAAATTATATGTTATATGCGTGGGACCCGTTCTTAACTGAGTTGCAATAATGCTAGAAAGAATCCGCGCCAGACTTAGCATTACTGGTATTTCAACGCTTTCATTGACCGCTAAATCAAGTAATATTTTACGGTCTCTATAAAGATTTAACGTCGGGAACCTCCGATAGGGCCCTGATCAACATGGACGGCGTAAGGGGCACGGTGGACTTCAGCCAGCGCTCGCCGTTCGACCCCACCTGGTCCAACTTCCAACTGGGCGCGGCCGACCAGGAGTACGAGTCGAACCTCCGCTTCGTGGGTTCCATGCTGCAGTACAACATACACCAGGTCCCGGCGCGGCTTCTGGGCCCCGATCTGGTCCACTCCATGTGCAACACCACCGGTGACCTGTATAACCCCACTGGGATTAACGCCAACGAGGTGCCACCACCAGGTGAGTGGACGCAGCAATTCGAAATCTATTTGTTCAATGCGCACGTATTCACGTGCGCATTGCACGTGCACGTATACGTTTGTGTTAGTTCGAAAAAGGCGTGAGTTTGTTATGGTCGTGGAAGGTACACTTCGAGTAACGAACAGGCTTAAATTTGTTCAGAGAAGGTTATGTTTTTTGTGAAACAGCTCATCCAATTTGGATGAAATTTCCAATGAAAGTAACTAGAACTAGTAACTTGTTGAACTAATACGAACTAGTAGAACTAGTAACTATAGAATACCTTTAATCGAAAAAAATAACTGTACATGCTTTAATGTATACATAATCGCAAGCGGTATCATATAATATTAAACGTTCGATAGAAATGTAGAGCAAATGGTCGTTATAAAATCTTTAAACAAAAGCTATGTGCAGATCTCACAGAAGACCGGCGTAAAGTGGAAGTATGACAAATTCTTTCGCGTTTCGTCTGGTGAGTGAGGTAGCCGGAGCCCAATTTTCAAAAGGTTTCCAACGCATCTGTAACCCTCGGGTGTAGCAGATGTCCATGGGCGGTGGTATTCACTTAACATCAGGTGACTCGTCTGCTCGTTTGAAAACTTTTCGCATAAAAAAAAGAGTGCCACATTTTGAGGGAGCAGATCACGTAAAATCAAGATATTATTGTTTACCACTCAATATTATATGACTATGGGTAATTTTCGTTGCTTTTAAAAATGACAATGAACATAATCACAAAATTATATTTGTTTACCAACTACCAGTACATATAATATCTGTTCTGTTGCGCAAATACTCCCACATAAATCTTGTTTGCATAAACAGGTATATCGAATTATCGATATAATTTTAGGCCGGTGGTAACAGAAAACGCTAAGCTATTTCTACGCTATGTGCAATAGAAATACGCAGATGGGACGATACTCTATAGTCCGTCCAGAATTAGCAACAGTTTAGCTCGCGTAATGTCGGTCAGGCGGCGCTTCCTGATTTCTTGGTACGCCGCCAATTGTTCATCTCGCAACAATTAGGCGTTCGACATCGGTTGGACTTACTGGAACTGCCAATGCGCAGTCTTGAGGAATTTGGCATCGGAATGCCTTCGCTTGACGTCAGTAGTTGATATCATTGGAATTGGATGGATTGTTCAGCTATCGGGAATGTTTTGGTGTGTTTCGCTCTATTAATATTATTTATTCCTTATTTAATATGCTTCGTTTTTACGGTGGTTTGATATTGTTCAGTTTGGATAAAAGTAATTAACTTCTATTCTTTGCTTCTAAAAGATGATTCTCAAATAATGATCAAAATAATCAAATATATAAAAATACTATGATAAATAAATATTTTCATTATTTACAATATTTTGAAATAGTTACTAATCGAGAAATTATTTAAGCAGATCAATTTCTCTCGGTGTGATGCCAAAAATACCATTTCTTATGCATGTTATAAACATCTCTCTTACTACTGGCTTTTTGAGATAAATTACTTATGTATGCAGTACTCATATACATTTTCCAAGAGCTGGTTGAACCCCTCTTCGATATGGAGAGTAGTAAATAATACGTAATAACCTGTCTTCAAACCGGGTAGCTAGACTTCATGATCGAAATGTTATGCATTGTATGTAATAGTTAGCAAAGTGTTTGAGAAAATAATGCTGGATCAAATGATAGTTCATTTTAACAAATATAAAATTTGAAACCAGCATCAATTTTGATTTACTAAATGTAGATAGATCTACAACTGATGCAGGGATAGAATTAGTTTCACATATCCTGCAGTCCTGGGAAAGCTTTCATGACACCATTGGTGTGTTCTGTGACCTTTCCAAGGCATTTAACTGTGTAGATCATACAATTCTAATCAGGAAATTGGAATATTATGGTATTCGTAATTGTGCCATTGACTTTGTTTCCTCATATCTTACTGACAGGGAACAAAAAGTAATCATAAATGGTATATTGTCAACGGGGTCAAAAGTAAAAATGGGCGTTCCTCAAGGATCGATCCTGGGCAGTTTTCGGTTTTTAGTTTATATTAATGATTTGCCATATATAGGGGAAAAAAGGTCACAAATTGTTTTGTTTGCGGATGACACTTCATTACTGTTTAAAGTTAAAAGGAAAGATGATGCACTAGAACAACCAAATGAAATACTAGATGTTGTGTCTGGCTGGTTTGCTACCAATAACTTACTTTAGAACTCCAATAAAACAAAATGTATTAGATTTACTCATTCAAAGTTGTGTCACCAATCAGGAATCTCTATTGATGAGAAAATCCTAAACCCTTGAGGATTCAACAGCATTTCTTGGAATGAGCGTTGACTCCAAGTTGCAATGGGGTTTCATGTAGATAAGTTAGCTAAGAAATTGAGCGCTGCTGTCTTTGCCATACGCAAAATCACAGCAGCTAACTAACGAGGAAACAGCTGAATTAGTTTATTATGCTTATTTTCACAGCATAATGTCCTATGGTGTCTTACTTTGGGGTTCCGCTTTGGGGTGCCGCATCCGGTTTAGACACAATATTTGTATTACAAAAGCAGGCTATACGGGCCGTCTATGGCTTGGGTCCACGTGAGTCAGTACGACATATATTTAAGCAAATAAACGTTTTGACGCTCCCGTCGCTTTACATAATAATAATAATAATAATAATAATAAAATATCTTTATTCACATAGACGCTTGCGCGTTCTTATGAAACGTCAAAATTTTACAAGAAATTAACACGTTCGTAAGTTACCACCGGTTCGGAAAGCAGTTTCTGTTGAGAAGAAACCGGCAAGAAACTCAACAGTTAACTTTACTTGTGAACATCATGTATGTACGTAATAATATCCACCTATTTACGAAAAAACAATCCACATCGCGTCGGGGCCGTGGTGATATTCTGGAAGTACCGAGGTTTAGATTGGCTTAAACCAGAAAGTCGTTTCTTGGAAGATGCATCAACTTTTATAATAAAATAGGTGACATCCACAAACAACTAAGTATAAACAATTTCAAACAATTTATAAAAGCTGCCTTAATGGCCTTGCCATATAATATCCAAGAATACATTGAGGACAAGGATCTTTGGAAATGACTCTTGCTCTGCACTTGCAAGACCCCTGGCTGCTGCTGATTTTACACCAAGTTGGTAAATAAGTGTGTATAATTGCATCAAAAAAAAAAAAATAACAAAAAGAACAAGACCGCAGAGTTTCTTGCCGGTTCTTCTCTGTGCAGGTCTAGTTTAGTGAACCTGTGGTAGATTTTTTGTTGACGTTCAATAAGAGCTTAAGTTAGGTCTATATTGAATAAATATACTTTGACTTTGACTTGACTAATATTGGCAAGATGTGGTCACTTGAAAAGTCTTGTCGTACGGCATTTTGTTGGGGTTTTTCGAGTAGTGCATCAGATATAAATTCTATATTTATTCTTCAAAAAAGAGCTGTCCGAGCAATCTACAATATCGGAGCCCGGAATTCACTCAGAGATCTTTTCAAAGTGGTTAATATACTCAATTTTGCTTCTCAATGCATTTATTATTATCTTAATTATTACGTAAAGAATAGTGACAGACATAAAATAAACACTAGAAATAAGGACAAACTTACTACGCCTTTGTTTCGTCTACAAAAAGTAAAGGTAAATGTAAATAACTTTAACTCCGGCGTAATTCAAATCAAATAAATTTTAAACGATAGAGAAAAATCACTTGTGAATTTATCAACAAGCAGAATTCGGCGGTCGCTTATAGTTTTCGAAAAAATAAATAATGAAATAGTGTGATTTTTACTTTAGAAATCCGCCATTTTTTTGTTGTCAATATGTCAATTCAGCCCGTATTTCTTGGTGGTCATAAAAAAAAACCTAACATCGAAGGTTAACCTGAACCTTCTAACCTAATCTATCCGAGTCGGATTCGCTCTGTGTCGGTTCTGTGACTCATTAAATTAAAAAAAAATCGGTATATCGATACGTGTATGATGTCGCCCGCTTCCTATATTTATCATGTTGGCAGAACTGTGTATTGAGTTTTTGAAGTCAAACAAATAAAATGGTGGATTTCTTAGTACAAAAAACAAGTTTTAAATATTTTTTTTCTCGAAAACTATAAGCGACCGCCGAATTCTGCTTGTTGATTAATTCATTAGAGATTTATCTCTATCGTTTAAAATTTATTTTAATTTAATTACGCCGGAGTTAAAGTTATTTACATTTACCAAAGTAAATAGGTCGTTTATGGGGCAAAGTGTGCGCATGTATAATAAAATCCCACAGTCGATATTAAGTCTGCCGCTTGACCAATTTAAATGTAAAATTAAAAATCAACTGACTGAAAAATGATTTAAGCATATTATACCATTTCGGAATATCTCGACGACGCCAATGTGTGGAGTTAATACTGTTGATACTCACGTAGGCTAGAATAAGACTATTATACCAGTATATTATATTGTACCCTGATATTTTTGAAAAAGAGCAACTGTTGAGTTTCTTGCCGGTCTCTTCTCAATAGAAACTGCTTTCCGAACCGGTGGTACCTTACGAACGTATACACATAATCTTTGATGTAAAATTTGACGATTCATAAGAGCGCGCAAGCGTCTATTTGAATAAATATATTTTTGATTTTGATTTTGAAGAACTGGCCTATCACTGGGCCTAAAACCCAGCCAGTTCTAAAATATTTAAAGTAAAACAACGTATGTGTGTTACAGTTTAGTTTAATTGTTAACCTTTGCCTGATACGTTTATGTGAACTGGTATATCGATATTTCATAACTTCCTTTATATAATAAGATAAATTCCTTAGTAGGATGAGATTATCTTGTTTTGTTAGTCAATGGAACGTAGGTTTCTCCAATGGTTAGGTCGTCACCTACTCGTCGAACTCTTCAGACAGCTGTGAAATGTATCTGTAATAATCGACAGGGATGGGTACTTTGGACCAGTACCCTGTGGGCGAACTGCTCGGCAAGTATAAGGATCGCACGGAGTACCTCAACCACCGCTACCTCTTGCCTGGTTTGGCAAACGAGCTCAGCGGCGCCTACTGGGACACCTACCTGCCTTTGTATGGGGTGCACAGTGTTATGCACAGACCGTTGGTGCTCAAGAGGTAATGAATTTACGTAGTATTACAATTAGTACCCGATTGCGAAAAAATAAAAAAGAAGGTTATGTGTTTGTATGTTGAATGTGGCTTAACCGATTTTGATGAACGATATGCCGTTAGATTCGTCTTTATTGCGATTGTTACTGGGTATACCAAAATTATAAATAAAAAACAAAATGGCGGATTTTTGGCGCTAAGATGTATGTGTTCCAATTTTTTTTTTTCGTACCGCAGTCGGGTTATACTATTGAATTGAATTGAAGGGTATTTTATTATATGCACTAGAAACAGGTTAATTGTAATTAAAATATGCAGAAAAAATTTAAACCCTATCCTAAGAATTTACTTCTTAATCCAGGAACTTAGGACTTATCATTTTAGTTTATTAGTTAGATTAATATATTCCTTAATTTTACTCCATACCTTACATTTAAGATAAGCAGCCTTTTGAATGCAAATTCTGTTATTTCTATCTATTCCTATATTTATGCAAGTGACGATTGGTTGTAGGAGGGCTCCTAAGCAGGAGATCTGCGGCACGATCCTGTCATATGAGGACGGCACTGAGTACCAAACCCCGATGACCTCCGCCCAAGTGGTCTTCAGATACCCGATTGTCGGGCGCGTCATCTTCAGACAGCCCCTGGAACGACCTTGGGAGGACACGACCGTCATCATCGAGAGCATGGTATGCACCGCAAAAAGGTTTAATGTTTCATTTCGAACATACTAATACCTATTAGTTCACATTAAATAAACAAACAGGTCTCAAAACCGGCCCCAAACAGAAAATAGAAACGGGATAAACTTAGTTATTGTAAATATTACACAGAATCCTGTTACTGAACAACCTTCTTTTGTTATGCGAACTGCTAAAACGTGTTGCGTTTTTAATCAATCAAAACGTCATTATGATTAATAAAAAACAAAGGCCAGCTATCAAGAATATTTGACCCGAATGGCGTAGTGGATAGTGTACCTGCCTCCTGCGCCAGAGGGTGTGGGTTCGATCCCCACTACTGGAAAAATATTGTGTGATGAACATGGTGTTTTTCTAGTGTCTGGGTGTTTCTATATGTATATTATGTATTTATTTACAAAAGAAAAGTATGTTTAAGTATGTTTATCAGTTTTCTAGTACCCATAGTACAAGCTTTGCTTAGTTTGGGACTAGAAAATTTTGTGTACGAATGTGTCCCAAATATTTATTATTATTATTATATTATTATTAAATAGTAATATTGATAAAATATATAATAGTAATAACATTGATAATAAATAGTCCAATTTATTATTAACATCCGAACAATAATATGCACTTTGGGATCTTAACGATCTATTGTTTAAAAGGGAATGCTTTTAGTACTTAAATATAGTGCCATCTATCGACAAAGTTTAAAATTAATTTACCTTTTGCTATGTACAAGTTTTCCCAACCGAGTAACGTAACGTAAACAAATGTAAATTAGGTAAAACATTTCGTGTGACAATTAATAAAACCTAATTTAATATATTTTCAACACCCTGAGGAAAGGGTTGTATGGCACCCGTAAAAAAGACCTTTAAGGGTGCCATACATGATAGAAAAACTTATTTTAAACAAACGAATATACTCAGATATCATTAATTGACGCCCTCTTTTCTTTATCCAGTACTAGCATATTTCTTGTTTGTCCACTAAAGTACTAGTTTGACAACGTAGCCACGGATGTCGCATATGTTTATTCTCACCGTCTTTCCTGATTAAAAAGCAATGTTCCACATTACCCGGTATCGTAAAATATTTGATAGGATCCCAAATATAACCTGGGTGGGTCCCAAGGAATCACTTAGAAATTTGTTAAAAGAAATAAAAATATTGACTGTTGCTTCTCAGTAAATAATTGAAAATGTTATGTAAGTCCATAAAAAGAAGGATCAATTTTCAAGATTTAGTAATGTACAAGTACATGATATAAGTACTAGGAACAAACATAAATTAATTCTATCCTCTTCTTGATTGCGTAGAATAATTAAAAATTTTATTGGACAATGATTTTTTTTAATGTGAAAAGTTGTCAAACGAGCAGACAGTTCACCTGATGTTAAGTGAATACCGCCGCCCATAGACATCTGCTACACCCGAGGGTTGCAGATGCGTTGACAACCTTTTAAAAATTGGGCTCCGGCCACCTCACTCACCAGACGAAACGCGAAAGGATTATACTTCCACTTTACGCCGGTCTTCTGTGAGGTCGTGATACTTACCAGGACGAGCCTGCCCATTCGTGCAACAGCCGAGGCTGCTGCGTGGCCCTACCACCGTAAAAATGTACACGTTTTTACAAAATCCCAGACAAAATCCAATGAATCAGTTGCTAAATTCAAAAAAAAAACTTGTAAAGGAACGTTTGTGTGTTATAGTATGTTTGACTATTATAGTATTAGTGATTGTTTAAATGATAACACACTCTGGAAATTAATCGATCGGTCCAGGCTCTTCTAAGTGGTTTTAAATATATTGTATGCATGTTTCTTATAATTATCAAATTGAGTTAAAAAAAATTGTTTCGCTCAGTTTGTTTCGCCGGTTCTTCTCAGGCGAGTGGTTGGCTTTTTTCGAATAGGTAGTAGTGTTTTTTGACGATCAATTTGAAATTTTCAAATTCAATTTCAAAAGCATTACACTTACAATGCTTATTTATTTATTTAATCTTTATTGCACAGAAAATTGTACAAAGGCGAGCGTAATGCATTCTTTACCAGCTAACCCTAGGTAGAGCAGAAACAAAATGTCAAGGGCAGTAAAGTAGTTAAATGCTTCTATATTGAATAAAGATATTTGAATTTGCATTTCCTCCAGATTCACGCGGACGGCGCGAACGTGAACAACTCATTCGCCCACCGGTGGGCAATCCACGAAAGTCCGCCCGGCAAGGACTACTACAACTGGACCGGGCGTTGCCTCAGCGCCGGCAAGATGTTCGACCCCGCCAAACTGGACATCGACACTCGCCACCCAGACCAGTACTGTCGTCCCGGCCTCTCGCTCTGCAGGGTGGGAGACCTCACCACCAGGTACAGAACACCCAGAACTTAATACGCTTTCGAAGTTAGCAGCTAGTAGGATGACAAGCAATGATACATACAAATACGAGGTAGATTGGTAGGTAAAACTCTCTGAATTGAACAGAATGTGAACCTTGTAAATGATCATTCTGATCAACTCAAAGAGTTTAACAATCCTTTTGGCAACTCAAATAACATTGGAAGAGCCATTTGACAGCTTTTCTACGATGATCAGTGTCCCGTCTGGCACTCTAATTATGCCAATTGGTGTAATTAGATTGCAACTCTATAGACTGCTATCTCTTTCTGTAACATTCACTTATATAGGTCATATAATTGCTACACCAGTGGGGTTGCAGATGCGTTGTCACCTTTAATTCCGTGGGACCAGGCCACCTCACTCACCAGACGAAACGCAGAAGTATCAAACTTCCACTTCACGCTGGCATTTTAGTTTCTTAGTGCAACAGGGAAGATTGTTGCGTGAGCCTACTAAAGTTGTATATTTTATATTAATTCCTAGTTCTACTTACGAGCTTTTTAAGTTATATATCAGTCGTCTGGAGGACATACGAATGATCAATCGGCGAAACGTGAATAGAACTCGGACTCTATTATGTTAAGGTATAAATCTTGTCATTTATTAAAAGGGAGTTTGGTTAAAAATTGCAGGCACGGGACTCTAGCAGTGGCAGGAAAGAAGCGGGACAGCGCTCGTCTCACTAGGAAACTCTTCACCGACATCAACCTGCCTCTGGTAGGGAGGCAGTCGATCCTAAGGAGATCTCTGGTGATATACGACGACCACGGGCCCGTCGCCAGGGGAGAGAGGATGGCCTGCTCAATGTGAGAAAACTTAGAAATAACTCACTAACTATAAACCTGGAAAATGTACTTGTAGGTTTACAGTCTGAATATGTTAAAACAAACTTTTCTTTAAAAAAAAAACATTGTCCTCACTTTAGGATAGCATTATCCTGTGTTGTAAGGACGTTTTTCAAATCTAAACTTCTCACGGACAAATACCCACATGCGAAACAACTACACAATATGTATGTCACACAAATGGTTGTCCCTAGTGGGAATCGAACCCAGGAGCCCCGACGCCGAAGCCAATACCTTTCCTACTGGGCCACGGAGGCATCAACTATTATAAATAGCGCATTGTAGAAATTCCAATGTCGTACATAACTTTTAGGGCCATGTATAGTTTGTAAAAGAGACGGTCGCATGAATACGGCCGCTGAAAAGTGTTCGAAGCTCCAATATCCAAATAGGAAATGCCATGCGATAAAATTGGTTAAACGGTGAAACCGTGTAACTAATTTAACATCGTGTGCTATTCGCCCACATATAAAAAAGGAATGGTCTGAACCTATAAAACTTTGTGTTTTCAAATGATAACTAACCATTTAGATCACTAAGTGTTACGTCATCAAACGGTTATTATTTGAATTTGGCTTATTTCCACACCTTATTTTAACAATATAACAATATAACTCATCAGCTGTTAATAACAGCTAGTGGCAAATGTACATGCTATAAAATTTGACTTTTATAATTTTTTTATTTTCAATTTGCCTTTAATAAATTACAGGTTAATTAGAGAATTTTTTACACCTGGGCTAAGGGTCTGGAAATTATGAAGGATATAAAGAAGAAGACTAAATGTAGTATGAAAGGAAGAAGCAGATGGAAATTGAAAAAAGAATGATGTAAATAAATATTTAGTACAACATTGACGAAATAATCATTGTTGAAAAAAAAGAACGTATTAAATGACTCATAATCCCATTTGTGTTGAGTTTAATGGATCTCGAAGAGGCAAAAGACTTTGCGAAGATCGTGGAAAGTGGAAATTAGTAACTTGTCTGTATGTGTGTGTTCGAATAGGAATCGAACCCAGATTTGGATGCTTTCCTCGATAGGATAAACGGGCTGCACCGTCGCAAGGCCGTGGTAAGAGACTGGTTCGGCAACGGGCAGCGGGAGACTCCTGGCGGCCGTATGGAGCTGCTACAGCAGTCAGAGTATGACGTCACCAACGTCCAGGTCGACCTCACCGGCCTGCGGGACGCGCACAACTACATGCTGCACGTGGTGAGGCACCACGCCATAGCATGAACGCATCGATTAGACAATCCGGTTAACCGTGACCACCACTCAACAATTATCTATTTAACCGTGGTAGGGCCACTAAACAGTCTTTGCGGTACACGAATGGGCAGGTCCATCCGGGGAAGTACCATGACATCACAGAAGACTGGCGCGAAGTGAAAGTGTTTTATTTCTGCGGTGCGTCGTGGGAGGTAACCGGAGCCAAATTTATTAAAAGTTGGCAACGGTACGGACGCTCTAAACGTACCATGGACGGCGGTTATTACCCAACATCAGGTGTACCAGGTCGCTTGTCATCTTCTTACTAAAAAAAATGTAATAGTGTTTACATTTGTATGTATTCCATGGTTGATATTTGCTTCCTCTCTTTAGAGGATATTAAGACATAGTACGCGCAGACCGACGACTGATTGGTAGCATTCATATACATTAGACGTAATTATGTTTTATCACTTGCTAAGAGCCTAAGGATAGCGTCACAGCCATAAACAGATGCAAGAACAAAGATCTTGTCTTGCAAGAAATGTCCACCAGAGACCCGTGCTATTTTCCCCTTTCTCGAACGTGAAAAATTTATCGAAAGTAATTTTAAAAAAATTATCGCAATATTAAAGTTGAATGTTGTTGTAAGCATGTTGATTCAAATTCAGAGAGAATGGCCAAATGGCATTAAGTCCGCCTTTTGCAATCTTTTTTTAAGGTTTTGCAATAAAGCTTAAATAAATAAAAATGTATAAAGGAAAAGAATGAATACCGTTTAATCAAATACAAAATCATGATGAATAGTAATTTTAGTTGTGGTAGGTTCACGCAGCAGCCTCGGCTGCTACACGAAGGGGCAGGCTCGTCCGGGTAAGTACCACGACCTCACAGAAGACCCGCGTAAAGTGGAAGTATAATACTTTCGCGTTTCGTCTGGTGAGTGAGGTGGCCGGAGCCCAATTTTCAAATGGTTGTCAACGCATCTACAACCCTCGGGTGTAGCAAATGTCCATGGGTGGCCGTATTCACTTAACATCAGGTGATCTGACTGCTTGCTTGGCAACTTTTCACATAAGAATAAGACGTCACAGGGCTTCTCATGTTAAACAAAACAGTATTGTCTCGCGAGTCATCACAACTTAAACTCATAACTAAAAAGTGTTACGTACCAGCGCTACTCCCTGTACTGGCAAAATCTGTTTATTACTACTTGCACTTGAAAAAAATACTAACTTATTACGTGAAAAAATGAATTTCAGGCTCCAGTCGAACGGGAGAACGAGTTCCCCTGCGAACGGACAACCTTGTACGACGTGTACAACCCCTTTCACGTCAACAAATCACTTAGCCCTCCTGTAATGAAAGGTATGAATTTAAAGTAACAGCTGGCTTTACAGTACAGGTCCTGCTGCTAGGCAATTACCTTAAAACCCTCTTTATCGCTAAAAGCCTCTTAACTCCTCCTCAGGAGGATATGCATAATCCACCAGGAGACCCCACTGCGGATTGGCATACTTCACATATTATCGAAATAAATATATATATTTTTTGGTATTGTTTCGAATATATGATGATTTTCTCGCGATGTTTGTATTCAGCGTTAAGCATGTGATCAGTTAGCCTTAAAATTAACTACTGGCACCGGAATTTCGGCCGTCCTAATTATTTTTGTAAGTTACTAACAACCCAGCCGGGTTGTTAGTAACTTAAGTTAAGTTAAGTTTTAACAGCGCGCCGTTATTGATTGGCAACATTTTCAACAATCATCGTCATGTTTCAGTCAATTTACACAGAACTTTTGCGAATTATACACATCATGCCCATGAATCATTCAATCTATTGGTGCAAGCCGTATAAAAACCCGTTAAGTAGTTTTTGAGTTTATCAGTTCAGGCAGACAGACAGCAGTGGACATTGTTCTCTATAGTATGAAGTGGTTATACATATTTCTTGTTACTGGCGTAGATAGTGAACAGTCTCTTGCGGCAGTTGTCTTGGGTTCGATCCTCACTAAAAATAATGTGTGATGAACATATGTCTGGTTTAAACATAAAAGAAGTTTAGCTCATCGTATTTGTTTTCTGTTTATAATATTTCTAAACTTTTTTTTAATTTACAAACATAATGAAGACAAGAAATCGCTTTGTGATGAAATCCATAAATCTGTTCGTTCTAGGCACGGCGGACCAGTACGAGCTAGGGGACTTTGGGGATAAGTACGGCTTGCTTGACGACTTCAAAACTTTCAGCACGGCCTACAACGAGACGCAGATGTCACTTTTTGGACCGTTCAGCATATTGGGGCGCTCCGTCGTCGTGCATCAGAAGGTGAGCACTGCATATTTATGCATCTTTTGATTGGTAAATGAACTAGATTTTTCGATTTATATTGCTTGGGGAAAACCCTTATAAATTCACCAAATAAGAGGCTTAATAAAGTATTTAATTACATTTAGAACAGTCTATTTGTTAACCTTCAATATACTGCCAAAATTAAATTATAATGCAAACATGAATATTTAATTTTTCTTGATTACAATCAATATTTTAGCTGTCAACATTTTGTATCATTGACTACACGCATTAGCTTCCTTTACATTACAGAGTATGTTGCACCGAAATTTATAATTTTTTTTTGTTTTCACATTTCATTATTTGTATAAAAACAAATATTTCTAAGATAATATGTCCGCCAGTCTGCAGTGGGGCCGCGTGGTGGACTATACCCTCTGTACAGACGAGGCCTTTGCCCAACAGTGGGACATGTATAGGCTGTTCCTTTACTTTTGAATGCGCGCAGGCGAAGGGCCGCCGCTGGGCGTGCTCGAGCGTGGAGCGCGGCTACAGCCCGACGGAGGCGCGCGAGATCCGCGGCATCGCGTCGTTCCACCACCCGGGCGGCTTCGCGACCGGCTACGTGCGCATGACGCAGCTCATACACAACGACGGCAGCGCCAGCGACACCGTCATCGAGGTCAAGCTGCGCCACCCGGGCGTCAGGGACCGCAACCTGGTGAGGGCCACCTTTGTTCGTATCCTGGGAAAGTCTTCGAAAGTTGAGTTCGGGCTGCGGGTTTTAACTTCGCCTCGTTAGTATCGATAACTTAACCTTATTCTTATTCGTTGTTAGATAAGTTTTTTTAAGTTTAGATTTTCTGTTTTTATTTATTTAGCATTTCTTTTATTAGGATATTATCTTTGCTGAAGGCCTGCTATAACTTTAACTCCTATTATTTGTCATTACTCTCATTCCTAGTTATATATATAGTTAACCTCTCTATTACATTATTACTCTATTACAGTACTTACATTTACGGTTTCTTTTGTGATTTGGATACCCAACTGCAATCCTAGTTTTTTCACTTAGTTTCTTGAATTCACTAATGGTTTGCTCGCATTTCTCAGACCCACAACCACAAGTGGGAGATTTTCGTGAACCCCGTGGGCGTGGACGCCGCCGTGAAAGTGACCAACACGCGCTGTGTTGCCGGCGGTTACCGTTGGAATCCGTACTTCACTCAACTCGCTGATCCCCTCAACGTGAGTCCAGAAACTTTCTAAGTATAGGTCCAAGTCAAAATTTATTTGTTATTAAGGATTTTGAACTGTTTGATTATTTGTAGTCAATTTGAAATTTCGTTTTATGGAAGAAAATTTACGGTTTTGCAGCACGAGCTTTACAGCGCGGAATGTGGAGCTGACAATCCTCTGCGTTGCGACGTCGGTGACCTCACTGCGAGGCTTGGCATGCTAAGTAGGTCTTTTCTGGATTTCTTTCAGATTAATTCCCTAATAACGTGATGCGGCGACGGTACCTTGTACGTTTGTTTTTGAAACGTATGTTTTGTCAGTCACACATTATCTAATTGTTATCCCAGGATAACTTATTCAAAGAGTGTTTGGGATGAAATCAAATAACAGAAGAAAAAGTTTTGCTATGTCTTTAACATTAATTGAAAGTTTGATATAATTTACGTGGCAAAGTAATAATGTAATCAGATCTTAGTTTAATGGAATAAAGCATGTGCAATATAGAACTTAAAGGTCTACCGAGAGAAGAGTACTTTCCAACAGTACGGAAACCTGTGATGACGAGAACAAGTAATATAAGTAAAATAAGGATAATCTTGATTTTATAAAAAAAAAGTAAAGTAACAGCCTATACATGTCCCACTGCTGGGCAAAGGCCTCCTCTATACAGAGGGTATCAGGGCATAGTCACCACGCGGCCCCACTGCGGATTGGCGGACTTCACAGATCTTCGAAATATGTTTTTTTGTTATTATTTCGAAAATATGCAGGTTTCCTCACGATGTTTTCCTTCACCGCGGAGCACGTTATAAGTCAGCACTTAAAGTTAAAAACTTCATTGGTGCCGGCACCGGGGATCGAACTCAGGTTGCTCGAATATATTGAATTAAAGGCGAGCGCCCGGACACTGAGCTATCACGGCTCTAAACTTGACTAGAGATTGATTTTATGCGCTTCATTAAATTGTCACGTTCTGAGTCAGTAGAAAAGAAGTTTGACTATAAAAACGTACAGATAATTAGAAATGTCGCTTTGTTAACAACAATATCACTTTGTCCACAGCGATCGGTGGTGAGCGGCAGGTGTTCATGGACAGCAACTTCCCCCTGGAGGGTGCGGTGTCCGCGATGGGCCGCTCTATCGTGATCTTCGGGCCCGAGGGCAGCAGCGAGCGCTTCGCCTGCGCCAACATCCAGCCGGACAAGGACATCATTAAATACGTCAACGTCATGAAACCGCCGAGATTTGTGCTGTGGGTGTACTTTATTTCTAAGTACATTTATTTCAATAATCACAATGAGTTAGCTGCAAAGATAGTGTTCCCCCAGCAATTATTTTTTCCTGGGATGTATCGATCGAACTTTTTTCCTACTGAATCCTCTGTATCATGAAAGGGAATAGAATGAGCTTTTATGATATTAAAAGCATTAAAAGATATCCAGATTTAAAAAAAAACCTGACGTGCACTTCCTAGTTCCCTTCCAGTTGCCCATTTTATACTATTTTAAGCGACTTCAAAAACGGAGGAGGTTCTCAGTTCGACTTTATTTTTTTTTTGTTTGTTACCTCTTTCGACCGAGTGAACCGATTTGTATGATTCTTTTTTTATTTGAAATCTGACGCTTCCCATGTGGTCGGGCCTGGTCAGTTCAGAAGCGTTGCCTGATGTTCGGTATTCAGCTAAATCCTCCTTAGCGAGGTCTAGCGTTGATTGTTCCCTTCCGTAGGGGTCAGTTCCTGGAGGAGTTCCGCGGCATAATGGGTGTCCCGCCCTGGATGCTGGGCGTGGACTCGCGCAAGACGCGGGTGCTGCACCACGGCGCCTGCGTGCAACTGCTCCTTCACTTCGCGGGGCCCGACGCCAACCGCCTGGAGCTGGACTTCACCAGGTACAGTCAAGTGCAACGGTCTAATAATAGAACACAACCTCATCTCTATGTAATCAAAAATTTTAGACGTAACAACATTGCCCGTGACTGTACACCAGTGTTTAGTAGGAACGCTGGACTTCACCAGGTAAAGTCAAGCGCAAAAATCAGAGCCCTATAATAAAATTGAGCCTCATCTCTAAATGATCAAAAATGTTTAGATGTAACAACATTGTCCATGACTGTACACCAGTGTTTAGTTGGAACGGGACATGGGGCGATTTGAAATGATGCGATCAAAGGGGGAGGGGAAATAAAAAAGTTCAGATGTGACATGCTGGGGGTGCAACCCCATGAAGCCCTTTTGATGTTAATATGTACACATTTTATGTACGTCTTATAAAAGCAGTTTTGAGATTAACAATTAGTGCGATGCTGATCTTTTCCTATCACTTTTTAATTGAATCCATTCAGATGCAAGTCGCTTACGATTACACCATTTATTAGTTGAGTAGCTGAGACGTCGAACTTGCTAAATATCTCCGTTTTTTATCCCAAAGATGTACAATAAGGGTGATATTATACGGTTTTTTGTAGGGGAAATCACTACCTCGCATTTACGCCAGGTCGTCACTAGTCTTGTCTGATATTATGAGTTCGCTTGAATGTGAACTACTTTATATGTCACTGTCTTAACCATTAGGGTCAAAAGACACGGAACTTCTTCATTTTTGTATATTTGTCTCCACACTTGAGGTAAACCAACTAAATTAGGTTATTTTACCACTTATAAAATTATTTATCTTCAGACTACTCTTCGTAACTCGCACAGGTTATCAGATGAGGCGTAGGATTTGGTAAAAAATTCAAATTTTTAATCGAATTATGACGCATAATTAGGAAGGATGATCGTTTTCTTGACGCTTTAGCAAGGATGATATTATAATATTGCCTATCATATAAGAATTTGACACATCATGCGAAAGTTTTTATAATGATTCACCTGATGAGACTTAAGTTTGTTTGACATGGTCCGTTGCTGTGAAACTCTGGGCTAGTCAGCAACTATTTTCATCACAATGATATCTTCGTCACAATTTTTTCCTCAAATTTACGTTTTTTTTTTATCAAAAACAAATTACATTGTGTTGGAACGGTCCTAGAAACTTGATATATGCGGTTTCAATTGGAAGATATCAACGATAAAATAAATTTTATAGACAAAGGAATCGCCGCGAGATAAACGGGCGAGGTAGGGCAGGTCTGGTTAGCTCCGGCGGCATCGATCCGTTCTCGCTGAGCGGCTGCGCAGTTACTCTCCCGGGGCCAGGGTGTGGTCCGCCCAGCCTAGGTCAACCCCCCCCCCCCTCACGCCCACGCGAGTTCATCCCGCGAAGGCGCGGGGTTTGGGGCATTGGAGGCGCTGTGTTATTACATTACCTGTGTGCACTATGCAAGTACATTCGTTTATGTGAAACTGATTAAGTGAAGTTTCACTAGACTTCATCCGCGGCGCCACTCGTGCATTTCAAAAGTAGTTAATTTCACGAAATAAAAAGCATTCCGTTAATAAATAGGATGCTTGTTTTCACTTCAGTATTCTGATAAGTTTTACAAATGATTAATAATCCATTTATGATTAATTTAATTTATTTAGTGCTATTCTTTCAGTTCAAGATGAAATTTAAATGTTCTTTTTGAAGATAAATTGTCAAAAATAATAGGCGTATTAGCGTTAAACGCAGGTTTCAACTTCTTCGTGCCGTAAAGGTTTAAACCATTAAAAACCAGTAAAATCCAAACATTTACATTTAAATTATTGAGAGTATCAAAGGTAACTTTTTCTGTAAGATTGATTTATGTTACAAATAGTATGCAAATAATAGCGACATTTAAATCCATGTCTCAACCGAACCCGAATCCATTTAGATGAAAGCAAAATTCACAAAATCCCTCAACGTGAAAGCAACTTTTCTCTATTTTTATAATATCTGTAATATTATAACGTATACCAACAAATCTTTATTACACTAAGTACTTATCTTTTAAAACCACAGATAGAAGGAATCCCCTCCTTCTATCTTGTCTGTGGTTAAAAAGTAAATATACAATACTACTTCGATTCGCCTTAACTATTTAATTATTTTTTTAGCAACTCTAGCGTTTATATAATGACGGTCGCCATAAACATGAGTCGAATCAGTAAATTTTTTGCACTTTATCAACAAGTAATGTATAGGTCCTTGAAAACCTTTAACTAAAAAAAACATATCCTATTTCACTAAAACGTACCTTTTAAAAGGTTCTGAAATTACCTATTACGTACAAACGGACAAATTTTCCTCTTTATAATATAAGTAATGATATGTTCCTGACAGTAAATAAGTAAGCAATGCAACGGACCTGGTATCTGACTTTATATTTAAGATAAACACTGATTTAATGTATGGGTATTTCAAGCTTCTACGGTTTATATTAACTTTTTTATGTAAAAGGGTTGCAAGCAAGCACCTGATGTTATGTGATAACCGCCGCCCATTGGCATTTACACACCCGTAGAGTTACAGATGCGATGCCATCGTATAAAAAGTAGGCTCCGGCTACCTCAATAACTGCCGGTCTTCTGTTAGGTCCTGGTACTTACCCGGATGGACCTGCCTATTGGTGTAACAGAGAAGACTATTCCTTGGCCATACCACAGTTGAATTCGTCAGCAACTATTTCCTTTCAAACGTTTAGGAATTACTTTCATAAGTTCGGTAATTAAAACACTAGAATGTTGATTTATAGCTTCTAATAGCTCTTTATGAACAGATGGTTTTCGTCTGGAATTCATGTTGATGTTGATGGGATGATAATATTTATTTGAATCATATATATTAAGCCAATTACGTTAGCTGCAGCCGCAGCACTTGAAGAAAATCAATTCTTAAAATATAAATTTAATAAAAAAGAAAAATTACAATAATTCTACAACTAAACTAAACTAAAGTGATTATCTCGGTCGAAGTGGGACCGAAGAATAATGAATTCCGATTCCGATTCCGTCTTTAAGTAGGTGGGATATTTGGAACTACGTGATTCTTGCAAGGGCGTCAGGCCTGCTGACTCGGTGCTTCGTGACATGCGGCTCCGCCGTGTGCGTTTTTAAGTAGGCGACACACTTTTAAGTAGGTTACGTAATTAGCCACTTAAGTAATTAAAAAAATAATCTTTTTGTAATTCAAAAATAAAATAAAATTATTTTATAGTTTTTTCTTCTTAGATGGACAGCACTAATTGACCACTAAATTACTGATTGAGGTCACTAGGTGATGACTAACTCAGATGTAAATTCTCTGCTCATACTCTGTTAACTAAGAAAAATATGTGATATTTTTTTAATGGACAGATCTGCCCATTATGGTTCAGCAACAACACAACTGTTTACCTGGTATTTGCACCAACAAATTCTTATCCAGGCATAGACCTATTTTCATATTGCCATCTCTAAGTAAAGTTTTTGAAAAACTCATTTTGAATTTAAGTTTTAGTACATATTAATGACTCAATCAAATTAAAAATTAATGAATCAAAATCTTTCACTATGAGCAATATGGATTTACTAAAGGCAGATCGACAACAGATGTAGGCGTCGCACTTGTCAAACATATTTATAACGCCTGGGAAAGGTCACAAGATGCAATGGGTGTCTTTTGTAACCTTTTAAAAGCCTTCGACTGCGTAGACCACAAACCCTCCTTCAAAAGCTAGAATATTATGGCATTCGTGGCATCGCCCTCAATCTCATTGCCTCTTACCGTAGTGATAGAATTCAAAAAGTATTTATAAATGATGTTAATTCCACTGGGTCCCCGATGAAAATGGGTGTCCCACAAGGATCAATCTTGTGCCCATTAATATTTTTAGTGATATTAATGATCTCCCCTTTTATGCCAGTGGGTTGTGTGATGTTGTACTGTTTGCTGACGATACATCGCTAATTTTTAAGGTTGACCGAAACGTATTTAAATTATGACGACGTGAATAGTGCACTTTCACATCTCCTCCACTGGTTTAGTATTAATGTATTAATATGGTATTAAATGCCAAAAAAACTAAATGTACTATTTTACCCTTCCTAGTATAAGAAGGAAAAGTATTAGTTTAATATTAAATAACGTCCCCATTAATTCAGTTGAGTCTGCTGTATTTCGGGGAATTACAGTAGATTCAAAGCTCCAATGGACTCCCCATATATCATCTCTTGCGAATAGACTAAGCTCCGCTGTTTTTGCGATTAGAAGGGTTAGGCAGCTAACAGATTTCGACACTGCCAGACTTGTTTACTTCAGTTATTTTCACAGCATGTTGTCGTACAGCATTTTGTTGTGGGTTAGTGCATCAGATGTTAATTCTATATTTATTCTTCAAAATTATATAATTCACTCGGAGATCTTTGTAAAGAGGTTAATATACTCACTGTTGCTTCTCAATACATTTATTGTAATATTTTGTATATATGTCATAACCTTAATTATTACCTAAAGAATAGTGACAGACATAAAATAAATAGTAGAAATAAGGACAAACTTACTACGCCATTGTTTCGTCTACAAAAAGTAAATAGGTTGTTCATGGGGCAAAGTGTGCGCATGTATAGTAAAATCCCACAGTCGATATTAAATCTGCCGCTTGACCAATTTAAACGTAAAATTAAAAGTTAACTTATGGTTAAAGCATATTATACGATTGCGGAATATCTCGACGACGCCAATGTGTGGAGTTGATAATAATGAGTATAAATTAATAATGTTATATAGTAAACTGATACTTTTGAAAAAGAGCAACTGTTGAGTTTCTTGCCGGTCTCTTCTCAACAGAAACTGCTTTCCGAACCGGTGGTACCTTACGAACCTATATACATAATCTTTGATGTAAAATTTGACGATTCATAAGAGCGCGCAAGCGTCTATATGGATAAATATATTTTTTTGATTTTGATTTTGAAAAGGGTTGCTCACTGTGTAATATTCAATTGGGTGCCTATTAAGTTAGAAAATAAGTTAATCTATACTTTATTAAAAACAATAAAATCTTATATATTATTACTAGCTGACTCGGCAAACGTTTGTTCTGCCATATAAATTATTTGTAGGGTAGAAAAAACTGTTTAGGGTGGACCACCCTTAACATTTAGGGGGATGAAAAATAGATGTTGTCCGATTCTCCCTGGCCGATATGCACACAAAATTTCACGAAAATCGGTCGAGTCGTTTTGAAGGAGTTCAATTACAAACACCGTGACAGAAGAATTTTATATATTAGATGTCATATAACAATTTAAGCGGAACAATTCTTAAACGCCGTGCAGTATGGACATGCATCATCTTTATTAAAACATCATTGGCGTGAAAGTCCTCTTCATCGCTTCACAATGGCCACTTTTGATTGAGTTTGAGGCTGACTTTACTATGTTTCAAACTACATACATAAAATGATGGTAATATATACATAAGTATACGAGTATCCATATCTCGTATAGTGATGTATCTATAATCTAATATATTTTTTTTCTTGAAAAATATAACTCATAAAGGCCTCCTCTATACAGAGGGTATCAAGGCATAGTCCATCACGCGGCTTAATGTCAAATAAATCTTCCTCTTCTGACAAAAGCTTCAAAGCTTCTTGACTACTGAGAATTTTGAATTAATTTATTGTCTTATATTTTAAAAAATTAAGTGAAAAGTAGAGCCGTGATAGATCAGTGTGAGGCTCGCCTTTAATTAAATTTACTCGAGCAGCTTGTGTTCGATCCCCGGTTCCAACAACAATGAAACTTTTAATTTTAAGTGCTGACTTATCACGTGCTCGGCAGTTAAGAAAACATTGTGAAGAAACCTGAATATTTCGAAATAAAAAAAAAAAAAAATATTTCGAAAATACGTGAAGTCCGCCAATCGGCAGTGGGGTTGCGTGGTGGACTATGCCTTGATCTTTACAGAGGAGGCCTTTGCCCAGCAGTGGGACATTTATACGCTTTTTGTAAGTGAAAAGTAATTAAAGAAACCAATGAACTTTTGAGAGTATCGTAACGGTTTGCCACCGGTATGAAGTAATTATATATGAACTGTTGTTTGTTGCGTACCAGTGAATTGATTTTTGGGCGAGTAGTTTCAAATTATAGTAATGCGGGCAGCACAATATAGTTAACATTATCCACGGTATTCTAATGGAAAGACGCCTTGTCGCCCTACCGAGCCCTAAAGGGGCTGTAGCGACTTCGTGATTCGTGAATTTAATATTATTAAAATTTACGATATCTCTGCAGTCAAATTCATAATTCATGACGTATTTATGTGGTCACCCAGTGGTCGAAATTGGACCATAATTAATTATACGTGGTAGTGTATAATGTTTTTTTTTTATTGATTTAATGTATTTTTAGGCATAATTTAAAAAAATAGCATTTTGCACTGCTTTTCTATATAAACAATAAATCTAGGAAATTTCATACTCCTCCGTACACGCAATTTTCGTAAAAAGGGGTACAAAGTTTTTGCTTTACGTATTAATATACAGATTTTTGAAATGAAATTCACCATTCATGATCTATTTATGTTTGTTATTAAATGCTGTTGCAGATTGCTCGCATCTGGTCGATTGGACTCTCCCAGTATCTTCATCCCGGGTTACGTGAACACGAAACGCAAGAAGACCACCTCGTTTCGGCAGTGCGGGGTCACCGACCCCAACGACAGGAGCAGTGAGTAGAGGGCCGATTTCCCTTATTCCTGACGGTGGTAACCAGGAAAGCGGTTGACTTGATCATCAGCGATTTAAAGATATAGACGCATGCTTTCTGCTGTCCATGAATCGGCCGGCTTGCCTGGAGAAGTGCCACGCACTCGCAAAAGACCAGTATATTGTATTTTCTTTTGCTTTTCGTTTGGCGAGTGGCTCAACTGGGATCTAGTCTCTTATAGGTTGAGATTGCAACAGCCAACTGGTGAACTAGATGCTGTTTTTTATGTAAGAAGGTGGCAAGCGAGTTTGCGTTTCACCTGATGTTAAGTGTTGACATTTGCATCACCCGTTGGCGATGCGTTGACATCTTCTAATGAAGTGGGAAGAAAAGTAAGATATACTTCCACCTCACGCTGGTCTTCTGTGTGGTCACAGTACTTACCCGCATAGACCTGCTTATTTGTGCAACAGCAAAGCTGTTGCGTGGCCCTATCACCTTAATTCCTTGTATAAAAAAGCCATCACCGCTCGTGATTACTTTGCTACGTCAGTAATAGTGGCTAATGTGCTTCTGATTTTCAAATGGGTCCTGAGGGACCTCACTCACCACACGAAAGGCAAAAGAATTAATATTTCTGTCAGTTTGGTAGTTTCTCGGTTATGTGCACCAGCAGTGGCCACTGCTACGCTTCAGTGAAATTTAATGATTAAAAGGGGTGGTCAGCGGGATTCGACAGCTCACCCCCAAAGGGGGGCGGCGTGGGCAGGCTGTGGGGCGCGCGGGATGCTGCATCCTATGTAGTTCGCCAACGTATATAGGGTTCCTGGAAAATTAATTAGTCTGTAGAACACCGCGATGGCACAGTGGTTAACCACTAACAATAAATTTTCCGATTTGACTGAATGTATTTTTTAATTTAATTTATGGTTTACCGCCTACAAGAAATTAAGAATCCATGAGCTAGTTAGGTACATACATATATAGCAATAATATATTTGTCTAACTCATAAGAGTTAAAAGAGGAAGTGGATTCTACTGTAGTGTCGTGTCTTTTGAGATCAAAGACGAGAAGGAAACATTAATTTATAAGATGAAAAAAGACATAAATAATAAAATAAAATATATATAAATTTAAATTTTTTTGTCATTATTATGTCATGTTTTTTTTTTATTTAAAAAGTTGCCAAGCGAGTAGACGGTTCACCTGATGTTAAGTGAATTGAGTGAAAATTGGGCTGCGGCCACCTCAATCACCAGACGAAACGCGAAAGTATTATACTTCCACTTTACGCCGGTCTTCTGTGAGGTCGTGGTACTTACCCGGACGAGCCTGCCCATTCGGGCACAGCCGAGACTACGCGTGGTCCTACCACCGCTAAATATATGTATATAATAGTATATATAATAGTCTTCAGCGACTTCTATCGCAGGTTCGATTCCTAGTGGGCCCAAACATTTAGCTATATGTGTTTGTTTTAATTTGTTTTACAAATTATTGCTCCGGATTTGAGTGAGTGCTTATTTGTAATTTAACAGTAGTAAAGTAAAGTATCAGCCTATACATGTCCCACTGCTGGGCAAAGGCCTGCTCTGTACAGAGGGTATCAGGGCATAGTCCACCACGCGGCCCCACTGCGGATTGGCGGACTTCACAGATCTTCGAAATATATTTTTTTTGTTTGTACTTCGAAAATATGCAGTTTTCCTCACGATTTTTTCCTTCACCGCTGAGCACGTTATAATTTGGCACTTAAAATTACCAATTTCATTGGTGCCGGCACCGGGGATCGAGCTCAGGTTGGTCTAGCTCGAGTATATTGAATTGAAGGCGAGCGCCGGATACCTCTTATTATTATGGCTTATTATTAACTTCGTAGATTTGTAATTTGCATAAGTAAAAAAAGCATTTACAGAGATAGATAAAGGGGATGGAAAGAATTAAACCCATTATGATATTAGGAGTCAAAGGCCAAAACCAGAAATTCAAGTTTTATTCCAAATGTCTCTTTAATTTCAGAAAATTCGTACTTTTCGGCGAGTCCACCTTCAGCGACAAGACCCTATGTTCTTCGGATCTCTCTTACACTAATCGTAGCAATGTTGTATTTGTGAAGTGTCGACGAATGATTTATTGTATTTATGTAAATTAAAATGTACAGTAAAATAATTGTGATTTATTCGAATTTGTTATTTATTTTATAAATCCACAAAAATTTCTTATTTTTTAGGTAAGGTGATACACATGACACATACATGTGAGATTTCTTGACCCGAATTTGCATATATGGACAAGTTAAATTATGTATATCACACTTCTATACGTCCATCTATTAAATAAAGTTCTACTACTCAATTTAAAAGAATTAAAAAAAATAATGACTTAAATACTTGGATAACGCACATTCAAAGTCGAAATTTATTTATTCAACATAGGCTTATTTTAAGTTCTTATTGAACTACAAAAACTAATATCGGTTCACTAAACTAGACGTGTCCAGAGAAAAAACCGGCTAAGTGTGTGTCGGCCTCGTGTAAAATGGGTTCCGTACCATATCATGTTTGTTGTATGGGAGCCCTACTTAAATATTTTTTTTATTCTTTTTTTTAGTATTTTTTGTTATAGCGGCAACAGAAATATCTGTGAAAAATTCAATTGTCTAACTATCACGGTTCTTGAGATACAGCCTGGTGACAGATGGACAGACAGACAGACAGATAGCGAAGTCTTAGTAATAGTGTCCCGCTTTACCATTTGGGTACGGAAACCTAAAAACCAGCAAGAAAGTGCGATTTTGTTTTTTTTTAAATTAGTAGTATACAATATTATTTAGTTATAAAAATTAGCAGCAGCCAATAGCAGAGTCAATATATCTTGTCCTGAATATATTCTTCGACATTATAATAGGCCCCTTCCATTAGGGTACCAATTCTACTTCATCATAATTATACTGACATTTGAACGTTAACCGTCAAATATGCTTTTCCAATTCTTCTCTTTCGTAGTCTGCCTAATTAATTTCTAAAAATTAAGATTTTTAACTGGTCTAAAAATGTTGATAAATGCTGATAAATTGTTCAAAAAAATTTAGGATACCAATCTGCACTTTTAATTTAAAATACTTAAATAAATAATTAAAATACTCTGATTAAGACATTGGTATTGCTTAGAGTTAACATAGCTTTACTCCAATGGAAAAAAGTACTCAAACCAACAAATTTCATTCCTTTGCTATATTAGTGTAGATAATTGTGTTATCTTCGAATATTCTTCTTTTTGATAGACTAACAATAATTTATTAATTGTACATAGTTTTTCATTCATTAGTAAGAGCATCCAGAATTTTACATAACACCTTTACGTTTACATTTTATTTCACCTTCACATTTGATTACATGTTTAGGTCTTTTGATAAATTGTTATCAAGAATATATTCTCAAGACAGGAGTATTATTTACGCTCGTGCAGCATACAGCATCAAAATTGGAAAGTAGCAAGACATTAGCAGTAATTCCGCATTTTTTAAATATGAAATCTAATTGCAAATTTGACTTGTTCGTGCAACTAGATTAAATAAATTAGGCAGCACAATATCAATGGTTTAAGTACTCTAGAATAAGTTTATTGATGGTTTATTCAGCTTCCGGTAAAGTGAAGATTTCTAATTTTATTTATGAATACCTAATAATTATTAATGAGTAATTTTTATTATGTTACATTAGTACATTTAAAACACTTGCTAAAACATGTTGGTGTCATCAAAAAAACATTAATTGGGATTCCCTGCGCTAGATCTTTCACCGAACATTTCTATTTAATAAGGACTACATCACGACTTATTATCAGAGAACATTAAAGATCTAGTTAACATTTTAACCCTGAAGGTCATCTGGAGGACCAAAATCTATAAAGGTAAAACAGCTATACGTTTTATAAGAAGTAGGTAAAAAATGGTTGAAATATTTGCCAATAGAAATAGAAATCATAGAGATGTATAAACTTACAATAAAAATCTTAGTTAATATTTACTTTGCCTCTAAGTGCATAATTAGATGTACCATTTTAAATTGATTTTGAATGTTTTCCTACATTACTCAACTGCACGAATGGTGCAATAGTTAGAATGGTCGCTTGGCCAATTACCGATGCTCGCTGTAGTGTGGATTGGAACCCTAAAACGGCCAAAATTCTTACGTACTACAAATAGAAGACCAATTATTGGCAGATCTTTAGTTAATTTTGTGATTGAGACCCCCGCGATTTACAAATCATTCCATAGTTTTAAAAAGGATAAAAGCAGTTTTTACTACAATGGGAATCAATTGATGATGTTATCGATGATCTCAGGAAGACGAATCGAAACCTGGATGAAGCAATCAACGTTTTATCTACTGATTGTTACATAATAACACGATTTTCCAATATGAATACGTAATTCATATCGGAAAATTGCAACTAACGACCTTTTCTAAACCTCCATAGTGTTTATTATTATATAATATTATATAACATTTTTTTAAAAGGTGGTAAACCAGTGGTGGTTCACCGTATAAGAGGTAACCTGCCCATTAACATTTGCTACACCCGCAGCCGCTTTATGCCGGTCTTCTGCGAGCTCATGGTACTTACCCGGATGGGCGTGCAAATTTATGCAACAACGAAGACAGCGTGGCCCTACCACCGTAAAAATTATAATTAACTTAATTATTATATTACCGCACAGCAAGTATTTGAATGATTCATAAAAATAGGGATAATAATTACGGATCTTTGTGCTAATTTACGTAAAAGTGTTTAGAATGCAGTATGACCTTAATATATCATCATTTAAAACAAAGGAATTAGGAAAACTTAATGAATAAAGAAATAATGTTGATAATCAGGGATTAACTTCTGAGGTAGGATGCATGCAACAAGTTGTTCACGCTTAGAGGCAATAAGTCTAAGCTAAACAATTTCATTTGAATAATTCATTGGTCCATCAAGCGTAACAAAGAAATCAGCATCCGTTCTCGAATGTTCGCTGTGGGGGCGATAGTATTGATTTATTACCCCTAACACCCCCGGTTAGGGGTCAGCCCACTCACAGGGAGGCAGGCGGCGGCCCCTATGTACAAATCTAGGTCTTGCACCCATCCCAGCTTCTATCTAGGTCCCGGAAGTTTCTAGAAAATCTGGATGTCGCCACGTGAAAATTGCACCTACTGCTAGCGGTCTTAGAGATCAGATTGCGTTTGGCGTCCCCTAAAATCGATAGAGCTGCCGGACGCATGCGCTTCGGGAAATCGATAACGCTGGGTTGTACATGGCCGGTTTCGGGTGTACAGTAAAAGGCGCAATGTTTTACGCGGCGGTCACGTTTCTCACGATTTTGCTGCTGAAACCCAGCCATGGGAACCTGGAAGGCCCGTTCCTGTTCTTCGGTCCCAAATCCCTCGAGCATTACAAGCGCACGGCGCTGAAGTACCTCGACCAAGACGACCTGACGAAGGTGTACGAGGAACAGGCGGCCATCGTGGTGTTCAACAATCAGGACTCGGTACCCTTGTCCAGCGGATACTTCCCGAGGCTGCGGAAGATGCTGGAGGGCCAAACTACACTAGTGTTGCCGCAGGACTTTCTAGACGTGCACCCCGATTACGTCAGCAACGAGACGCAGGTGAATGTAACAAGCAAAAGAGACGCGTATGTCCTTCGACAAAGAGCACTAATTTGGCTCTTTTGTCTATTTAAGAAATTGCATTTATAAACTGTGCAGCTCATTTAAAAGTGCTATATCTAATTGCAAACATGTTTGCTAAGGTAAAAAGTATAAACATCATATTTTTATAACATAAATTTAATCGTAAATTTATTTCTAGTGTAGTACCACCCTTTTGTAAATCAAATATTGATATAATGTACCTGTCTATGTATTAATTGAGGTACCTTGAGGGGGTGAATTCGGAGGTGGGTGGTGAAAGCCGCTATGTAGTCAGTGGGTGGTGGGGTGGTGGGATGGCAGGGTGAAGGAGGTTTAGGGGGTTCCACCCCCCACCCTCTACCACCTACCACCCACTGGGTATAAATTTCGATGCCGATGTGAGCCCATCGTCAGTTCTCCGGGAGACATCAATCAGCAAACATTTACGGGATACCACTCTCAGTTCTTCAGTGGTATAGGGGAAAGGGGAACGTGACCAAATAATTTTTATTTGTCGACTATTTTGCACGGCTTTCAGGTTATCACTTGTTGGACAGTGTTGAAATATTTCTATTTATTGACTCCATTTTATTCTGTGGAAATTTTAATTAATTGAAGATTTCTTCCTCAGGTTTTCACGCTACAAGGGCCTTGGTCGGAACGAGATGCGCAAATGACAGAGACTTTCGCCAGGCTTCAAGACATTTACGGCCATGGGAGAGTTTTAGGAGTTTTGGGTAAAATACTACAAACGGGATTATGGAGTAGAATATTCGGGACGTAATGATTACTACTTTTGCTATGCGATACTTTGTTATATTTATAGATTGTCGCGAAGCGAACTTCAGTGGGGCGTGCGTCTTTTCTGATGGACTTTTTTACATTCTGCTCATAATTTCAAATTGTGAATATAATGAAATACTATTCCGTTATAAACTGTACGTGTAATGTGGCGCGAAAAACCAATTACGGCTGATGTTAAAAATCGAGCTCTTTGCTCGTTTCAGGAAATTCGGTGTCGCAAAGCCAGCAAGCGGACTATGGGGATGGCGAGTGGAGCCGGGTAAAGCGCGAGGCGAGCGAGCAGAGCACCTCCGCGCCCTCTGCACCGCCAACCCCGGCAGACGAGGAGAAACCGACGAAGGCGCTGCCCAAGTACGCGCTCTACAATGCCACTGGTAAATTGAATTTCATGTACATTGTAGCCTTTTTTTAACAAACGCTGCCATATTATATTTTTATATAAATTTTCAATTTTATTATAATTCATTGTACTCATATGACCATAATGTCGCCAGGTCCACCCGGCAAAGCCGCCCTGCTGTACTCTTCTGGGTGGCCAGAGCTGCAATGGCCGGATGGTACTGTCACCGTCCTGGACACACCAGTTGGCGAACCTACCATCAAACCGACTAGGCTCTACACAATACTAGTCGTTCGCTTTGCTGATGGCGACAATACCCGCGATAAGGTAAGGCAATAATAGATAATTTATTTATAAAGATTATGATGACTCAGCGCCGCCATTGGTATGCTATTTGCTTCAGCGTCGAGGGTTGTGGGTTCGATTCCCACACGGGACAAATATTTGTGCGAGCCACAGATAATTGTTCTGGATCTCTGGGTGCTTGTTGCCCAAGGAGGTGATGGTGATATATAAATATAAATTTTTAAAAAGGCACACTTTTTAAAATTAGTTAACTGTTAATCAAAGAGTTGAATATTTGAACTATAGTATATTTGAATAGGTGCTACTATCTATACGTGAAGTCGGCGCATAAAGAATAGAAGTAATGACGTAATTGCTCTACCGCGTCCACAGATCACGCTGGAGTTCAGCTTCAAGCAGTCCGTGGGGTGGTGGGTGGCGGCGGGGGTGGAGGTGAGGAGGGGCCGCGGCGCGGGGCTGGGTCTGCTGCCCCCCGCGCCGCCCGAGGCCCCCGCTGCCGTATTGGGGCACGCTTACCGCTGCTCGCAGCCACTCGTCTACGCAGCAGAAAACGCAACCCTCACATTCCCAAACATACTGGTAAGTACGTCCACCGACTATGATTGTACGCCATACACGTGACGCTATCCATTCCGTGATGCCTTTAAAATTTTTTTAATGCAATCAGCTGCTGCGAGCTAATTTTTTTTTCATTAAGATATTAAATTGCTAATTTCTACCTTCATCGTGAGACTGATTGTGATGGAAACTTTTAATTGCAGATGCAGCCTTTCATGGAGAACACGCAGAAGTTCGCTGACGCCTTCAACTGCATAGGGTTCACCACTGTTCCTATCTGGTAAGTTATGTATATAATGAACCCTTTTTAATAAAATATCGAGAGGAACTCCGAAAAGTTTTATCTACGCCAAACTTCTGACGACGGCACCTGATTTTATTTTCCTTGTAATTTGAACTTTTCCAGGTCGGGACTGATGGTGTCGTTCATCATAGCAATGGGGCTTGCGGTGTCGATCTCCATGATCATGGACATCAGGAGCATGGACCGTTTCGAGACCAGCCGAGGCAAGCAGTTGACCATCACCGTCAGCGAGTGAATTTCAATGAGGAGGGAGAGCGTTAAGCGTGAACGCATGTTTTGGGGCAAGATGCCTGCAGTTTCAGACAAAGGAGGCCTTTTGCTCCAACTGTTGTACATTCATCGTTATCATAATCACTATTCTTAGATATAGCATAATGTAATTGGGTGTGCATTTCGACAAGTCATGTTACATAAATTGTTAATATGCCTAATGTAGATATGAAAATATGTAAGCTTGTAAGTTTACAAAATTTTTGTTCGTTGTTCGGGGGGGATCTATGTATTAGCAGTAGGGTATCTTGCGACAAATCTTAGATGTAAGTATATTTAAGCAGAAACTTACAGAATATTGTAAAACTTTTGTTGTTCATGGGGGTTCGTGTGGTAACTGGGCTAGAATTGGGTATCTGCGACAAATCTTAGATTTAAGTATATTTAAGCAGAAACTTACAGAATATTGTAACTCTTTTCTTGTTCACGGTCGTTCGTGTGGTAACTGGGCTAGAATTGGGTATCTGCGACAAATCTTAGATTTAAGTATATTTAAGCAGAAACTTACAGAATATTGTAACTCTTTTCTTGTTCACGGTCGTTCGTGTGGTAACTGGGCTAGAATTGGGTATCTGCGACAAATCTTAGATTTAAGTATATTTAAGCAGAAACTTACAGAATATTGTAACTCTTTTCTTGTTCACGGTCGTTCGTGTGGTAACTGGGCTAGAATTGGGTATCTGCGACAAATCTTAGATTTAAGTATATTTAAGCAGAAACTTACAGAATATTGTAACTCTTTTCTTGTTCACGGTCGTTCGTGTGGTAACTGGGCTAGAATTGGGTATCTGCGACAAATCTTAGATGTAAGTATATTTAAGCAGTAACTTACAGAATATTGTAACTCTTTTCTTGTTCACGGTCGTTCGTGTGGTAACTGGGTTAGAATTGGGTATCTGCGACAAATCTTAGACGTAAGGATATGTAAGCAGAAACTTACAGAAAATTGTAACACTTTTGTTGTACGCGAGGGCCGTGTGGTGACGGCATGAGAATATTGCCACCCCATATCTTCCCGTGGGTGTCGTAGAAGGCGACTAAGGGAGCCCCGGGCGTCACCACAACATGAGATGGGTTTGTGTTTGCGAAATGTGTTGCGGTGAGCGCAACTATGTGGCCTTTACCCCGCAACCGGTGTTTTGCGATCTTGACCCTTAGAGTCGCCAATGGGTGCATTATAGGCATCGGTGGCTATAATGAGTGCATTGCGATCGTTGTTGAGCGTCATGACCCCAACGCGCCCATTGCGGGGTAGCGGCTTCGTGCAAACTGAGACACGTAGCGCAAACGCGAGTTCATCTCATGGGTCCCGAGATCCCGTGCTGTTCTGGGATTCAAAAAGAATGAAACAGCTGCCACTCCTCCCGTGCATGTCGTAGAAGGCGACTTAGGGATATTGGGCCGAAAGCAAGTGCGGTAAAGTCCCAAGTTAATTTTACCGTACTCCCTTCGCAACACCTCTGCCTGAACCCGCCACGGATGGGGTGGTGGAAAACTCAGCTTTTCTCAGCTTTCCGGGATCCCATCCCCAAATCCCGCCCACTGCTCACCGCGCCCATATAAGGGCGACGTGGTAGTTTGGCGGAATTTGCAAAAAGGGCCTTAATTTTCCCACTAATCGGGTACCTTTGGATTTTCTACCTTTTCCTGGACTGTTTTTTCGGTCGCAATGTTATTGGTGGGAAGATTATGACAAGTTTATGTCCTTAAACACAAATTCTATAAATGAATAAAAGTTTATTTCATAACAAGTAAATAGGCGGAAACTTTGTAAATAGTAATTATAAGACTTCGATAGATTAATAAACAAAATAATTTTAAGTAAAACCTTCAGCAGTATCATTTACCTCCTTTTCAGATACTAGGCAATACACCGTACCATATATAACACCGTATACGACTAGTGTATCTGTCGTTACCCAAAAGACGTAGGTTTTAGAAACTGGATGGATTAGTCCTGGTGGGACTAATCTCACTATGCTGAAAAAACTTTCACAATTGATCAACAAAAATTCAAATTGATGCTTTTCTACGCTGTAAATCGGTAGCCTTTTACGGTGGTAGGGCCACGCAGCAGCCTCGGCTGTTGTACGAATGGGCAGGCCCGTCCGGGTAAGTACCACGACCTTACAGAAGACCAGCGTAAAGTGGAAGCATGACTAACACTTTCACGTTTCGTCTGGGGAGTGAGGTAGCCGAAGCCCAATTTTAAAACGGTTGTCAACGCATCTGTAACTCTCGGGTGTGGCAGATGTCCATGGGCGGCGGTATTCACTGAACATCAGGTGACCCGTCTGCTCGTTTGGCAACTTTTCGCATAAAAAAAAACTGTCAATTAATGTAAACACAGCACATGCGTGTGCACTTCGTACTTGCAAAAAAGCCTTCAATACCCCGTCCGATAAAGAAATACCGACACAATGAAATCCACGAGTTTCGATAAAGTTATTATTCTTTTAAAAAAAAAAAAAAAATAAACATCTCACAGCCTTTTCAAAGGCCTCTGGATATAATTTCGGTGACTGGTTATATTATCATAAATCTCTTAGAGAAATTGGTATTTCTCTTAGCGCATACCCTGTCTGAAACCATTGCGGCTTAGCCATTATAAGAAACGTCTACTATATTTCAACATTTCGTTTACATGAAACTTTGATTTGCATCTAATAAATAATTTTAAATTAATTATAATCTTTAAAATATATTTCCGCACATGCGATAAGGTTACGAGTAAATGCGACTTGAAGGCCATGAGTGTAAACCAAGTAATAAAACATAAACAAGGAATTAGTATGTGTAGCGGTCTTACGGATTACACTTGGAACTGTGGCAGCGGTTGTTTCTATTCGTAATTAAAAACAATATCGACAAATAAAAAATTTAATTTATAGGGACATAAAACAGTTATACATTAACATAAAACAGAATTTCTAATATTATTTAACTAAACGTATCAACACTAATGTCCGCAAAATAATATTAGGTGAAATAAAATAAAAAGTTCGTACTTACAAATTAAGAGTCATATACATGCCCAGCATTTGTTCTAGACTTTTCGGTGTAAAATAATCGGGGCATGCGTGCATCGTCTGGTAATTCTTCTTGGTACAATGTAAGCAGTCTTGTTAGTAAGTAATTTTAAGTTATTGGTTGACAAAATATCTAGCGTGCCGAACGAATACATATCAAGATTAGGACGTTCGCTATTGCTGGCACTGCCAGCCTCTAACGCACAGTTGATGAGACGCGCCCCTCTCTCAAACGCTAACTAGATTGTTAACGACGTCGTAGAAGTCCAATTATTAAACACAGTTTGAATTAATACTCGAGGGTTGCGCTATGGATCTTTTATGAATGTACATTTGTATGTACGTTCACCTGAAACTCGAGAACCGTTTTCCCAATTGATATGAAGCTTAGCACATATATGAAGGGCGAAATGACCTCTCCGAACAACGTAGTTACGCTAGCGCTGGATACCTATCCACCCGTACCGTGCCACCTGGCACTGGGCTGAATTTATAACGGTAACAATTAAGACTTTTCTTGGTGAAGCGAAACGTACCGGGAAGCTATTTTATCATATAACATAGTTTGTAGAATCCAAGAAAGTATAGTTATGTATCTTTATTTAAGGTTATCGTATTGGGCTTATGTTTATGAAATATATAATTATTTATTGGGCGCTCGCCTTTAATTCAATATACTCGGGCAAGCTGAGTTCGATCCCCGGTGCCGGCACCAATGAAGTTTTTAACTTTAAGTGCTGACTTATTACGTGCTCTGCGGTGAAGGAAAACATCGTGAGGAAACCTGCATATTTTCGAAATAATAACAAAAAAAAAATATTTCGAAGATATGTGAAGTCCGCCAATCCGCAGTGGGGCCGCGTGGTGGACTATGCCCTGATACCCTCTGTATAGAGGAGGCCTTTGCCCAGCAGTGGGACATGTATGCGCTGTTACTTTACTTTTTTTACTTTTATTGGACACATTTTTCCACAACATTCTCTAGTCTCAAACTAAGCAATGCTTGTACTAAGGGTATTAGAAAACTTATAAACATACTTAAACATACTTTTCTTTTGTAAATTAATACATATTATATATATATGTATATATATATATATATATATAATAGGCTGGTCGGAAACGTGGTAAGATGTGAACAAAGACACGATAGACGTGATCTGTGGCTCGGGTTTACAGGCGACGTGTTGGCGACTTCTCTAGGATTGCGGACGGTGATGGATACTGGTGGATAATTGCCATTTCCTCTTTATATTAATCGTTGAAACAAGTCGCCGTTGACGCAGGAGAGCCGCATTCTACGACTAGAGCTCCGTATTATCATAGAAAGCAGTTGACCCCTCGCCCCACATTCCCCACGCTGCGTTTCGGTTCGCTGTTCGCGAAAAATGTTCGAGCTTAAATTCCTTGATCAGCTCGCGTAGCTTCGCGGTTTGCAGTTTATTGATGTTACTACAAATGCATGGCTTACTAACTTACTATTAACATTAAGGTTTCCGTAGAATATTATACGATACCGAAATCCGGTATTATTGAGTCAAATTCCGTGTTAAGGTTACACATGGACAATTCACCAGTTTTTCAAATACTTATCACAGGCAGGAATCAAACTGACGCATCTTAGCAATTGCGTTATCCGAACAGTCAAACGGAAACATACTTCCTCTGTAGTCACCGTGATAATAGATCAATTTTTACGGTTAGAATATCAGTTATCATTTCAATTTACATCAACGATCCGTGGTATTCGATTAATTACGATAAAAATGATCCCGTTCAAATCGATTGAAGTCTAATGTACAGTGCGATGATCTAACTGATAAATAAATAATAATACGTGATAAAGTGATTGTTCATAAGTCGAAATAAAAAGAAGTGATTTTAGGATGTTTGCATATTTTGTTGTGACCCCTTAATTTATGATTCTCTAAAT